GGGGGGGGGGACGTACAGGAACAGAAAAAAAGAAGAGAAAAAAAAGAGGAAACGGGTTGCGTAACTCTGATTATCGCAGATTATACGGATCGGTCGAAGAGGAGGCGGAGAGAACTCCGCAGAGAGAACGCCGTATGTTCTTCTTCGTAAAGAGTAAAAATTCTCGCGCACAAACTTACACGTCGTGTATTTGAAACGACTACGTACCAGTCTTGGGCGTCTTCGAGTAAACGACGACAATCACAGCGCAGAATACCCGAACTATCACTTTATACGTAGTCAAGCGCTATCGAACCAGTTTCTGACACAAGTGTCCGAAGGACGTCCGGGAGACATCCGACCAACGTCTCAATTTCGCAAATCGTAACATCTACCGGACGATTTCACAGAATGTGCGCGTATCTCTCGGACGCTCAGGTGAGAAACGAGAATCTGTACTTGACACGTCGGTTTAGTCGCACTACGTATAAAATAATAGTTTCAGCATTCTACTTGTAGACTAAAACCCTTAATAATTACTACACGATCATTGACCACTTGCATTTGTGAATTCTCATAGTTTGTGCGTTTCTGTTGATTCTGCCCGCGAGTTGACAGCGTGTTCCGTTTATTTTTCTGAAGAAAAAGCTCGGCTTGTATAAGAGATAAGTTAGCCGCAACATGTCCGTATCTCGATTATTATTGAACAAAATGCACAGCTTACAGAATCGTCTTTGGAATGGAAACAAATACAGAGGAAGATTGTTCCTATCGCCATTGCACAATTAAACATCGTCAAAGAAAAAGAAATCCTTCGCGTGTGAGACGTAATTACAGTTAAACATGATAATTGTATACGATTGATCGAGGATTTTGATCGATTATCTCGCGATCGGGAACACAAATACCCCTCAAGTGATCGATAACCGTGTCATTGACCTAAAATACATTCGCAAACGCCCAACACCGCTTTACCGTAAAGTAGCGCAAGATCGATCAACTCTTCTAAAGCCGATCGCATCTTGCTCGTTCTCAAGTGAACGATGCAACTTGGCCGATTGCCATTCGCCATGTCGGCCGTGTGAGGCTCGATGACTCTTTGCCTATCGACAGACAGAGATAACGGATTAACCGAAACGAGAGAGAGGTGGTCGACTTTTTGGCAGGCTGATACGCGCTGCGTCTCACGATATCGCCTATTAGCGGCGCTACGAACTAAAGCTATTGCTCAGCTTCTTCAGTCTAAACACGCATCGATGACAGGACGACAATATTATTAGCGCCGTGTTCCTCCTCACTTTCTACTTGTTTGTACACCGCGACGCTTTCGCGCGCGCCGAATCCTCCGGCACTCGAGATTTCCGCGCATCGACGAAGGCGGCGACGATTTATAGCGGGACAAAAGCGCGTTGCGTTATTATTCGCGAAACGTGTGCCGTCGCGGCGTTCTAAAATTATTCAATTCCTATCGAGAACGCACAATCAGGGACAACGATATGAGTGGACACTCGAGCTTGTTATGGTTTCCTCGTTTCCTCAACGATCCTGTTTTTTCAGGCACGGAAAAGCGACACACGGAGAAAGATATTTTGCTGGCATGGCAAATTTGTCAGTTACTATAGCGACAGCAAAAAGATTTGTCAGAAAAGATAATTTTGCTGTTGTAGCAATACGTCGTTGCGATAGCGATACAATTTAGTTGGCATAAACAAATCATTTTTCTCTTCATATACCCGGCAAATAGCAATTAATATTCCTAACAAATATTTGTGCTGCTCCAAATAAATCTTTTTGATGTCACCATAGTAACTGACAAATTTGTTATGCCAGCCAAATATTTCTCTCCGTGTAGATGTCAGTGATTGCGTTCGTTCATCGGTTTACCATACGCGGGATATTTCGATAACTTTAGGCTACTTGCCAAGTCTTCGTGTTCTTCGTCTAATCTTGATATGGTGTTTCATACTTTCCTCGTGGAGTTATTTTTATCACGAATTTATCACGACAAGAACAAGTAATCACAACCCCTTGATATAATATTAAAAAGGAAGATATAATGCGAGATAAAAGAGAAAATATAATAGAAGATAAAAAAGAAAAAGTTATGAAAAGAAGAAACGCGGACTATAATTTTACTTTTTCGCATTTTATAAATTGCCATTATTTCAAGAAGTCAACAGACATATTGAACCGTACGTAAAACGATCCTTATAACGTTCGCCACTTCTGATGAAGAGGAATACTAATATGCGAACGGAGAAAATAATTCCGGCCTTGATTCGTATCGGTGTTCACACAATCCTGTCTCTGAGTGTACACATCTCGTGGAATCAACGCGTAGAAAATACAAAGTCTCGCCTCGAGATACACAATCTTCTCGAGCTGAAGAGATAAAAGTGTGAGCTGTCGCGAGAACCGCAAGTACACGTAGAAAAAAAAAAACACCCGGACGCTCGCGAGGATCCGAGTCGTCGTCGTCGTCGGCATTGTCGCGCTCTTTAAAAATGCACACGGCATGCGGAGAATGGCTCCGTTAAAAAATGAATCGCGCGCGCACGCGCGAGACAAGGGAGTAGAACTCGAAAGGACCTCGACGGGCTAAAATCGAATGCATTCCTGGCTGACCCTGGGTCGGTTTCTCGTGGCATGATGATATCGGCATCATGTGTATCTCATGTGTGCTGGTTTGTTTGTTTCATGTGTGTTCTGTGTATTCTGTTCATCACGTGTACTTACGTGTGTTAGATGTACGCGCATATATAGTCTCGCCGGGTTGTCTTTGCGGTCGCTTAAGTATAAATCTGTAGCAGTATCAAAATGGTAAAAATAGTGCATATGAAGACCATGAGCACAGGTAGGATCAGGATGAATCTGACGGAGCGGCTGAGGCCGCTTGGCTCCTGTCATACGGCCTGCTCGCCGGATTCGGTGGAGGCGTCGAAGAGCGGCCGATCCGCGGGCGTCTCGTTCGACGTCGTCGACGTCGCGCCGCCGCCATTGCCGCCGCCGTTTCCGCCGCTGCTGCCTTCCCGCCTGGTTTTACTCGAGCCTGAGAAGCACAGGCAACCGGACTGATTACGGTTCCGCTTCAACGTCGGCTTGTTCTCGCGGTCCTGCTCCGCTAGACACTTCTGGTAATAGTCATAGTCCTTCAAGTACCTGTCGAACAGACCACGTCGATATTCAAAGCTGGACGCTGAACAGCAGTGGTGGCGAAAAATATCGCACGCTCGATTTTGTTTTTCTTTTTTTTACACATTTGCTACCGTGTACGACGCAGTGGTCTCTCACGGAGACCAGCGTCATAGGTGTGACAGTAAATATTTTTTTCTACGTCCACATCAAGTCCGTTTTTTTACACAATTACGTAAGAAAAATGACAAGGATGTTTTTACAAATAAAAATAAATTCCTCGATGACGAGCGTGTCGAAAAACGACGCGAGGTCGTAGCAGCGAGAGCTATTTAGAGAGTGTATATTATATATTATATAATTGTAAATTAAATAAGTTAAATCTCGATTTTCAAAGGCAGACTACTAGATGAGAAAGTGATTTCGAGGAACTCGTTGACTGTCAGCTTGTAGATCAACAAATGCTTTACATTTAGATACATGACGATTCCTGTCCTGTTCCTCCCAATCTCTCTATGTGCTCTGTTCCTCTGTTACTGTAATCTCCAAAATTCGGCAAGTATTTTTCACCATCGAACAACGATCGACTTAAGTGAGAACCTACGCGTATACTACGCTCAAAATTATTCAACCGGAAAGACATAGAGGCGTTTCCGCGTTTCCACATACCAGACCGGCGGCCATCGATGCTCGTTCAGATACTCCTGATTCTCCGGATGAAGTAGCCGTACGCTGCGAGGCGACATTTTGCACAGCTTATTATAGTTAACGCAGAGATGATTCATGCACCAGTCGGCCAACTGATCGGCATTATGCAGCTGCAAGTCGTAGCTAAGCGTTAAACGGCCATCGCCACCGCTATGTTATTGCGCGCGTCTTTTAATCCGTATCAAGCGAGACGGATCGATCGATCGACCGATCGATCGTTTGTACGTTCGTTCGATGCGGAAGGAAAACACCGACCTTGCACGGCTCCAACAACCTCAGGCAGTTTTCAACGGCTTCGTTCCCCTCGTTCTGCGACAAGCGATCGAGATCCTCGATCACTCTGCTCTCGACTAGATTTACCAATCGTGGAAGGCAGAGTCTGTTGGCTAGTTCCAATAGATTCAGGCATCTGGCCGAGGAGATCGCCGGCACCTCGTCCGTGTAAAGGTAGCAGAGCAACTTGTGGAATGTGTACTCCCGCACTCCAGGAAAGACTATCTGTCGTCGGGACAATCGCGAAATACACTCTCATTAATTCGTCGTGATCGATATTAATATGGTAATTAATGCGAATAGTTTTTGATCATTTTGATAGTTTAGGATCGGCAAAAAAGCTAAGTCTCGGGGTTGTACAAAATTAATCGCACGAACTGCGATCGAGTCAAATTGAAATACCGAGTCAGATCAGTAATTTGACGTGCGCAGAAAAAAGTGCTAGATTTAAGTGAATAATTACTCCAAGATTCTTTTTAGCAAATTTTTACCTGAATCAAGTATAATGTTTGCTTGATCCAAGTAAAATATTTTCCTAGTGAAATCATCCAAGTGAAATATATTTACTTGATCCAAGTAAAATTTATTTAATTCAAGTAAAAATTTGCTAAGGAATATTGGGTTCAAGTGATTATTTACTTGAATTTAGCACTTTTTTCTATGTGGGAATTTGAAAATTACACAAACGAGAAATAAAACAAGAACACGAACATTTGCTGAATACAATCCTGAAATTGAGTTCGTTCGACTCAATTCAAATCGTTTCGACTGATCTTCCTCGGTAATGTAAGTCACACAAAATACACTCACGACTTTTGCGCTGCTTTCGCGAAAATCGCCAGAGAACATGGCTTTCATCACGTCGCATCGGGCAGTGAGAATCGCTTTGTGGGCCGGTACGCTGCCGTCGTCCAACTCGAACATCACATCCGCGAAGAGACCTGAGTAAATTACATATGTGATCGAGAATACCTGCCGTAATCTCGCTTCGTCGTTCTTCGCGCGATTAAAAGGCTCCTGCTTCCAATATCGCAGCCGTGCCGAATCGTCAGATCAGAAACCAAAATTCTTCCCTTACAATATAAAATAATTGCGCTGAGAAGGGAGAATGTTTAGTATCTGTGACTAATATTGCATGCTAAAGTAATTACATTTAGAAAATTCATTTTCGTAACAAGCGCTATTATAATATTATTAAATACACGTATATTGCATTATTATGTTACAAAGAGATACGATTGACTTTGAAAAGAAGTAATTTGTAGCGAGATCAACGATTTTTCCTCTCAATCCGTCCGACACGGCTGCGTTTTGGGATCGGCGATTTTAACGACGTTCAACGCCCACCTTGCTCCAGGCAGATGTCTTCTAGTCGTTGTCTAACCACTTGCTTATACCGATTATTGAGATCGCTATTGACAAACTGCTCCCGCGTCTGTATGCTACCGAGCACCATGAGTAATTGCGGTAGCTCGAGGAACTCGGCCGCCTGTCTGATCTCCTGCGGGCAAGAGCGATCGGGGAATCACGTCGTGCGCCATCGCCATCACCGTCAACGTAGAAATGATCGACGAAAGGAAAACGATACGAGATCTAATTGCTTTCGGGCTGCTAGAGATCCTATCTCGCTAGGAGGCGGTGATTCTAGGAATGTCGGTGAGAACGATTCGAAGCGTATTCATGCAGACCCACGGTCGGCCGGCCGAAGGCCGATCCGTCAAGTCGCTCCTCGAGAGATCTCCCTGTTCAATGACAATGTCGAAGACAATGCTACAGTAGCGATGATTCACGAACTATAAGCTTAACGAGCATGGTCCTATCGGCGAAACCGAGGATCGACGTGCGACATCGTCGTCGTTGAAAATAACTTTTCTCTGAAAGCGCGACGATCAAACGCCTTCGAGTTGCGCGATTTCAACAAATTCCGACGATGTCCGTAGTTTTTCACGTTAACTCTGACGTTACCTCTCATTTATTTACTCCGTGATTATCTCCTCGACGTTCGGTTTGCTTCGAGACATTTCGTTGGCCGAACGTACAGCGGATCAATGCTCGGTAATGTGTCGAGTTTGCTTTTTATAAAAAATCGATACGCGACTCGAAATTGGAAAGGCGCATGCTCGTATATGATGATATGATCACGCAATTGAATCTCTCAAGTCGGATAAAAGATCAGCGCTGGATGAGGCTACTATGTGCGTGCGTGCGTGCGCATGTAACGTGTATACGTATGTACTGATGCGACTGCCAAGATTTCAAAACGCATCTCGCTTTTGTACTAACCAGTAGAAGCCCGATAGGAGCTGTCTGAAAGAATAGATCCGCGTTAGTTACTGTTATACTTTTGGCAACAATTGCGATTTTAGTTTGTCGCAGACGCGATATGCTCTCGGGGACCTCGGTAACCGGCCGCGATCTCTCTATTTCAACGCTCGACAATTATCCTCGCGAACCGGAGAAATTTCAACACACGTGTCGATAATTGACGCACTGACAACAGCAATTGATACGAACGGTAAGAGGATGCGCAAAGGCGGTTCAATTCGGAAGAATAGAACTTGTTCGATCGAGTCTCATCACACGTACCGCAAGCCTACAAGATCGTAAGCTTACTAGATCGCTCTTCATCGTTCGATTCATTCGGGATATACTGCTTACTCTCGTCTCTACACGTGCGTGTCTCCCGTGGTTTAATCACACAAAAATAAGGGAGGGGGACCGGGTCTCCTTACACTCTCCGAATACACGCCTCATCTTATGAGAATTTCTACCGATCCAACGTACTTGTAGATCGTGATACCGTTTATCCAAGCTTCCCGTGTAAATGAATTGCAGACACTGCTGCATCGCCTGCGGCGTGATCAACTTGGACAGCGTGACCACCGTTGTGGGCTGCTGCATTCCGTTCGCGTTCTCGGTCTGTAAAGTGTTCGGGGTCGGCGATTAGTTAGATAAGACGACACGAGACCGCTTTCTAAAGTTCCCGATGCGAAATCCCACTCGAAATGAGTAAATATTCACTCGAAGTAATAGTGAAAATATCACCACTCTTATAACATGCACAGTGGTCTGAGATAGATATTTCTCGGCCAAAATTCACTTTTTCAGGTGTCACCTCAAGTTGATGAAAATGCAGTTTTATGATGCCCTACAGTCAAATAATCATAAATTGTTATTATTTATTATTTTTTATCACTTATCGGTAAATGTGACGCTAAAAAGATTGCTTAATCCGAGGTAATCTTTAGTCACGTCTGTCACACTGTCAAATACGCGCTACATATTATATTATTTTAAATAGCGATGGTAGCATTATATACATTTGATACATTGAAAAGCACTTTTTTTTATCAAGATTCGGAGTTTTGGTCAAAAATTTTTACTTTCAAACCATTGTGCAACGGGGGAGTACGTGAGATTTTTCAAATTCAATTTCGACTTCACGTAAAAATACGACGATTCAAAGCGGATAATTTGGTTTTGATTTTAATTTCAGTTCAAACTCACTGTACAAGTCACTGTAAAAAGTCACTCGAATTCGAAAGCGACTCTGCTGCAACTCCGTTTTTCGAGTGGAGTTTCACTCGTAGAAATTTAAAGGCTGTTATCCGCGGCATCGCACGGTTAAAGACTCACTCACCAAACATATACGAATATTTTGGAAGGCAGGATGATTCAGCTCCCTCGTCGCGCCGTTAGTCTTCCTCTGATTATCCATCGTCGGCAGTACTTGAAAACTCGATCGTCGCTTAAGTTGTTCCCAAACTCTGCAACGTACACCGATTTGTTTGTGCCGGGGCGCTAATCACGGCCCTTAGTCGCGGCCGATGGTACATACAAACGTCTCATAATTACAGGTATTTTGCAAACTCAGTTCCGTCGCTACGTAAGTGGATTGTGCCGAGATTGAACGAAAACCGTGCAAGAGAAAAATGCTAAAGGGCCGCTGCGTTTTAACTCTTTATTTGGCAACGGCATTGTCGCGCAAGCGACAGCGATGGCTGGCAGGCAATTACACCGGCATGCTGAAGTGGGGGACGTTTTTAATTGCGTGGATGCGTCTGTTAGTAATTGTTAGTTAGCAAAAATCACCACACTCCCTCCAACAGAGCGTTCATGCGTTAGTTAGTTTCGACACCTTGGTTACGATCTCACGAAAGAGATTATACGATTATCCCGTCGCATGTGTGCCATGGCTCGCCGAATAAAGAGTTAACTGACGCAGGTGTAGAACATACGTGGCAGAATGAACTCACTTTGCGGGTTTGCTTTGATCGATACGAATTAGGCACTCAGTATCGTCGTTGAAGTCACCGACGGTGGCCTCGCCAAAAGTGCTCACCTTGACGGGAGAATAAGGGAAACATGTGTTATTGTGTTATCCTGTTACTACCTCCGAACCTGATAGAGCTGGGATATACCATGCTGGACTCGCTGGAGCTACGTGGTGTCAACTCGTGGGCGAGTTCCATCGAGAACAGTCGATGGAACGCCGGCGACGCCGCGGCGAGCAGGCACCGATGAGCCGAAAACGTACAATTGCCGGCAATTAGAGTGACGTCCGTGTGGACCGGCTTCGTCCACAGGGTCTTCATATTCTCCTCGTAGGTGCTCGCGGCCAGACATACCTCCGGCGGCACTGGTTTCGGCGGGCAGAACGGCGCCTGCCAAACAAAATTGGCGTCTCGATAGAATTGATCGAGGCGTCACGGGGGTTTCTCTCGTCAATTCAACCGTGATCTCCTCCAACGAGAGAAAGCGAGAGAAAGAGAGAGAGAGACGATTCAAGTCTTAATTAAATTCGACATCAAAAAGACCGTGAGTTTGGCCTTCTTGATTGATTGCAATTGATCTTATCAGGGTCGGGGAAGTTGATTTTTAAAGCAATTCGTTACCTTTACTTGTTACCCAGTGAAGAAATAACTCGTTATTCAAGAATTAACGGGTGCTTATAATTTCTGCTACTTTTTCATCAAATTTTGAATATTGCCATACATCCCATGTTAATGTATTCTACACGAGGAAAAATAATTTGCTGGCGCAACAAATTTTATGCTGTTGCAATAATATCTGTCATTTATTATGTGGAGAAGCAAAACGGTTTGTTAAGAATACCAATTGCTACTCGCTGAATTATTTTGCTGAATCTACAAATTATCAAGACGTTATGCATAAGTTTATGTTCCCGCCCTAATTGTTATATTCCTCACCGTTGCGCAACAAATATAATCGCGTTACCGACACTGTCACTAACGAAGAAAAATATCAAATTGTTACTAGAGAAAAGTAACATGTAACGGTAACAATATTGTTATAATATTGTAACGTGTCATATCAACCCTGAATCTTACATCTGTCTTTTCGTACACATTAGCAATCGCAGGGATACGCTAATCCTTCGTCATCACTCGAGGATGAAGATTTATCACGAAATCAATTTTTCGCATGTTATTCGTTACCTGTAAAAGAGGTCTCTGCACTCTCTTCAGATTCGTCATCCAGAAACGCTGTTGACGACGCGCAATCAAAGCGGCTCGTATCGAGTTCTCGAACACCTCATTTACACCGTAATAAGTGAAGACGCTTGTCTCGTAATAGCACACGCCGAGTTCTCGCGCCACCGCTCGCGCCTGATCCGGCATGACCAGATCGCTCTTCCTCGTAGCCCTGCGAACAATCGCGAACGAAGGACCAAATGATTACGCGTCGTCGGTTGGATGTGAAGTGCAGTGCGATGTAGTATATTGCGCGAACATCGTTAGCGGAGAAGATAATTGAAACGAAAGAGGATAAAACTGCAACCGGGCGATGACGTCAATATGATTACGATCGAGCTCGTACGACAGGAGGGCTTTCTGAAAGTCACGAGGAACCTTCAGGCTCTTTCTCTCTCTCCCGCGAGAGCAGTAGACTCGCCGTATGTCAAGGCCCGGTTAATTTTGGTTCGACCCGATTGCCCGTCCGTGGGAAATTTTAAGCTTTTCGATCGATCGCCGCGCTGCCGTCATAAATTTCATATGCCGCGATGCCGTGTAAACGTGGTCGTGTAATGAATATTTTTTCGTCGTTAAAAGAAATTCCGGTAAGCCCGGGAAAGCTCACGAAGACTCCCGTGAAATCAATACTTCGGCACACTTCGGTAAACTGGCCACCGTTGGAAGAGCATCGTTGCGATTCAATGGGTTTTACATACAGTTAAAAAAATCGACTTTGGGGAACCACACGCGAGTTTCGCTTGTGATTCGATGGAAGGGACACAACGGGCGATCGGAATAGACTGGCTTAGACTAGTTTTTTGAAAAAATATATTTTTAGAACGGTTGGCTTTATTTGGTTTAAAATCACGTTGTTACAGATTATTGCAAACTTCCGAAGAAATAAACGAGAAGAATGGCAAACGCAAAGGAATAATTGACTGATGAACTTGGTGAATCGAAAATTAGTCAAGCAAGTAAACGAAGACGTATAGTCGTTTTTGTTAAAGGATTAAGATCTCATTATCGATTAAATCAGAAATTCCATCTCAGCGAAAACATTGAGATCGGCGCTGCACTTCTGATGTGTAAGATTCGACTCGATCGAACAAGGGGATTCCCGGCGAGTCCTCTTCAATCGATCCGTCTCTCACGGACAAATGACTTACCTCACAAAGGGACTGCGGTCGCGAAAATAGCTGAGATAAGTCTCGTCCCGATACATGTATCGTAGATCGTTTTTGCATCCGACCAGTAGGACCGGTGTTTGCGGGCAGAACCTCCTTATCTCGGGATACCACATCGCCTTGCAGTTCCGCAAGGAAACGGGGTTGGTTATGGAGAAGCATAGTAAAACGACGTCGGACCTAACGAGATCCATCCCCAGATTAGACTCGTCGCACGAAATGCCGCTCTCGGCGACGATCTTACCTGCCGTACGCGAAACGTCGATCCTTCTCGTGATCGCCAAACGTGTCCCAGAGACGTAGCGACACGTTCACGTTGTCTACTATCTCCCAGGATCGCTCCAACACCTGATACACACACGTGCACAGAAAAAACGCAATACATGTATCTTTGAGATGACAAAATTATCATATTGATTTTTCTCGGAAACGCCTCAGCTTTCATCTCAAATCTCTCCAGACTCGCCGAGCAATTTACGCTGTTTATTATACCGAGAGAAAAATCTAAAATATAAAACGTGTACTCGACGAGTACTCTAATAATATGTTTACTTATATTAATATACACATTTTTTCACTGAGACTTTCTTTCTTTTTAATAAGGAAATATACATATTTTCTTAAAACCGTAACTTTTCACGATGTGATTTTGTTTGAAAATAAGAATTTAAATTTAAGCAAATAGGTTATTATTATCCACCGAATAGATATGTTTTATTATTTAGATACTTTTTTTCTTCTGGTGTATCGGAACGATCCGATTCGCTTCGATTCGAGACGTAATCCGTGATATAGATTATAAGCGAACTTACATCCTTGTAGATCCGATACTGGTCGATAGCCCAGACCGTGGGCACGTGAGTGGTCAGAAGCTGCGACAGTGACACGTGCTTGTTGCAGGCCCTGGCGCAGATCAGTCTGGTCTTTCCGACTGCCGTGTCACCCACGACCACGCACTTGACCAGTTCCTGGTGCGGTTGCTCATTGTCCATCACCGGCAGTCTCCCCTTTTCATGCAATATATCCTCTCACCTGCCAGATCGCTCGGATGGACCGCTAACCTCGGATCCGTAGATGCTGCCGCTGTCGTTTCCGTAGTCGCCAAGTGCGTGCACCACATCCGACCCCGGACTGGAACGCGACGTCCACGAGCTCGTCGACGCCGATGGAGTGTACGCTAGAACTGACGAAAACGGAACACGTTAATCTTTTCTACTCACGGCTAATCACTCTTGATTGAGCCATATTCTAAATTACTTTAACTACTCTGGACTACGTTAAGGATCGCGCTCTTCGCTGCGAGAATAGAGAGCCACTACGAGGGAAGGTGTCCTAAACCTCGGACGCCTCGCCTTGGTTGCACACGGAAGCACACGTGGACTTAGTTACGTCTGGTACTTTCGATGGCTCTTTGTTGTGCAGTGTTGTGTCTTTAAGTGTCTTTAAGTGCCGCTCTATGTCGCGTCTGTCGCATGAATCATTTAGCGGCTCACAGACACCAAGCGCAAGGTGAATCGACTCTTTTTGAAGACAGATATGAGCACCGTGTGAGAACATCGAAAGACGACTCTCTCCGCTTGCGCCGATACATAATAAATCGCGATTACCGCTCGAGTATAGAGAAGTTTGAATTAGATCGATGGCGTGGAACAAGAGCATAAATGCATAATATCAATATTCGATCGGTCCTGTAACGTGCAAGCCCTAATGGAGAAGCTACTGTCGATCTTGACCTGCGAGCTTGATCGCGGGACGATCGAAGATGAAGAAGGCGGAGAAGGAGGAACACATTCGTGCCGAAAATAATTTACAATTGCCATCATCTATCATCGGGATGGAAACTGGATGAATTGCGCGAAGATCGCATGATACATTTATCTGCGGGAGATAGAACATCGCCGCACGTATGTCGAAGGCGCGTGTATGAACAGGCACGGATGTATTTTAAGCCTAGAAGAGAATTCGCGACGAGTTTAGGCATTCTGGATACATATATATACGCAACCGTGCCTATTGATTTGACCCTACGGAAGCGTCCGCTATATTTAGAAACGAACCTTCGCAACCTCAACTTCTATATCACCTTAACCCTGAACAGACGCATCGACATATAGCACCGATCTCTCTCTCTCTCTCTCTCTGTCCGATTCATTCTCCAAGTCCTCATCGCTCGATAAACTTCATTCTCGGCGGCTGTGTGCGCGCGCTATACTAAACTTCCCTCTCACGAATCTCCATTCAACTTCTCGTTGGCTTCTCGCTTTGTGACTTTGGTTTCCTGTCCGGAGAAATTGACCCTCATTATTACGCGCTCGTCGAATATATGCATTCAGACGCAGCGCGTCAAAACACGTTGGAACGTAACGAAATATTTCCGGGAACTTCTTCGGGGTAGCTCCTTCGCGAAGTTATATATGTGCGTATCAGTCGAATATTCATGAACGTTCGGTCAAGCCATACCTGGATTTAATATTAGATGTTGTTCGATTTCCTTATCATTGAGTAATGTACGCCCAGTTGATTGACGATAGATTGTATTTTATCTATTCTTTATCGAGTATGTAAATCTGTAAAATTCACGATCGAACTTCGAGATATCTCTTGCTATCAAATTAAAAATACAACTAATACTAGATGTGTAACATCTGAAACTAATAGCTAATAAAATAAATAAAAATGACGAATGCTCTTTTTTAAGTAGGAATCAAAACTTGAGACTGTATAATCTGGGAGAATTCCAAAACTCCGAGCCAGCCACAATGCTTCTAAAGTTATAAACGACGTTGAAGAATCCTTGAAGGTAAAACCGCATGACAAATGATGCGGTTTGAGTGTTATTTATAACCTTCGACAATCGCAAATTCAATTTGACCGGCCGGAAAAAACAGATGGAGTCACGGGAAGCAAGGGAATTTGAGTGCCCGCAATTTTCACGCGAAACGCAAGCCGTGGTAACAACGTAGGCAACATGCCCGCCGATGTGACGGGAATAATGTTATAATATCCGCTTATTACGATAACGCTGTGCGTTTACAGGAAACATGTCGATAACGCTAGATGACAACCAGTCTAAGTATGCAAGCGTGATATTCACTGAGTCACGATGCGAAAATCGAAAGCGTCGTCGCTCAATAGTCCGCTTGTTTCGCTGACGCTTTCCGGGAAATGTCTTTGGATGAGACCTACTTTCGTGAAATAGAATTTGTAGCGAGTCCCCGAGCCGTTCATTCAGCAAATCAGTTACGTTGCGCATCTCAATTAAAAATGAATTGGAAATGGAATGTATCTTATCTATACACGCGTGTGCTCCCCGCTTCGAGGAATCGTATCGACGAGAGCTTTATATGCAAAACTATCGATCGGCAGTGGGGGAGGGGGAGGGGGGAAGATAATTAGTGTAGGAACGGACTTTTCGCGTGTCTATTTGACATCGTATTTTTAAATATACAATTCGCGAGCGTAATCGTGTCGTTATCGGGTCTTATCCAGCGCTACATTAAATAGTTACATAGTCTACTACTATCTACAAGTAGATAGTAGGCAGACAAATATGTAAACTCTCGTAATCGACAATGTAAAGTAGCCAAAGGTTACAGTCGAATCATCGCTCGAGTCGAAATCGCACTCTTTTGATCGTATTTCTATTTTCAGTTCGGGAGAAAGAGATAAAGCGATGTAACGTATCGCTTTATCAGCTAAAATAATCTCAGAGACTATATAGGGAAACGACCATCCCCCTCTCATCGGGAGCGAGGCGGTCTCAGCTTCCGAATGCAATTTGTCCCACGTCTCTACGATTTTTCTACACGGAGATCTAGACCGGCGGCGAATCCTTTGACGGGGACTGATGCCCAGCTACAAAGTTAACGCGTCTTCTTCTCTTTAGACAAGCGCGTCGCCGCTCCCGAAGTGAGAGGTGTCAAGTCCGCGACGCGAACGTACTACGATGTGTTGTGCGCGTGCCGCCGTGTTAGACGGCAAAGGACGCCGCGCTGCAGGCATCCATAAAAGTCAGAACGCCTGTGACAACCGTATCTCGGCAAAAAATCAACGCTGAAACATGAGATACACGCCATTCTCTCCGGCATCTCGTGCGGAACGTATTTATGCTGCTCGCACATGCTCTCGTTATGACATGCGCTCACGTGCATATACAATTACGGCTCACGTGGTATGAGAGGCGCATCGACGCGCAGAGACGTCGGAAAATATTTAGATAGGCAAATGAGAAGTACCGGCGGTCTTTATCGTACAAAGCGCGAGGCTTCGCGCGTGTTTCGTCCGAGAAATTTCACACGGAGATTGCCGCGTGCGATCCGCTTATCTCTTCCGAATGTAGTTCTTCACCGCGTGTTTGCGACATTTCGAGCAATATAAAACCCTACAGTGGTCGCGCGGGTGACAGGTGTCATCCGTGCGCATTGAAATACATTTTCCGGAAAATACTAACAAATATCTGTTAGAATCCCGCCTATCGACTATTACGACTGCACACTCTCGTGTGCACTCGCTTTCGTGTTATAATAACTAAAAGGTGTAGAAATATACTAGGTATTTCGTGGTTATAGTTAAAAAAAAACTCTCCCATTTTTTTCGGCTTTTTCCGCGGGAAAAATGAGAAAAAAAATCAAGTTTTTCCGAGTTTTCAAAGTTATACTTGTGCCGATAAGTAATAATGTGTTTAAATAACGAAAGGATAAGCCATCTTTTATACTTGCTTGTTAACACCTGCCGATATTCACGACTGTCTCTAACGATTGTCTTCACACGACTGTAACCATTACTTTTCGACTACAATTGCTAATGCGTCGCGCTCTACAGGCATCTATCAGTACTCGTTCTATCTACTTCGTCGGCAAAATAGTGACATATTTATCTTACGCCATAATGTATTTGTCAGTTACGTATGGGGATTGCACACAGAGAAAAATAATTTTGCTGTTGTATCGAAAGCATCGTTGCTATTGCATATTCGTTGCGATAGCAAAACATTTAATTAGCATAACCAAATTAGCAAATTACTTATAATTAGAGCAAAAACAGTTTTGTTGCAGGATAGAAAGTATTCTACCGAGCGAATTTGTCCTTAAGATGCGTTAATTTGCTGTTGGAACCAAAAAAGTGTTTTTCTACATTTACTAATTTATTCTTAAAAGAAAATAATTTGTGGATTCGGTAAAATAATCCAGCGGATGACAATTAGTATTCTTGACAAATCGTTTTACCGTCCATATAGTAATCGATAGATGCAAAACATACTGAATTTCTTCGGACAGACGAAACATAATCTTCCATACATAAGCCAACCCTTTGAATCCTAGTAATATTTGTTACTGTGTTACTTTCTAAAACGATTTTTTTTTAATTAAAAATATCAATTTTAAACAGGATATTTGTCATCCATATGATCACTCATGTTGCATTTAGGTACGCAATTTCTCCACAGATAAATAAACGACCAATACCGAAGCTGCACTATCCGAGAAATTTGTTCTTCAGCAAAGTAGGGTTGTACTTCGATTTAAGTTGCTTATGTTGCTAATTATTCAAACTGATAAGTTGAGATATTACGCAACAAATATTGCATGGTTAAGATCACAATCAAGTTGGAATCGATTCTTAATGTTTCAGAATCACCAGAATTTCTTCCAAATCGAATCCTTTCGGAGAAATTAACGCGGTAAGGCGAATATATTACGAAATTAATATGCGTTTAGTTCGCTTCGAGATTTTTATGTTCTGCGCCAATCTTTTATTCGCTAATACTGCACAGTTTTCCAACGTGCTCGTATAAAGACAGCAGAAAGTATGCGAACAATGATTTATTGCATGCTTGCAATAAGTTAAATACCATGTACTTCTTGCGTGTGCGATAAAGCAGGGTAACATGGGCGAATGTTTTATGCGTCAGTTAGAATCGGTAACAAAAGTCGCCATCGAGCTTCAGCGAGGCTCATCGATCTTTTCTAGTTTGACGTTAAGTTGTTTTCGCATTTGCTGCTACGCTACGTAATGCGCAAAATCACGATGAATATTAGGAAAGGACGGAACAAATTGACCGGAAACGCGGAAATCTACGAAATTTCTCTGATACAGACACTCTCATGTACCATGAGTGACGAAAAAGAGCGATAAAAAGAATCATGTGTGAGGAAGAAAGTTTGAAACAAAGCTCAAGCTCTCGCGAGGGACGTAATTTCTCTTTTCTCGAGCAAATTAATTTGTTACTTTCTGTTACTATACAGAGAACATTAATACGTCACAGTGAATCGTACGTGTGCTGACGCATGACTAACTTTAACAATGCGCTGCCATTTGGGTACTTTGTACGTTTCGATTGTGCAATGACACGCCAGCGAGGGTTATTTTCAAGCCTCGCATTGATCCTAAATCCCGTTTCAACGTCCTGGGCGCTTTTGCAAGAGCGTATTTAGTCGGAGAAATATCGTCCTGACGTCATTCACGTATATAGTCCCGAATCGACTCTCAGACTGCCTTAAATAGTCAAAACCCTAAAAACTTGGACGTTCTTGAAAGTCGATTCAGCAATCCGCGTGTATCTTGTGGATCGCGACGAATAGCGGCGCATACAGCGTGTGAGGTTTCGCAATCTCCTCTCTCTCTCTCTCTCTCTCTCTCGTCCCCTTATTAGATGTTATTGATGTTCTTATCAAAATGATGTGTTTCTCAATTCGATTGATAACTTACAAAAGAAATACGCGCTGACCACGCGCCGATCTCGCGATTAGGTCGGTCGTTGCGGTGCTACCGTCCGCACTGTGGGTTAGTTCAACGGAGCGAGAGAGAGAGAGAGAGAGAAGCGAGCGATGTAGAACGTTTGCGGGGACGGACTGTAGATACGCGCCTCGCCGGATGGTAGAAGCAGTCGTGCATTGCGGCGCGTAGACACCGTGCTGACGCATTGCAGAACGGGTCAGAGGGAGGTCAGCCGCAGACGTAGAAGAGGATCGGCAGTCCCCCGGCGGCTGTCGCCAGTAGAAAAAAGCCGAGCGAGGCGGCCGAGAGGTCGGCGCACCACCCTCTTTCCTTTTTCCACCTTTCGTTACCGAGGCGGCCCCATCGGGACCACGTCGTGGTTCGCTTTCTTCGCAACCGTCGATTCGCAACCACCACTACCGTCGCCACCGTCGTCGTCGACGTCGCCATAGTCGTTGTAGTCGTCGTAGTCACAGCCGTCGTCGAGCGGTAAATCAATTCTGCCGAAGGACGGTCCAAGTCTAAGAATTGCACGCGGGGTCAACGAGCCGCGCGACGGCCGACCGTCCGTCGGCCGCATTAATTAAGTAAACGGTGTTCTCATTGCCGACCTCTTTCAGCGGTTAATCTCGCGGAACTGTGTGCGACGGTGCGTGCGCGTCGTGTACAGTCGCCGTTATTATTACAGTCCGGGAGGCGTGCCTCTCAGAGCCGGCCGATCGGAGTCACGTTTCGCCTCAGAGAGTTCGCGTCACGTGTACCTGTCGATTTCGGCGCGTCCGTGCTCCCCTTATCGTCCCTCTCTCGTCGTGCGTTTCCGTCGTTTCCCCTTGTCCGCGTGCTCGCGCCTTATCCGACGGCGACGTCGTCGTCGTCCGCTCCTGCTCCGTGGTCGACGCAACGATAAAATCAAGCGGCATCGGCACGCGCCGCTTAAATCGCGATACGCGCAGCCAATCGACGCGGTCGTTAGGCCAAATGATCGCGACGCACCGCAACGTCGAGAGCGAAACGGCGCGTCTCCTATGTTACGAGCAGGGCATAAATCAATTTTTAACCGTGCCACGGCTGTGGGTCGACGGTCCGGCGATCTCTCTCTCTCTCTCTCTCTGCATACACCGCCGATTGTCTCTCGCTTGCAGCTAATTGCTCCACCCATCTGTACGGACTCTCGGAACGGATGGCGAGAAGTCAGTCGTCTCGTGGAGAGATTCTCCCTGCGACTCGCGGATCGTTTTTGGGAAAACGCGATGTCTCCCAATGCGCGAGAATGTTAAAGACTAAAGTGTGCGCGAGGTACGATAAGGTTGTTAGGGTAGTAACAAGGTTATATCGCAACGGGAACGAAATCTATCGACCGCTCGCGCATACGGAGTTGGCGATAACTCACTCGATCGAATGATGCAAATGCTGTATACCGATGATGACGACGCGCGCGCCTGGCGAACGTGTACGCGAACGTGCATGTAATGCATACGCGCTAATGTTAACGCTAGCCGCTCGCTCGCTTCGCGGCTGCATTAATATTCGCAAGGCCAGGGTGCTGCAAGTTCGAGGCTCGCCTCTGCATCGTGCGACGGGGACGCTCGCACTCGATGCAGACAGTGTTCTCTTATATAAGTTGAAAGCGAGACGGACGAATGGGCGAAGAGAGCGGGAGAGAGAGAGAGAGAGAGACGGACGGATAGATCTAGATAAATAGGTGGAATAATAGTCAACGGCCACGCGACGATAAAGCCGTATCGACAAGAGCCGCGTCGATCGCGGAGCACCTCGGATTTCTTTCCGCTCTCTTTTTCTCTCTCGCCCTTTCCGGATCGTTTCTCTCTCTCTCTCTCTCTCTCTCGAAATAGTTCCTCTCGCAAAGAGAGAGAGAGAGAGCCTCGCGGGTAACGAGTAGGCGGTAGTCTCGGTGCATTTCGCGAGGGAGACTCCTCCTCCTCCTCCTTCTCGGAGCTAGCAACTCCGGCACGCGCGACTAACGGCGCCCGAGTGTCGCTGGAACGACGTCGACGGCGACGAGCGAAAAACAACGATGACGACGTTGACGTCGAGCGCGACTATCGTTCTGGCGGAGCAGTGACTTACTCGTGATCGATTCGTATTATGCGTCTCTCCGACCGCTGCCGGCTTCTCTCCCGCGACGATGACTACGACGACGGCTAAGACGATGACTACGACGACGAGGTGTGACCGCGACGACGATCCTTCTCCGTAGGCGGCACCGGCAGCGAGTCCGCGAAAATCGCACGACCGGGATACACTCGTGGCGGCGATCTTTCTCTCTCTCTCTCTCTCTCTTTCTCTCTGTGTGTGTGTGACAGCTGCACGCCGGTTTGCTCACTCAGGCTGACGCATGCTGCGCGAATACACGCGACAGCGCGGAGGCGCGACGGGTTTGGTGAGGCGGCACACTCTCGCGCGAATGAAGCGCGATATATAGACGTAACGTATATGCATACGTATGTAATCGACTACGCGTAGTCGAAGAGAGGAAAACAGAAAGAGAGAAGAAGACAGAAGTAGAAAGGGAGAGAGAGAGAGAGAAAAAGAGAAGAGGAGGCAGGTCCAGTCGACGCACGAGATATTAGTTGCGCGTTGTGCCCTCCCGCCTGTTGACGAAGAGCGAGCGGATGTCTCTCCCTTATGCGAACACAACAGAGAACGCACAGAGACGCGGGAGAAGGTGGGCGCGCGAGCGAGCGAGCGAGCGAGCGAGAGAGAGAGAGAGAGAGAGCTGCTGCAGCGCGTAATCGTGAATCGCAGATGAGACAAACGGGGGATCTAACGATCGCCGCTCCTCCCGCTCGTCTTCTCTTGGAGCGCGACGATGAACTAGAAGAAGAAGAAGAAGGAAGAGGAGAAGAAGAAGCTGCACATCGCGGCGCAACCGGGACGCTCCGCGCGACGTTCCGAGCGATGTCTCGGCGGGATGGCCGAGTGAGGAGGGACATTACGCGGGGAGGAGAAGCGAGAGGGGAAAGAAACGGGTGCGCTCCGAAAGCGGCGAAACCGCGCTCCGGTTAACTCTAACCTGTGCTCGGGTCAACGCTGCCGCAAACGCTGGGATCGCGCTCCGCTGGTGTCGCGAATTCTCTCCGGCCTCCCCGACCTCACTCACTAGTCTCCTCTCGCTCCTGCGGCTTCCGCTCTGCGATCCTGCCGGTCACGGGGCGGCTCGCTCGCGTCTTTCTCAGTACGATCGCACGTCCTCCGTCCGCGTGCTCCATGCGACTCGCGACGACGACGGCTCGTCGCGACCGGGGCTCCCCAGACGGCGGGAGGTTCTGTCTCGACGATGTCCCTCTCGCGACAGCAACCCTTCTACGAGATCCTCCCTGGCCGTGTCCCCTCCTCCTCGTGAGCTCTCGTCTCCGCGGCTTTCCGTTCTCCGACCTGTGCTCCCGAACGACGGGGCGACCCAAGAGCGAGGGATCTCCGTCCGCGGCGAAGGGAGCTTGCGTGCATTCGGGGGAGAATCGCGAGAACGCGGGGGGTTCGCGTGTGTCGAGGCGCGCGCTCGCTCGCGTGTACCGACCAGAACTGCGCACCACCTGTCAACGACTGGTCGTTCGAGCGCCAGTTCGAGTTGACCCACCTCCGCTTACGAGGGCCGCCGGCCGATCGAAGCCGCCGCCGCCGCCGCCTCCGCTGACGCTGATGCTGACGCTGCCGCCACCGCGCGCTGCCGCCGAGGCTGAGCCAGGTGGACGACGAAGACGACCGGGCGTCGTGCAGCCTGTGTCATGTCGACGCACGTGTCTCTTTCTTCCTCTTTCTCTCTCTCTCTCTCTCTCTCTTTCTCACACGCGAGTACGCTGGACACAGGTCGAGTACGGCGAAGTACAGTCGCGAACGCTCGTCGGTGACTCGTTTCGCAGCGGACTTCTCCTAACAACGAGGTGGAAGGAGGAAGAGAAAGAGAAAGAGAGAGAGAGGGGGAGAGAGAGAGAGAGAGAGAGAGAAAGGGAAGGGAAAGGTCGATCGAGACCTTCGTCGATGTCGTCGTCGTCGAAGGTCTCTCTCGACGGGCGCGGTGCTGCCTCGGACGTGAAAAACGTACGATTAGGGTAGGATAAGGGTGCGTGAAGAACGAGGAGAAGGTTCTATCGAGTCGCCGGTATGACAGAGAGGAAACGACCACACGAAGGGGAAGAAGAGAGGGTCGCGATCGACGAGACGAGTCCGACAGCAGCCGGCGAACTGCTCGCCGCTGAATGAACCCGCCGTGACCCCGACGCTTCTCTCCGCTTCTCTTCTCTCCGACTCCACCACGACCCGTGTGTCCGCTGTTGCCTCTTTCGTCCTCTCTCCTTTGCCCTTTCCCCCCGCCCTGTATCGACCGATATGTGTGCGTGGTCTTGCTGTTATTTTATAAACGCGTCCTACCCTCACCCTCGTCTCACCTTCCGGCCTTCTCTCGCCCCTCGTTCGTGGCCGCGGTGATGCGCCGCGTACCGATCTCGCTCTCACGGGAGGGTCAGTGTTTTCGCGGAAGATATCGTCGCACAAATTGTTCCGGGAATGATCACCGTGCCAAATCGCTCCTCGGCAATGGTGATTGGAGTTTCTCGCGCGATTTCCGCGCGGGGCCCGCGAGCACGTCGTTCGTCTGATTGGAAACGGCGGTCCGAGTAGTTACGTCTGTTTTGAAGTTTAACTTCTTCGCGAGACGATCGCGGCTGATCGAAGCGGGATCAAATTCGCTTCAGGATCGTAAGGTCGATTACGTTCGTGTCGACGTACGAATAACACTGTTCATCCGGCCAGGACAAGTGCCATTTGGCGGGAAGCGGTACCGTCGCAATAACGATTGGTTATTGCGTTACGTTACAACACAGTCGAGGTTGCCCGATAGTCGAAGCAATTAGTCCCGAACTGATGGTCGGACTCGGTGCTTTCGTGAAAGAACGATTAGCGAAGCGGTAAATTCACCTGGTTCAATTTCATTCGGTACGAGAAGCGCGATACTTCTGAGAACATGCACCGGTACCGATATCGGCACCGTGGTTAACCGTCACGCGCATGCTGGATTCGCTGTGACGTCAGGGGGCGAAAAATCAATCTACCCTGCCACCGCACCGTGCGGCAGAGTAGAGACTCTATGTGTGTGTGTGTGAATATATGTATTTGTGTGCGACGCACTATCACCGCTGCCTATCGGCGCCACTTAATTGCTACGGCAGTTACGTTCGCGGATGTAATATCGATGCGATGAGGAATTTTTTACGAGATTTTCTGGGACGATTGAATGGACACGCTTAAGCGCCGTGTTATAATTCACGCAACGCGAAATCCGCGATTAATCACAAGCAGACTCATGTTTATTGTCGCGGAATGAGATCAACTACAACTGCGGTCGGCACGCATTATCCTTGAGTTCGATTGCGACTTGAATAAGAAACTCGAATGGAAAAAAGATAGAATCACGCCGATCGATTGTAGAGCTGTCGATTGATATCAATCAACGAATGTTGCTAATTGAGCGATTTCTAGGAAGATACGAATCAACAAACGTCGTTAATTGAGCGATTTCTAGGAAATAAATAATAACTAATTTGCACGCGTGTTATCGCGTCTTCGAACTATATTTGCTGGCAATATCTAAGATCGTCTCGAGTCAAGCACTTCTCGTTTTAAGATATCTTTGTAAATAAATAAATTAAGAAATTAATTATACTATTATACAAATTAATTTATTAATCTCTGTCTCTCTCTCTCTCTCTCTTTTGTATTTTTTCTCTCACTTCTTTTCTGCTACATTATATTTTTCATGTCTTTTTCACCTCTATATTGTATCTTAATTGCGCTTGAAGAGGAACTTTTGCAGAGAGCGCAGAATGAATACATCTATCTCCCTCTTTCTCTCAACGTTATTAATTTCGGATCACAGATCTGCCCTCTGAAGACTTGCTGAAATTTCCGCTACGATCGCACAATTTCAACTTTTCTCTGCAGAGGCAAAGCAAGATAAATACATCTCTCTCTCTCTCTGTCTCTCTCTCTCTCTCAACGTTATTAATTTCGAATCCCCAATCTGCCCTCTGAAGATTTACCTAAATTTTCGCCGCGACCGCAGAACTGGAACTTTTCTCTGAAGAGGCAAATCCGCGATACAACATATCGAGAGGGGGTTCAACATGTGTTCCCTACGAGTTCCTCGAACCGCGCCGCGAGAGACGATTGCGACGTTATTGCAAAATTGACGGTTTCGCGATAAGCGTTACGTGCCGCGAGAATACGCGACATCGTGCGTTCGGGGCAACGGTATTTAACCGATTAATTAATCGCCACGACCTATCCGTAAGTGACACAAACGCGCGCGCGCGCACATACACATACGCGCGGCCTCGTAAATTGGCATAATACTCGCGCAAGCCCCGTTGTCGCGGAAGCTTAATGCGTGAAATTGCACGGATACGCGCGTGTAATAACGATCGCGTGTCTCTTACTTGCACACGTACCAATAAACGGTGACAAACACTCTTCGCGGCGATCAAACGCAGCGCGCGCTCGTCCTCCCACGTAGCCGGTCCGCTCCTCTTGCGCAGCTGCCCGCCGAGTCGCCGCAAGGAGCGCACGTGAAAAATTCCCTCGGTTGACTGACTATCAGAGCTGCAACTGAAACGACGACGCTGATAGCCGCGGCCTTATACACGGCGCGTTAATGCGTTGACTCCGGCTGCGGAAAATAAACACGCGGCTCATTGATAAGTAATCCGCGACCATGCCGGCGCGCGCGTTATGTACATTACGATAGCCGACGATAACGGCGCGCACTCCGACGGAATCGTTTTGGCACGGAGGCGCGTTACGAGATCGCGACGCCGCTAAAGCCGATCTGGAGAGGGACGCGCGCGCCACTCCTCGCGCGGGAAATGAACGCGAGCGGCGCGTTATTTATCCGTTGATAAAATTGATCCTGGAGCAATATAAATACCGCTTGCGCGCGTGCTTCGCGACGCACCGCACGCGCGCGCGTATCTAATTTTGTTACGTATTTTGATCGGACTCTGTCTCTCTCTCTCTCTCCGCGCGTTATCATATCGACGAGCTGCCGCCCCTCCGCCTCACATTGCCGCCGGTGGACACGTATTTTTATCGAGAATGTTGGTATATCGGAATTGTTACGTACAGCCGCGCACAATGAAATTGATGATCTGTTAGAAGCAGCGAGCACGCGTGTGCGTAAAAACATTAATGATCGATCGAACGGTTAAATGCTTGTGGTTAAATACTTGCGACGTACAAACATATGGAGATAAATTATATATATGTAGGTATACGTGTATATAAGCGAGTTAAAAAAATTGTCCAAGCCGACCGGCAACGATTCACGATCAGACAGCGCACTTCATCGGTATTCAATGACGACGCGTGCGCACGCTCGCGCGTTATTAATGTACAATTAGTGGCGTACAAAAATGCGCGGCGTATGCGTCGTCGCTCGGCGTACAAGATGGACGTGTTTACCTTCTGTTTGCCACGACGGATGCGCTCACACTGAAATCTGAAACGCGATACTTTGTGTACACGCCGTGTGTCTTGCGCGCCGCGAAAGCAGCTTCCGCGCGCAATAAACGCTCGCCCGTGTGTGCGTGCGTGCATGCGTGCGTGCGCGCGCGCGTGGATTTTATTTATGTTGCAACGACGTTTATTACAACGCCGGGCAAACTCGGGCGGCGGCATTTATGACGAGCTTTGTCGAGGATTTCTCTGAGTGCGCGCGGAGTATAAATCGGGATTGCGCGCGGAGGAGAATCGGAGGGATTAATTGCGACGGTTACCGTTGGTATCGCGCGCGATCCGCACCATTACGAATAATTGTCATCGATCACCCCTGACGTTGACGATAAAACGGCGAACTGATAAAGCGACGTTGACTTCTCTGCAGAATCATCTTGAGAATATTGCATCTGATAAGTCCGAAATTTAACCGCGCATTTGCTCTCGCCGCGCACGACGATACGTCATGAAGATAGACAATAAGGCAGAGACGAATACGCGAAGAGAATTGGAATAGGCGCCAAGTGCTTAAACAAAAGACGATCAATCACACCAGGGCCGGTTAGAGATTTTTCGATCGCCCTGTGCAAACATATTTCTACTCGTCTCTGGGCGTAAAATTGTTCCCGGTTTTCTTTTCATCGGAGTTTACGTATTTACTCTCGCTCACGGCAATGCGGTACTCGGAAAGTTTTGAGACTCTTTTCGTCGTGTGTGTGATAGATTTTCACAAAGAAACACCAAGGAGAAACGCGTTATTACTTTGAGTGATAACTACCGAGTAAAATCTGGGATAGAATTTCAAAATATATAAATATATTTAAATTTAATTACCGACATATTTTTTACGTTGAATATTGCAAAATAATGGCTTTTTGTGACATTTTCGTAGAAAGTTTTAAAATTAATTCGATAATTTATTATGTTAAAATTATGAATGGCGGTTCTTTTGTGCGCAACATCTTCTTATATTTGCACGATTATGCAACGTTTTGCATTTACTTTACTTTTTATATACACATGCTAATAATGCACTATAAAGGCACAAATAAAGGCTATGCAAATACGTGTACTTTGCACTCTCTCTTCATCTTGAAAATCACACTTCTGAGAAGTGACTGAAAGGAAGAAGGCTACTATGTATATGACAAGCAGTGGAAAAAGTAAGACGTAGTCAGACATGTTTTGCGCGATTCACGCACTTTGAAACGTGTGCAAACGGTACGACAAATAAAATAATTTCAACATCGTGTTCGGCATAAGGAATCAAAGTAGACCCGACGGAGGCATTATTCGATGCATCAGGCCGCGAGCATCATTAGCTTATTAAGTTATTTAAGCGAGGACGAAAGAAGACAACGTTGTGCATCGCGGCAGTCACAAGTTGCCTTCAGGCGTCGTTAACTCGCCACGATATTTCGTTTCATACTTTGTATGGCGATTTTTTTTTTTCATATCTTAAATTTGCATTTCTACGCGACATTACCCGAGACATTTTTGTAGCAACAGTCTGTTTTAACATACGCAATATATAACGCGGTATATAAGAGCATTATTTTTGTATCTTCTCATTTCGTTATGTGTCACTATTAGGTTATAACTGAAGTCCATAACTGAGATCATATGTAAGTCTACAAAAGATTAAATCAGATATAATGGACACATAAATAGAATCTCTTAACCAGTATACATTCTTTTGATACTCGCTGTACAATGCGATATTTTTAGAATGATATCACTCACTCGCCTTTGAATAGCATGTTGTCCGCATGAAAGGCAAACAGATAAAAAATGTTAGCAAAGTGAAGTTGCAATAATGGGAGATTTTAATGTTTACTATCAGTCATAAAATTTTCTCCCATTATCTCACCTAGGAAGTAAACTAATAATATTGATTTGCAGATAACGAACTGATTATCGCGAAAGATTGTAATGAGTATTATTAGATTTTTTCAATAGCTTAACCTTGCTTCATAAAATAATCTTGCGTCATAAAATTTTCTCCCATTATCTCACCTAGGAAGTAAACTAATAATATTGATTTGCAGATAACGAACTGATTATCGCGAAAGATTGTAATGAGTATTATTAGATTTTTTCAATAGCTTAACCTTGCTTCTTTACTGAAAATTATTCAACAGTTCGAATTGTGTTAGTTGCTATAGTATATTATTAACATGATTCAACACTACGTGTTGATATTACTCGTATCTGATGTTTATACAGTGCGTCAAACGTATTTTCCTATGAGGAAAATAATTCACGAGGATACACAAATACCTTCGCGTAAAATGTACATTAGCTGCATTCTGCCTAGATTTTCAGTTTACAACACGCACGATATATCGAAATAGGCGAAATTAAATGGATTTGGTCGTCAAGGTAGCGCAAGGCGATTAGACGCCTACCATTACATTGATAACCATATCTGGGTCATGCAAATTACGGTGTACAATTTCTTTAGATGTTTTATTTGATAATGCGGAAAGTACTGTTTTTATATGTATACAGATAATTGCGCAGTCCTGTTTTCTATATTATCTTGCCTCCCTCTAACACGTGCGTGCTGATAAGTTGAGGTCACGTTAAAAAGTAACGGTACCTCTCGGCGTTTCATAAGCGCCCCATATTCCTGATATATTTCCGCAATACGAAACATTTGATAAGAAAGGAGAAAATGTAATTTTCTAAATTTTATTATATCGTTAGATATCGAACATTAAGAACGCATCATGCTTCTTAAAGAAATAAGATGAGATACACATGAAATACATTCCATTGTTAATTGGAGCACTTTAATACTTCCTGTCGACGCTTGTAAAAATTGAAGAGTAGTATTTTAATACATTAGTATATAGTCGTTAGCTCAAGGTCTCAACATGGGTCTGACAATGATCGACACGAAAGTATAACGTGGCGCTATCTCGAGACGAATGTCACGAAGTAACGGACAAATTTTCTGTGACAGCTCGTTCGATCGAATAACAGATTGAGGAACAATTATTTTATAATTATTACTTAATAGCACGAATTTAACAAAGATCGATTTCTATCGAGCATCTTGCTTTTTCACGCAAGGCAGGGCAATGTGAAAAATTATATATGATTTCTGTTTATTATTCTTCAAAAATATTAATTTGATATATTATTTATATCATATTGCAACTGCGATCCGCAATTTGATCCGATCAAAGATCACTTCAAGCGTTATAATATGGATGAATAAACATTTCAATTCATCAGTGCTGGAAAATTTTTTTCAATAAAAAACAATTATATCAATCTATGTTCAATTTCCGGAATGTACCCTGAATTCCTTCGAGTTCCATCAGAAGGCTGGACGGTTTTGAATCTGGTAAACGAGCGCTTTCATCCGTACGACTGAATTTCTCCTCCTTCAAAAACCAATCTCTATTCTTCTCGATTTTTTCACGCCATGCATCTGCAAAGTAATTTCACACATCAAAATTAATTGAGTCGGTATAATTTTGCACGTAATATTTGCCAAAACCAACTTTTCGACAACAGGAAAATGAGCTTACGGGAATCACATGCTTTCTAATATATTCGTAATTATCGATATAACAATATAAAGTAATTGTATAGAAAGTAAACGACTTCAATTACCGTTTAATTCTCGTAAAGTGCCCGCTTTGCCACCCCATTCATTAGGAAGTATGTCCTTGTTCATATAAGCGTACAACTCTTCACCGCCACCATTGTGTACGTGAAACTGCAAACACGAGAGATATAACTTTACGTTTCCGACTTCTCATTTCTACATTTCATCTAGTGGTCGTTGTAAATCTTCAGTTCACCTTGTGAATCAGTTTTTCTTTCAACAACGGATAAAATATGTTGAGGATGCTAGTGATGGACGACGGTGCATGGAGAAAATGAACGCTAAATAATCGGAAAGGCATACTGTCTTGCACCGCCAACATCGCCCGTCTCACGTTAGATTGCGTCGGGAAGCATTTTGCAAAATGTATCGTGTGAAATCCCTAAAAAGACCAATCTCTTTTAATATGTTAAATCAACTACTACCGCAATCATCATATCGATGTCGACAAATTATTAACACTGAGAACAACTGCACCTCTCAATGTGTAAAGGATATTTTTTTTCACGACCGTATAAACCGATTTTCAGCGCCTATTCTTATTTATTAATTTTTTTTTTAACACGCACTCTGCGTAATTTCATTTTCGAAGTAACACATTGGCGGAACTAAGTGAGAGTGCACTCTCGATGCTCTCAACGCTTAAGTGGAACCTTCACTTCGCGTTCCAACCTCAAGTTCTACACCCGACCCTCTGTGTACATCTTCTCCTCGAAGTACATGGACATTATTAGTCTGGTATTAGCTAAAGAAAAATATGATTTCTCCGTTAAAGTAACAATTCTCACATCGTGAGATTAATACATTTTTAAGGGTAATTACAGTTCCGACTAAGCGAGCAAATTAAGACTCTTGGTCCGCTGAAAACACGAGGAGAATAAATGTCGAAATTATTGGCTTATTTAAATTAGCGCGAAATAACGCAAAGGGAAGTTTCCAGTATACTTTACCAATTTGCATTATCGATCGCGAGAGAATTATTTCACGCGAAGAAACTTATTTATAATTTATTTCGAAGTATACACGACTCAAGGAGAAAGCTCGCGCAATTTTTCGCTCTCGGCGTCATAAATTGATATTGGCTGCGGTGAGAAAACTGAAGCCGTGATGCGAAGCATAATGAGCAATATGAGATACCTGGAAATCTATGATCATGATATTCGACAAGCAAGTTTCCTCCGTCAAACGAACGTCAAGCACCATCAAGATACGCCTGGCTATCGTTTGAATAGAAAACTTTTCCGGGTTGGTGTCACGCACTCGTAACACGGTGACACGGTATCCTTCGTCGCTCAATGACGGCAGAACGAAGAAGTCTCTGATGAAGGAAAGATATTTGTTCAGAGACAGACACAATGGTAAATTGGTTCGTCGCAAAGGAAAGAAAAGAAAAAAACAACCGAACGAGTAATATCGATAAACTCCTCGTCGGATTATTTGGAGTGGAAGAGGTAACGAGGTCTGTATAATTACATCGCATCGCAGCAATCTTGAATATCCCGGGACAGCGGATCGCGAACGGCAAAGAACTCCGGCAAAGACGTACGGACGCTGAAGTATCTTTCCAAGATTAATTTGCACCTCTCGACGCTGTTCTTGCAACCGTAAAGGAATCTCTCCAGTCTGCCATTGTCTACAGTGAGCAATGCGTCGCGTGTAATTTACATCTCTTTGTATGAAGGGCAATGTTTAATTTAATAAGTGGGGCTCCACGTCGACGGAATTAAAATTCACGGCTTAATTACGACGATGCGCTCGACGTTAAATACTAAAACCTATAGTGGAGAAGATGGCGATTGAGAGGATGCCGAGAAAGGCAAGACGCAATATTTGTCCCGTAATTTATTCCCGAGCAATTTGTGCGCGCCCGCAAATGTGCGACGTGCTCGAACACCTTGTGTCTTACGTTACTCGAAGTAATTTACGAACAGACCCATGTGATTTGGCAAGTGCGGCTGCTTGGAGAGCCATTCCCGTATCGCCCTGATATCTTGTTTTCTCATTTCCGGGTCAGGTGGGAGCTGCTCGTCTATACGTTTCTGTTGCGCCGGCGTTGGTGGTAATAACGTCATGATTTGCTGGAATAACAAGCGAATCGATATTGCGTTGTTGTTCAGCGAGGATACGAGGATACGAGGATCAGGCGCGAGGGAGAAGCAACTTCATCGTCGGGTGAAAAAAGACAGCGCGCTCGCTCTGCCGCAGCGCTTTAACTTCCGTAGCGTCTTTACCTTAGAACGAATGCATGAATTGAATCGAGACTCTCCCCGGCTCGGTATATTTGCTGAGTGATAATAAATTTTATCTTTCATTTACTTTTGCACTTTACTATCGGGACAGATAAGGACAACGTTAAACCACGTCCGTCTTTGCGATTTAAGCCTTTGCATTTTTCCTCGTTTTAACGTGCAAATATTTTGCCTCGAATTCGCGAGCGCAAATCCATCCGACGAGTGACTTGTAATCTTTAAGCGGAGATTTTAGAAAGCCTCAAGAATTTTGAACTCGTACTGTAAATTAAGGAAAAAAAAAAGTGAAGATTTGTTACACAGAAATCCCTTCAAAGAAACCGCACAAAGATACTCTTGAGAGCGAATCTTTCCTTTTGTTCGTATAGAGACACAGCTCTTTATTAGATGCGATACTTCGATTTAATTTACGTTTGATTTGATTTGACTGGAGAAAAAGAAACGCATACACCATAGAGCTGAGTATGAATACACGCATTATTGACATTGCGTGTCGTAGCGTGTCGATTTATTACCGCTGTGAGGACGACCTCGTCTGCGCTCTCGTCTTCGAACGACTTATTTACCTTCTCGAAATATTTGCTCGAAGAGTAAAGATGAGTCGAGCACCGGAAGTAAGACGCGAGAAGCAAGTCAAAGAAACGTCAAGAGAGGAGAGAACGCGAGCGTGACGTGAATTCGATTCCATTCGCGACCTCTTTCCTAATTATTTCCAAATTTCGTACACGCCCGCTCGTTTTGTTTTGAAAGCCGATTGGCTGACTGAATACCGATATCGATTGTTCGTCGAACATGATGTGTTTCTTTTTCGCGTTGAGCCTCGAATTTTTCATTTCTCTCGTAATCACATCACGCGTGACAGGCGATGTTACCGGTAAACCGTCGAAAATTGCTCATATCGAGTGATATACGCGAGAAAAATTTCACGTAGAACTTCGGAAAAGAAAGAGCAATCGAAGATAGTCCCGAGAGGATTAGCGACTAAATGCGAACGTAGAGAGATAATCCTCTGAAGCGAAAAATAATCACGAGATAAAACTATCAGAGAATAAAAAGAACAGAATTAATGGATACGAAAAGAATGATATAGAAATAAATGTATAAGAAAGTGAGAAAAGAATATCGGCAATGCGAGCCAGTAGGCGGGAGTCGATGCGCAAACCAGCAAAAAATAAACAAGAACGAAATTAAGTTAATTTAAATATGTAATTATATGTACATTTCGGCCATCAAGTTCGGATCTTTTTCAATGATCGCATAAGCTTGGTACAAATTATAGTAAATCACCACGCAAGCGCGAGAAATATAATATAAATGAACAGCGACGCTATTAAATAACGGGACACTCTCAAATAATAAACAAATGTAAAAGAAGATAAGAACAGTAAATACGTGTGTTGAGCGCAAAGTCTGATACCAGAATGATGCTGTCAGAAAAGAGTACAAAAATTTAAATCAATAGAAGATCCGTGGAAATAAACTTTAATCTTCGTTCTTAAATTAATTCGGCACGGAACCTTCTTTTCCAACTATCTCTTTTCTCATGATTTTCTCAATGTTAATTTTACGACTACTTATTAATTGTTCGAGTAAAAGAAAAGTCCAATTTTACAAGTTCTCTGAATCGATCACAAATGTCATTTTACGGATACATCTTTTTATTTGAAAGTATAACGCAAAAAATTTTGGCATGCGTTTTCTCGCTTCTTAAACAAGAACGGTCACAGCGACTACTCCGGAGCCTTAAGTCTTTGATAAAACACTTTCGTCGAAAAAAACAAATAAACTCCGATTTCAGAGTAAATTTGTGCAAATGGGAAGAAACGCGCGACTTCTCGGTCATTCTCCGTGTATTCGCTGCTATTCGCGACATTTTCGCGAAAGAAGTACTCGGAAATTTCGAGACGCGCGATTCGACGACCCACTTGGTTAGACACGTCGCGACACTTACTTGTTACTTGCAGGACAAACTTGGCGAAGAGAGATGCGGCAATACCGCGCTGTTCGTAAGAATCGCACGTGTTACACCGCGCGGTACAGATCGACGAGTAAAGAGACACCTTCCGCGGTTTCTCTCGTTCACGGGATTTCTATCTGCCCGAAACAGAGCGATTCCTCTTTTACTCGAGCTAGTGGTAAACCAGGTTCCCCACCATAAGCGCATCATGTACCCACATACATAATGTATCACGTAGGAAGTACGTTGACGTGTACGCGATATCCCGACGTGCATGAACTTAAATAGAGAGTGTGTCGGCTGCACACCCGTCTCGACGTTTTCGTAATCGTAACGAAATTTACCCGACGTGACCTGAGTTACGACGATGAGGAATTATTTCGACCGTTGATCCCGTTCGAAAGTAATGGGTCACGAAGGAAAAGTTCGGAGAATTCCGCCAGCTTGGCCGCTTCATTTGTTACTTTCCTCTTCGCTTCGTGACGCTATTCATAAAATTTATCACGGTTCAAATGCTATTATTACGTTAATCTGACCTATATTGATATTTACTATTTACCACTCCGTGTGGAATATCTTTTGAATGCGCCAAACGAAGGAGAAACGAGAAGAATGTATATAGTAAGTAGAAGTTGGTATCGATTTGTTCTTGCTCAGAATTAGAAATTAGAAATTTCTATAATAAGTTTTCGCAATTTTCAGTTTTACATATTCCGTTCCAGACATAAAGTCGCTTAATTTTTACGTCAAGGTTTTCAGATAATAACAAAATCGCAATTGGCACAAGCATTACACAGATTGTCAATTGTCGATCTCACCGAGAGTCTCTAGAGATAAATATATCTTGCGATTACAGAGCAATCAATAGCATCCGGTTGTGGAAATTACGACAAAATTACGAGTCCATGTAGGGATATTTTAAAGGCCGCAAATTACTGTCTGTGCAGTTGTAAAGTTCGTTACAGCGCGAAGCGCGCATCGATGCACATCGATTACACAACACTCGTAGAAATGCATCAAACGAGTATCATTTGCGAGTACGCTCAATATGCACTAAACGACCTTTCGACCCTTGCGAAATCCGAGAAATTCATTGAAATGCCCAAGGCCTAAAAAATTTACGTCTCGTGTGTTTTCAAGCCCACTGTGAGGTAATACGATTACACGAGTGTGAAGTAAGCGCAATTGGAACCGCACATGTACATAATCATTTTATGTTTTCATATTTATTCACTAGTTAGAGTTCATTGTCACTTTCCGATGTCCTCATTTCTTTTTCTCTGGTCCTTTTCCTCCTTCCCCCGAAGTCTATCTGAACGATAAATCCGCAGGCTGACGTTTCATTGAACTGTCGAAGAGATGACAATTTTTGTCACGCACAACTGATTCATACGAAATACCTAATGTCTACGCGGAAAAATAAAATGTTGGATCGAAGTAAATAATTATTCCAATATTCCTTAGCAAATTTTCCTTTAGATCAAGGAAATGTTGATCCAAGTAAAAATTTGTCAAGAAGTATTGGAATTAATTATTTACTTGAATCTAGCACTTTTTTGTAATTATTTTATAATGTAATTATTTTGTAAATTTTTTGTAAAGATCACGAGGAAGATGAGCTTACTGGTTCATCGTCATTTCATGACAGAAGAGCTTCGCGCAGATGCATTCTGCTTTTACACGACGACACATCTTGCACACGAGCTTGTACGGTGGAGAAGAATCGCTAAGTATGAAGCAATTTTAACGCGTGGGTTAAATATATATCGCGAGGATTTGGCCGAAGAAAAGGGAGAGCAACGACTTTCTCACCAAGGTGGTTGCAGACGCGAGCAAGAACTTTTGCAACACGGCAAACTTCGTGTCCCTTTCGTCACGCGTCTGCAAGCGCTCTTGCACTTCGAACACCGCCGTCCGCAGAGCTTGTCGAACGTCCAACGGTCGCAGTACTTGTCTTTCGCTCTAAAATAAAGCACCTATCGGATCACGAATCACGCTAAACGCAAGATAACCAGCCGAAATGCCGGACAGCGCAGGTTAAACTCACACTTCGAAGGCGAGAACGCACCAGAGACACGCTAGACAAGCGCAGCTGCATAACGCGATAATCTCCAGCATCCTGGATTTACCGAAAGGCGCACGTGCGCGTTGAAGATACAGCGATTTTTCTTTTTCACGAAGTCATACGCGACCGACGCGAAAGATCTCTTCCATTCTTTGTTCGACTGCGGCCGACAGCGCCGCAACTGACAGCCGGACTGTCATCGAGTGACATCTCGCACTTCGTGTGTTATTGTTATCGTGATACACAGCTATCCAACGTCGCGTCGTGGTCTACGAATCGTGTGCGAAATTTCGTCGTTTAGGTTTAGAAAAAAAAAGAAGAAGTTAAATTCAGGCGCTGTTCGGGAGCGTACGTCGTCGAGAAAGTCGTAAGGGCCGTGACAAGATGCGAAGTTTCCGTCGAGTCGCGAAATGGTGGACTGCGTCACGATATGTAACAGCGCTTGCATAGCTTGCATCTGGTGCTTCCTCTTTTCGGTATGGTACGAGCTCGTAACAGCACGACGCGAAGGCTGAAAGGACCTCCGCGAACGTGTTATGACCAGGATTGAGTAATGATAAAAGTAACGATAATGTTCGTTGCCACATGAAATCAATTGCATCCCCGTCTTTGTTATTAACGAGGAAAAAGAACGCTATTGCCAAACCGTTACTGTCAAAAAAATACGGTAACTTTATAAAATAAAAAATGTAATGACTACGACGTTACGAAAATATACTGAAAAATGAATTTGGTTTATAGTCAAAGAAAACCGCTTTTCTTAATTTTTTCTCAGGAAGAAACTGAAAAAATCCGTGGAAAAATTGAAAAAAATTTTTCCAATTTTCTTCATTCATCTATGGAAAGAAACGGAAGAACCCGCGAAAAAAAAAAACTGAAAAAAACTTGATTTTTTCAGAACCTTTAAAATTACAGTTTGATTAGAACCGTCTGACAATGAACAACCAAACGCATTTTAATCGAAGGAAACAGAATTTCTGATTACAAAAATCATATTTTGTTCATGGTGAACTAGAAACTTTGTTTCCTCCAACCAAAACGCGTTTGGTTGTCCATTGTAAATCCGACTAAACCCATTTTTCAGTACACGTTATTTCCCAATCCTGGCACGTTACATAATACGATACATAATACGCTTTCTATACTTCTATCGTCGAATTATTTCCGGGTGTCTGTTTAGTTTCCCCAGATTCTCGAAAAATCTTAAGACTACAGATTCGAGCGAGTGTTGCTTACGCGCAAAACCGACTCGCGAACGCCGGAAAGCACTCTCGCGCGAATTGTCGAAACGCATGAGGACCGATTCGATTCATACACGACAAAAGTTCAAAAGTCATTCGCGCGTTCGCCATTTGGAGTGCGAGAATCGACGAGAACATGGCTCTCGTCCCGGAGAGAAGGTGCGCGGCCGAGTCTCGGGAGAACGTCGAAAATACTCGGAGAAGGAGGAAGTAACCTCGCCGACATTCAATAGACGAGTTAAACAGACCGACCAAGGTTCCAAGGAGTCAGACGGTTCATTGAGCGGAAAGAGCCACGACGCAACCTTGAAAAAAGAAGGCAGAATGTGCGCGAGATCTTGAAGTGTATATTTACGTATCTGTTTACAAGAATCGTTTAAATTAATGGAGCGCGCGAACGACAGAGAAATATAGAGTGATAATGAGAAGTCAGACGGTTCTTCCGATGAGATCAATAGTGTTATTTATAGAGCCTACGGAAACTCTTATCGTCTTGGAGATTACACGGCGTTTATTTAAACAGACCTGTTTACTCACGATTGCGAAAGTGTATAAATATAATAAAAATGTATACAACAAGCGCGCGAAATGAAGTTAGAAAATATATTCCGTCACGCATTTCGACCTTCTGTGGGATATTTTAAATATTTTAAATATGAAGTATATTAAATATCGAATATATGTATGTATTTATACACACACATGCATATATATATACATATATCTAAATTTTTAATTTCTTAGTTCCTTAGATTTTTTTCTTCCGACATTCTTGGCATTTCTATATTTTTAAAATTATTTTTCTTTATTTCTGATTCTTTTTGCGACTTCTTTAACGATATCTTTCTTACCATACGAGTTCTTGCGGAACATTAAGTAGCGACATTTGCGAATTTTAAGATTCGTGATATCGTCAGTCAACTCGCATTGTTCTCGAATCCATCCGCTTAAATGGTTTTCAAAAATTTTCCGGGGTTGTTACATCAGTCGCAAAATTCTGCTCGACGTTATAATCATATTTCTTATCCGTCGTGTCTTTCTGGATAACAATTTCCTTAAAAGGAGCTCGCGCTGGATTAACATCAGAGTCGTTATCGACGATCTGCACAACTTTCTGAACAGTTGAGAATTCCATCACGACCGTTGATTTCGCGTCGTTTACTGTCTGGGAAGCCTCCGACGTTCTCGTATTCTTCTCAAAATTTGTCGCATTTGGCCCGTTCCTAAAATACAAGTTTACATGATTAATATTATTAATAATAAAGTATAATAATAAAAATGAAAAAATATCTTTCACGTATATATTCGCGATAAAGATGGAAAATCAGAGAAGAGGAATAAAATAAAACAGAATGTAGTTACAGAGATGACGTTTCCTTTCCATTTTTCCTTTCGTATGTTGTCAAATATTCTAAACTCTTCTTAGATCTTTTCTTCTGACATCCTTGACATTTTCGCTCGCGAGGAATTTTCACATTGGTCTTATTGACAGCGTTAATATCTGCATTAGATTGCCCTGGTTTTTTAGCAGTTCGCAGGGTATATTTGCTCTTTGATCTTTTCAAATCAGATTTTTGACGAGCAGCTTTTTTTCTAGGACAGCGGTGATGACTCTGATACTGCCACCTAATGCGGCACATACGACGAAATTATCTTAGAGCAACGATATTACGAAATAACGGTACTTTCAAGTAATTTCGAGAATCAGTTTTACATTCTAGCTGCGCAAAGCGCCCGGGGAAATATTGAAATAATTCGCAACGGAAAATTACCACAATGCGCAGGTCGTAACTGTGGAACTGAACATGAAAATACAGTTTAGCATCGTCAAAATTATCAGTGGTTCTATCATGATTTGCCAACATTTTTTTTTGCCGGTCGTAAATACAATTGATCGTCCGTGGTCACTTCACATTAAACGCGACTATTAAACTGATAATTTTTAACAACACATTTTATTGGAAATAAACCAGATAGCCGATGCATGTCCTGCACTTATCAACGTCAAAACTATTCATATCGATCTTTATTGATTAAACGCAACATATCGATATTCACAGTGAGTGAAGGCATTCACAACAAACTCTGATTATTAATTTTGAAATACTACAGCTTGAAAAGTTATATATTATATTTTATTTGATTAGTATTTGTTAAAACATTACTGAAAATTGCTGCCGCTTTCCGAGCAATATTCAACATTGTAATATAACTTGCATTTTTGTATTCGTCAAATTTAAGGCTTCTCCGTCTTAATGTGCAGAGAAAAGTGTTAGTATGTCAAAACTTATAGACGATTATGCGACACGTTTCCTAAATTGTACCGAACTCACGGCGTCCTGGCGAGTCACCGATTCGGCAGGTGAAGACGTGCGGCGCAGTCGGAAGAGGAAGGTACGCACAGGAAATGCGTACAGATTACCATAGCTGTCGACAGGGAAGCGGGCCAATCAACAATCCCGCAATATCGTATACCATCTCCCGGCGGGAGTCCGGCCGGGACCTTTTGTGGACACCGACGGCACAATGGTGCCGTAACCGCAATATAAAAACGAAAGCCTCGAACGATCCCTCGATCGGCGTGCATCTGTGTGACGTAATATAATGATGATATTACAGCCTCTGCTCTCCCCTCATCCACCGTCCACGGATCGGGACAGCCACGGTCGCGGTTTCCGACGTCACAATGCGCGAGATCGACGCGGACCACCCTGACGCGATCGCGCGCGCGTCACCACCTGCGGCGAACGCGCTCGCTGATTTATTTATTCTCCCCGATTTTGTCTCGGTGACAATTAGCGCCTGTTAAAATGGAAAACGAGCGCGAGTGAATCCGCCGTTTAAGAGTCAGCGATTTCTGCCAAGCTGGAAAGTGTGACAATTATTTCGCTTGGTGATCTCGGATTGAATGCAGCACCGAACGACGGATACTTTCTGTATATTTTAACCTCTTCAAACGAATACCGACACATATGTGTACGTTTAGATAGATTCAATTTGTCTTTTTTTCATTCGGGTGTTGTCGACAAGTACAATTCTGAATAAAACCTTACTGTGAATAAACGTCCACCACAAAACATTTCCACGAAATGAAGACAAATCTTGTCACATGATTAGCGGGTGTCATATTCGTCATTTTAAAGTCAAATCGTTTCCCTTTGATTTCATTCTTGAAGAGGTCGAACGCGAATCTGAATCAATCGAATCGCATTAACCCATTAGCTGCGACGATCTTCATTTGGGGATCAAAACAAAACATAATTTGAATATAATTACACTGTTACACAACTTTTTGTGCATATATATAACTTATCCGGCCAAAAATCTCAAAAAGAAATTTGGCAGTTAATGGATTAAGAGAAAAATATAGTTTCAAGAGAACTATTTTTCTGGTAAGTGTTATTATAGTGTCGGTTATAATATATAACCTTACACGCATGTTGCTACTATTATTTTTGCGGTTAAAATAAAAAAGGATATTGTCGTCGCTGAAAATAACTACATTTTTCACTTCAGTGCGATTCGGCAAGCTGAATTCACGCTGCCTGCGTTACATCGAAACGATCACGCGACCGTTCTCGTAAGAAACCTTCCACTCGTACGACATCGATCGACGGCAGAGCGCGGGAAATCTTTAATCGAAGTGTTACGAGCTCCTTTATACGCATTCAATCTCCGTTTATACCGAACCGTGCGAAAACGTCTCGATTTTACGCGTTTCTCAAGTGGCCCATGAATTATCACCGCTCTTTCATCCTGGAGGACGCGTCCGAGCCTCTCGATCCCCTCCTTTGCCCGCGTAGAAAGTCCACGTCCCACGTATAATATCGCGGTCACTTGTCGCTTCATTCATCAGCGACCGCAGGCGTCTGCTCTTCCAGTCTCGAAATTCGGGGGAAAAAACGAGTAGCTTTTCACACACCGTCGCGATCTCGCTCGTCACGCTGTCTCCTCGTCCCCGAGCGAGTGCGTGCGTCTTTTTCTCGTGGCGTCCTAATTTATTGGCCAGCGACCATTGTCGCCGGCTCTTAAACGCGACCACACAGAATGCGAACGACACCTTTATGAACTCCCACGGCATTCACGATTACGTAACCGCCCGCGCACTTTCTTACACTCGCGTCACCGCGCTCTCCCTTTTTCCCCTCGTTCTCCTTTCTTACGTTTGTGTACGCGCGTCTCGCTCTTTCCTCACGCGCCACACCTTGATAATCGCGACATTCATCCTCCTTTGTGCGTTTGAACTTTATACGTCATGATCGATACCTCGCACGGTGGACATTTAGCGGGACGATGAGCGCGGGATACATACTCGTGATCCGCCGACTGTGACGACCTCGAGTGGATTCGTGACAATGCCGAGACGACGGATACGAGTAGCTCGAAAGTTACTCAAATATTTCTTCAATCGTCGTCGTCGGTGGCTACCCGTCGTTAACTGATCGTCCGGGGCACAGACACGCGCTCGTCGAGTGTCCGGAGAATTTCTTGAGTTACGCTTATTAGAAAATCGCTGCATCCGCTGTTACCACAGAAGTATCCTCTCCTGTTGCAGCCGATGATGGGCGACATGTAATCACAGTAAAGGCGCATTTGTCACAGAAAGAAAATAAGACGAATTCCTGAAATAACGGTCAATTTTTCAGCCGCTCTCATCTATCACAGTCGTCTGCCTAAAATGGCGGCCGGAAATAGCCGAGCTTTAAGTTCCATCTTACGCGCAAGATACACAGAAAAAAATACTGTTATATCAACAGGGCTGGTCAACAACGCCGTAATGGGAGTAAACCTTATCGATTCGATAGCGAAATATTATTAAAACTGTACTATAACTATCGTTTCAATAATTCAAGTATTAATTCAATAATTCAAGTTTCGATGATATTGTTATGGAATTAAGATTTGCCCCAATTATGACGCTGTTGACTAATTCTATTAATACAACTCATTTTTTTCCATTTACAAAATATGGAAAAATATTTGGAAATCATTAGTAATCGTGTTCTTTAATCGAGTTTTCATACGTCTTAATAGTGTAGTTACATTTAGTTCTTATTTTTATGTCGTTTGTTATATCTGCACTCTTATTCTCTGCATTATGTTTCGTAAATACAATGCGGCTGCCGACTATTTTCTCTTTGCCTTCTTTTTTGATTGCTTCTTAGGTTTCTTCGAATTTTCCGATTCATTTACGTCCTCTACAAGCAAATCGGCAACAGTTATCGGTTGCGGTGGTGCAACTGTAGGTTGCGTGGGTGGTGGTGTTGGAAGCTTTGATAGTTTTGGTGGTTTTGGCGTCCTGAGTTCAAGCTCGACGTTTCTGCCTTTCTGATCGGGGCATTCTGTCTTCTTTTTTACTCGCAGTAGGAAAACATTCTGATTCCCCTCTGTTGTATGATTAGTGTATACTTCTTGGGATCCTGAAATACCCTTGTGAGGATATACAGTGATGGTCTTACATCGATGGCTGTCCTGATCATCTTTGCACGATTCAATCTACGAAAATTTTAGATCTTTCATAATTTTCCATGCAGAAATGAAAGTTATAAGTGGAAATTCTATTATTATTTTTTCATTTTTTTACATTGACTATATAGATTTTCCCCTTAATAAAGATTATCGAAAGGGTTGGAAAAGTGTCGACAAAAACGAAAGTAAGCAGTTCTCATTTGTATAATTATTCTGAACCTCTTAATTTTAATTGGACTTAATATCACTTTATGGTATTAAAGATATGTAAATCAAAAACTGCTGATTCTTTAAGATCAAACGACACAGGACGAACTTTGTAGGCGACAGTTTGTGAATTATAAGTAGATTCTTTGTTGAGCTGAGAAGAGGACTGAACACGAAATATAACGCGGTCTTCGTAATTCGCATTAATTATCCTGGGGCCTCTTTTGCTCGTCGGTCTTTGAATCTCGACGCAATCACAAGGTGGATCCCATTCATGTTGTTTCCTTTTTGTTTTACTTTTGTCCTTTTCCAGCCTGATGAGCAACTGATTGCCAATCATCTCTGCTCCTATCTCTCGGTAATATTTCGAGCAACTGTTCTCGACAGGCGAGGGTGGCGGACACGGTGGCGGACATGGCAATTGAGTTATGGAGGGACAAAGGCATACATCTTGTTTCGTAAATAAAATACCTTTATGAGTATTTATGAGTTTTTATGAGCGTCATGTATTATTGAAGAGAGTTCATTATCTGAACCAATATGTTTTTTTATATATCTTGTCTTATCGATTTTTATTAATCCCTACTCAATAATCAAATATATATTTTAATAAAGAATATTCTAGAAGATGGGGACGTCGAAGTCTCCGAAATACAATTTTAATTGAAATTTATCTTGAGTTCATTAAAAAAATACTGTTCTCGCACTTACCCTTGTCAGTAGAGAACTGCATTTTTATCGGTAATTTGAAATTCGAGAGGTCTTTACCGGAAACGAAACTGTTATATTTGTTTCTTTAACGTCCCATGTTTGCTTCAAGTTTATTCAAAGGTATGGTTATGATCTGTGCGATTTCAGTGAAATCGATTATTAAATGAAGCGCTGCGCGTTAAAAAGCAACTTTCACGTTGCAGGCTCGCTATCTCCCGCGAATTACTAACATGTCGCCGTTTGGTTAACCTGATCAAAATTTCCGGTTTCCAATTTGTCTTAAGAAAATTCCTCTTTTCTTTTGCAATCATGTTGCTCAATAAGTTCTCTTATTCACATCCGTAAAGAAAAAAAATAATAACAAAAATGATCGCGGCGACCTACAATTGCGGTTGTCTGATCCCAAAACAATCACCGTTGGTCGCTAAACGGACCGAGTCACAATCACCGTGTTCGCCCTGCTGTTTTGATTCATTCCATTCGATTGTATCCGGAGACAAAGTATTTTATTATATAAATTGCCAAAGTTTTGTACATACTAAACTTCGGTAAAACTTTAGTATTTACTAGGCCAAAACTCACTGTCCAGTCGTGTATATCGTACCTGGTTATGCGTGTACATTATGACTTGATTATTCAGTCAATCTGTCATTTTGACAGCTTGGCATATCATATCATATATCATATCACATGATATTCAGATGAGATGGGAACGATTAGAAAGACTAGTTTTGGCATAATAAATATTAAAGTTCTATTAGGGCCTAATATATATTTCCTCCTTTTTCCCTCAATTACTTCTCAACGTGTCAAGTGCTACGTCGTAAACATATTTCACCTTAGCTTGCCATATTCCGATCTAATAGACTGTTAAATGTTTTTCAGTTTTCTAGTTTTCACGTGGTATATTACTTTTTCTTAAAGAATTTAGCAGTGCGATTCCATAACTGTCAACGACAGTGTCGTTATCGCTACGTTGGCGTTGCGGAGGTATAATATATGGCAAAAAATCTGCGTAATAACAATATAATGATAACGACACGTCGTTAAAAGTTATAGAGTCTTGCTGCACGTATCTGCTACAACGAACGAACATTACTTTTCCTTAAATCGTATTTGCAAAATCATTAGAGAATTTTTTTTCCGGAAACACTCTTTTCCATATAACAATAAATTTAATTTAAACCATATTCGTTTTTAATTTGACATCATAAACATCTTATTCAGGCTCTGTATCTTTAATTCCTGCATTGCAAACTTACAAATATTAATTAGAATGAAAATGACAAGACGACAAAGTCGAGCGGTTTCACCGGAGTGTGGCGAATTAAAGACTCGAAAATAAATGTGATTGGATAGGATTAATACATTCGACTTCTTTGCCCGGACAGACACGGGCCGTGATATCTCGTGCGTCTCGAGAAAATTTCCGCAAGCAATACGCCAGCAGCGAAAGCGACTTGAAGTCGAAGGAGCTCGATTCAAAGCGAGCTCCATCCGACAAGATTACATCCGCGATCGTTGGAAAAGGTCAGCCGTACAAAGAGATCGAAGCTGTCATTAATGACAATCGCGTCATTATCAGGACGCACAAAGAGCCCATCAAAGAGGAATACGATCCCCCGTGCGAGTGTATCGGCCAAGATACAACTACGAAAGAGTCGGAGTCGAGTTTAAGGAAATGCGAGGACGGAGTCTCGTTCGAAATGGCCAACGGAAGTTTGGAACTCTGTCGTACTCCTCGAAAAGACGCGTCCTCGGCGGACAAGAGCTCATCCGAGAAGGAAGCGGGTTGCCGCACGATCACGTTGTATCCTAAGGCGGATGAGAATAAAAAACCAAAGATGGAAAATCCTATCGAGCTCGAGGAAAATCCGAATATATTCGTATTGAGAATCAGGAAGTGGTGCGACAACGCCGATAAGAAACATAAGATCGATTTGGAATTCCGGGCACCGCGACCTTGGCGATCACAGAAGAAGAAAGTAACTGTAAAGTAAAAATTCCACGAAAATATACGAAGATTACTACGGCAGGAACGAGACATTGTGCGGGTTCTTTTATTACGACACGCGAGATAAGTTAAATAATAAGCACACATTGATATAAGTTATCCGGGCGATGCAAATATTTAAGAAATGTTTTAAAAACGTCTAAATGATCTTGCTTGTTTTAGATGTCTCTTGGAGAGACATCTAAATATATCTCGAAGACGTGCATATTTTAGATGCTTGTGTCGCCTGTTTCCTTATATGCAATCATTCGCGTTCAATAGTACTTTTTAAATTCCTTGGAATGGAATCTCATTCGAAATAAATAAAGAGTGTCAGTATTTTCAATCGATGCGATAGTAAAAATGCCGCCACTCGAAATCTATATTTGCGTTGATATTGACAAACATACGTACACGAGATTCCCAGCAAGCGCCTTCAGTTCCTATCATGTTTGAGAAATCCTGGAACAGACAATGGTTACGTAATTATTTTCCATATGCGTTCCGAGGAGGAGTACAATAAGACACGCTGTGTTCTCATGAGATCGATCTTTCTAGTCTCAACCGGCGAGATGCGGATGATTAACGCGTGTCGAATGGAATTTCCGGAACGTACGAGAATGGGGAACCAAGAATCCGGTAGTCAGCGTTTCTACTCCGAATCCTTCAGTGTGTGCGGCTAATTTGTCTCGGATCAGGTATACACCCTTCATAATTCGGGAACGTAAGTTCGTACAAAACACAACACGACAGGTGCCAAACCTTGTTCTAAAGCTCCTCAGGACGATCTTTCCTCCCTTCTCCCATTCATAGATTCTCAAACTATTTTTAACGCATTGCGTATGGCGCTCTGTTCTTCTAGTCCGTTCCCAGAACCTGAATATTATTATCACACGGCTATGTCAAATCCTTCTTGATATAGAAAAAAGATTTTATTTCTATTAAATAAATATTTCTGGTTTCTGGGAACCCGGATAGTACATATACACGTGAGTTTGGATAGTCGGATATAGAAATATTTTAAACTAACAGCGTTATTTACCTGATCCGCTCTCGACGTACGGTCTGCTAAACACGAAATATTTCGTGTTCGATGTATTGAATAACTGTGACATATAACTGAATTGCTGAACGTAATATTTTTGGTGTTATCGGTAATATTGATAATCCGCGCGGATCTATACGTGGCTGAAATCTCACATCGCGTCTTAGACGTAATCGAGAGCGTGAGGCATACGTTCTGAGAAACGACGTCGCGGAGAAAATCTGTGCATCACACTCCTTTTCATCCCCGAGGATGTTCGAGCGGAGCATCCACGGGGCCGAACGCGGAAGAAAGAGATCTTGAAGAATCTCCGGCTCGATTCTCACGACTCGGTGCTCGGAGTCAGGTGCGCGCGTGAATGGACTTCTGGTTCCCATTCATATCTCCCTTAGTGATCCGAATAGCCACCCGCCCACCAAGGCCCCCATTTTTTGACGCCCGACAGTCTCGGAAGAATGGGAAAGAGGATGGAGAAAAAAAAACGATGATTTCTCAGTGAAGTGCGCGGCCCGACATCGAGTCGTTTTTTTTCGGCCATTCCGTCCCATTGACGTATAATGATAAGCCGAATATTTCGGGCGTTGTGATTTTTCAATCGACGCGATAGCTCTTCACGCTTTTCTCGTCTTTAAAATTTATTAATGCTCGGGTTTGAATGAGAAATGATCTGGGGACGAGACGAGCCACCTGCATACAGCGAAGCGAACGCATGGAACTGCTTCAATTAACGATTGAAATCTAAGTATAAAATATTTAGAAGGAAAACACCAAGACCGACATATTACTTTGTTTTTGAAATCTAAAGCTTTGTTGAGAGTATAAAATTAAATTCGTTCGAACCATATCCGGTGTGTGTATTATTTTGCAACTTACACTTGTGATAAAAGAAGAAAAAAAGGAGGATAACGAGCGAAAAGTTTTCCTCCGACTGAAGCTTTGTATAAGGCACTCAAGCAAAAGATAGATTGTATTTTACATAAAGATTAACTATAAAGTTATGTGAACAGAAATGTACAGTTGTTGGATAGTTTTATGGTTGAAGGTCAAATTGATTCCACCTATTCGTTTATGTTTCAAGCGGTCGTTAAAGAGATAAGATACAAAAAATATATGCTTATCATGAGAAAAAGAAAAATAATGGAAATATGGAAAAAACAATAAAAACGTCGAATGTACGGTATATAAGTAAGAACTATTCATTTATATACAGAATTCCGTTATATTCGGAATAGTTCTTACTTATATACCGTACATTCGACGCTTTTATTGTTTTTTCCGTATTTCCATTATTTTTCTTTTTCTTACGACAGGTATTTTTTATCTCTTATCTCTTTAACGACCTCTTGAAACGAGTACGTGGACGAAACTACATTGGTATATACGATAATGCCGTCGAATGTACAGTATATAAGTAAGAACTATTCCGTTAAGTTCTCATAGGAATAGGCGAGAAGTTACTGACAACAGTTTAGAAAACGGAAAAAATCCATGAAATATATATCACGACGAAAATGTCGAGTTGTATGTTGTTCTTTACTGTAATCATAGCGGGGGTGTTTATGGGCACAATCGCGACAAATTATTGCAATTTGAAGTCATGCGTAAACTATGGAAATATTCATACGATGTGCAAGTATACTGTAAGTAGGAATATTCACATATTTTGTAGTTGAACATGCTTAAAGTTACGAACAAAATTCAAGATTATCAACAATCTTTCGTTTCTGTTCCGAGTTAAATATTGAAACGTTAATCTTACATTTTTTCGAGTACGTACACTCACATATACAATCACGACATCATTTATTTATAGAATATAGAAGTGCGCGTGCGAGTAATCTCGCCTTAATCTCACACATTTATTAAGCAAAATTAATTTCTTACAATAAATATTTACACACACACACACACACATATATTCATGACAACTATCTACAAATGATAATTAAAGTCATCGAAATTTAAATCAGAACGCAGCAATCATTTTCTCGAAGTAAATCAAATCGCTTCTGGCATAATTACATATTTTTTTAAATCTATCGCGATGTTCGATACAAATTTGAATTTTTTGTTGCGTATACTTGAGCATAATTAAGCATAATATCATGCCACAGTCATCTACACCGGCGTCAACATGTAGCAAATGGGAAAAAGCAGGTTTAACCGATGCAGAAAAGAAGACAATAGTGACTCTACACAACCAGCTGAGGCGAAAAGTTGCAGCGGGTAAAGAAACGAGAGGAAATCCGGGCCCGCAACCAGCGGCAGCTACAATGCCAGACTTGGTAAGATATAATGTAAAATGCATTAGTAGAATACGCGCTAATACATGTACTTAATATTCTATTTTCTCAGACTTGGGATAATGAATTAGCAATGGTTGCACAGAGATGGGCTAATCAATGCAAATACGGCCATGATGCTTGTAGAAATATAGGTGAATAATTATATCTATTCGTTTACATGTACAACACAATAAATTATGTGCACTTTATTGAAGAATAATGAATGTCATCGTAGAAAGATTCCAAGTTGGCCAGAACGTAGCCATAAGAGGCAGCACTGGTGAAAACCTTTCGACTGTGGATCAAATGATTCTTTCGTGGTACAGTGAAGTGGATTTGATGAACAAAAAATATGTTTCCTCATTTCCGTAAGTACTTCATATATTTGAATATTACAGTCGTGCCTATTTCGTACATTGTATTTCCAGATATATATATATATATATTCTATTACAAAGTGCGTTTGTGCTTCAAGACACGTTTCATAACATGTTTCGTAGTAAAACGTTTTATTTTCATTCACAGTGCTTCAAGACACGTTTCATAACATGTTTCGTAGTAAAACGTTTTATTTTCATTAATACCATTGTAATAATGATCACATGCACATGATCACTATTACAATGGTATACATATATATATATATATATATAAGGTTTTCACCAGTGCTGCCTTTTATGTATATATATATATATGTATACCATTGTAATAGTGATCACGTGCATGCATAAAAGGCAGCACTGGTGAAAACCTTATATATATATATATATATATATATATATGTATACCATTGTAATAGTGATCACGTGCATGTGATCATTATTACAATAGTATTAATGAAAATAAAACATTTTACTACGAAACATGTTATGAAACGTGTCTTGAAGCACAAACGCACTTTGTAATAGAATCATTTGTTTTTAGGAAAGATGACACGTATAAGAAAATAGGTCATTATACTCAAATAGTTTATGGTAATACGAAGACTATTGGTTGTGGACGAATATTTTACAAGGATGGCAAATGGAACCAACAATATTTGGTTTGTAACTACGGTCCAGCTGGAAATTATCCAAACGCACCAGTATACCAAATTAAGCAATAAATTTAACCATTAAATGTATAAATGATCCATAAGCAATGTGAAAACTATAACGAGATACAATAAGAGGGAAAACATATTTCTATATCTCTCTTCTTTATAAAATAATTCGAAACATTCTGCGATAAAATAAAAGCAATAGCAATCATAAACGTTGCAGTTTATTATAACAGAACATTATAATTATAAACGTTTCAATTTATTATAACAGAAGAACCCGGATGAGAGGGAGGAAACAAGGTTGCTGCGCGGTCTATCGTAAACACTTTAAATATAAATAATCACGGTCATTACGACGATATGATATTGATAAAAGAAATTTGAATACCGTTTTCTTTCGTAATCCCGACATGTCCCGCGGTGTTACATCTGCGATGCATTTTTCTCGAAGTGACTGTTCCCCGACGTTTATCGATCGACTTGACGCTCGCGACTTGCGCTTCGGCAGTCCTTTTGATTACCGCATTACACCGGTCGCACCTTCTTTCGTCTACAAACTAGCCGACCTCGTGGGTATCCCAGCCCGTTTTAGCATCCTGAGCGAGAGCGACGGAGTTGTCGCGCCTTTTAGGTGCGCGCAACGTATAGTATCCCCGCGTATCCCCGCGCGTATTCATCTTGCTTGACGACGTAGCGCAACGTTGTCGCGTCTGGAAGAGAGAATTGCGAATATAGACGATCCATATATCAGAGAGTCAGCGGCGCCGCGGGTGTGCTCGCGGCATTCTGGTGAGCGCGAGAACACACTCTCGTCCGGACACACCTGAGGTGGCGAGAGACGCTCCGAGGAAAGCGAGAAAAGGAGAAGGAGAGAGAGAGAGAGAGAGAAAATAGAGGAGAAAGCCCAGGACTCGCATCGGGGCAAGAGGGAGGACGGCCTATTAGGGTGACTCTAAACGCTTTTTAAATCGCACGTTAGAGAAACGGTATATCGGACGAGTGTCGGACGCGCAACAATGACGCGGGCAAACATTCCGATATACAGGCCCACCCGCGGTGTGCACCGCTGCGCGAGGGACATATAACTGTCGCGATGCTATGTGTGCGCGACACGGTAGCGCAGGTAATGTTTGGATAGATGGACGCGCGTAAACGGGAAGCGCGAGGAGAGCCGAGAAGAATGAGCGGCAAAGGCGGAAGAATTTGTATTCGTTGACAGTGAGATCTCGGCGACTCCGGCAGCTATTAGGGCCGAGGACCCCGCGACCGTTGTAAATTCGGAGAGTTCGGATGACGATGTAGATGTTATTCGCGCCAGCCGAAATCGAGCGCAACGCAGCGTGTGAAATGCGATTTTCACTTGCAAACGCGGCGATTGGGCCGTCCGGAGCTTTCGTCACGAGGCTGACCTTTGGCTCTTCCCGGGAAACGGTTGAATTATCAAATGTCGGAGGGGCTTGTTTGCCTCTTGGCCTCGCAAATTTTCCGCTTCGCTCTCGTCAGTTTTAGGGCGCGCTTTTTTAACCCGAGTCGAAATTTTGATTCTACTTTGATACTTGAGGATAGTTTGCGCCTACTGGATGGCTAATAGATTAATAAAAACTTATTTTAACAACATGTATATGTATATATATGTTCAACTTCTTCCTTGAATCTTTAATTCTAAGGATTTAATTTTACTACCATTTTAAAGCTATAAATGCTTCTGATACTTTATTAAATTCATATGCATATGAAAACAACCTATTTCGACTCTGAAACAGCGAAAACGGAAATGTAAGACATCATCAAGCAAGAGTAGATTATGGAATTGAACATATCTTAACTCCTATTATATTGTAGAATTAAAGATTTAACATGAGGCCAAGACTTTGGCAGGGAGACGCAAGCTTAACAACGTGGTTTAACGCACGTGTTAACGTGGTAACAACTTAATGTTGATTGCCCACACTGTTCGACTTAGACAAGCGAAGATGCGGAAGTCAAAGTTCAGGAGGGAAGATTTCAAACAAAAGCAGATCCGTTTGTTTTGAGGGTACGAGTACAAGTGGTTCTCTTCGAGAGTAAGCGGCTCTGCCGGCGTTTTTCTTCGTGTAAACCCGATCTAATGACGAGCAACCGGAGTAATCCCAGATTAAGGTGGGCCGGTGCAATCCGTGTGCGTTTAAGGCATCGTTTAACTTCAGTCACGGAGGCAAAGTCACCCTCCGGTAATATCGCCTGCAACAGGCCGGCTTGACGGCGATCTATTCAATGGGGGTCGTGAAAGGAAGAAAAGAGAGAGAGAGAGAGGAGGGGGGAGGAGAGATTGTAAAGGCGAAAACAGGGGCAACAAGGAAGTATCCGCGCACGAAGTGGTTCGCGCGTAAAATAGCACGAGCACCGAAGCGATACCTGATTGAAATATCGACGGACGCAAAAACGGCGATGAATGGGTGTTGATTGTATTAATTTGAAACACTAAGCATATTTTGGTACTACGAACGAACTTCATCGAGCGAGGATAAAGTAGTTAAAGCGCGCGTGAAACATTTCTTTCTCAACTGCGGAAATCTGAGCCGAAACTGAGGCGGGAAGAGAGCGAAAAGAGGAAATAGCCGAGAACAAGGATAAAATGGTTAACGAGGGACGTGAAACTGTTCTTTTTCACTAGCGAAAACTCGAACCGATATTGGTGGAGGTTACTTTCGCCCGCGGAAGGATAAAAATTAGATTCTGGGAGAGAAACAGAGAGAAAGAGAGGCGTTCGAAGCGGAATAAAGTTTTGCACCCTCGCGAGAAGGACTCATCGGAGCTCGGTGGACGAGGAGGGCGTACGGCAAGGGAGGCTGTAGGAAAGAACCCGGGATAGCTCGCGGTCATATATTTGCAGAACGGTAGGGGGGTGTCAGCGAGCTTCGACGAATGTCCCAGCGGGGTTTCCGCTACCCGCCTGCTACCGAAACTTTCCTAGTGTGAGAATCCGTCGCACTTAATGCCAAGCTATCGCGATAGCTCCTCGGATTATCCAATCTTGTCCATCATACATTCGTATCCGCGTTACGCCTCGGACCGGAAGCTGAGGATCCCGTTTCCTCGCCTCTGTCGTATTGAATCATGACGTCGAAGCGAGCGATCGTGGATACGAATCCCTCTCTTTTGCATCGTGATGTTCAAGTAAAGACGACTTTTCACCGTCGTTGGATCGATAGAACGTACTCATACTCTCATTTTAGCACGAGGATCGATAAGTCGTTACAGATCTCGACTAATTGTCGTGAGGAATGTTTCCTAAAAATGTGAGACGCACAAGCACGGATTGAACTATACGACTGTTTATTATTGCGGAAGAAAACGGAAAGAAATACACGCAGCGAGTCCGACATATTTTAACAGTCTGTATCACACTGAGCTAAAAAGTTAATTAATTTCCACGCGATTTCTTAATTCAATACGGCTGCGATTAGGGGGCGAGAGTCTTAAAGCTGCCCCGTGGCTGCTCCAAAGCGGATGATTGCCGATAGAATTAATTGCACCTAATATTTTTTTCACCACTTCTTGCCCCCTCCTGCGAGGATCGTGGATTCGTACGCAACCGCGAAACATCCCGTACAAACGTATTGTAATGGAAAAAAACGGAAGAGGGGCACATACACAGAGAACTGCGTATGGTAACCGTCCGTTGCCGAGGGCGAAAGGGCGCAGCCCACCGTTCTCCACCCTACATCCTTCACAGCGCATCGTATAAACGAGCAAGGGGAATCTCTATTACTCGAGGGGTTGCAGTTGGCTGGTGGAGCCATCCTGAATTCAATCACCGCGAAAATGGTGGTGGTCTTGATGGCAGCGTTCGCGCAGCGTTGCTTTATTTAAATACGCGCTCGTATCGTTCGCGGCGCACAGATTTGCTAAGAAAGCAAGGAAATTACGGTCGAGCGAGTGTGTTTTAATATCAACAAAAGGCATTGTCGCTTTTGTGAATTGTTACTGGACATTTTGCCCGACGCTTTCGCCATTTATGAAAGTATCGATCGTCCTCGGTCGTTTCGAATCTACAATTGCACCATAAAGTTAATTCGCGCGCGAACAATGTAACAAATTTATAGCGGAGCGCCGCAATTTTATGTGTATGACGGAAAGATGCGAATTTTGGAGAAGCGACTGTTATCGCCGAGATTGTAAAGGCAGATACGGCACGAAGATGATTAATAAACGACATTGATTTATAAACATTTATTATGCCAACGACAAATAAATCTCTGCCAAATGTAATAAAATATATGTATATATTGTGTGTATATGTACTGAGTCGCCCCGCAAAAAAGTTCAGTTCGATTTCTCTGCCTTTAACCATAAATCCTCAATAATAGTATAATAGTATAAATGAGTGTATAACAGCTGCTGGAACATTGGTGAGAATCAGATTAATAATGAATAATATAACGGCAATTATTCAGTTGATAAATAATAATACGCTTCTTTTGAATGGAATAAGATTAAATTTGACTACAAAATCCAACCGAACCTTGCGACTGATTCAACTCGTGTACTCGTCAAATATTTACGTTATATTAAATTAAATCTTACACATTATATATTACCTTATATAGTATATAAATAAATATACATTTTATACATTGTATCACGCTGATTGATGCCGTCACAGTACGGAAAGATGATTGGTACCGCTGTGAGGTACGAAAACTGGAATATTCGTTCAAAGATATTGCGAAACTCTCGACGACTACGCATCGATTTTCGTCTCGTATTGCAAGTTCGTTGCGCAACAGATCTCCATCTAAATGTAAGTAATAGTATCAAAAATATTCCGATATCTAAAGTTATCAAGGCAACAGTGGTGCGTCACATTCTGTAAAACGTAGCAAATGATACATTTTGTAGTGCAACATCACCACTCGTACGCGACCCACATGAAGAGTGTATAATATAATATAATACATTATGAGTCAAGCGTGCGGATGTGAGAGAGTTAATTTTCCTCTATTAAAATTTTACGAATGACTAGAAAGAGACAAATCATACAGTTGATGCGTAGATTCATTGACATCCCTTTTCAGTCTTAATATATAGATCAAAACGAACGAGCTTCTTGCTGCGCGCATAAGCTAACAAATATCAATCGTGCACACGTTCGCGTAAATATATTGGTATTTAATTGGTTTGTAATTCTCCTCGGGCAGTTAATTAATAGCGATTCCAGGGGTATTATTTCCGATCGGCTACCCTGTGTCTCCGTTCGTTGCGATTGATTTTTTTTCTTCTTTTTTTCTTTTACCCAGATGTTCCATGATCAGACGTGGTATACGTACGGCGAAAGTTCGCTGGCTTGCTGTAACTGGCTGAGAGCGAGCATGCTTAACGCCGCCGCCGGGACACGATACGGATCGCGAGGTTCATGGGTTCGTGTGTGCTTCTTCAGGTGATCCTTACGGCCGAATCGCTTGCTGCAAAGCAGACAGCAGTGCGGCCGAACGCCGGTGTGAATTCGCTTGTGCCTCGTGAGCTCCTCGTTCCTGGTGAACGACTTTCCGCAGGACTCGAAGTCGCAGGTGAACGGCCTCTCACCTGAAACGGAGTAAGTCGATGTTAGATTCGCGCGCTCTTGTGGCGTTACCTTGTTAGAATTTCGATATATTTTAAGAAAAGTACATTTCGCGCATTTTCACGTGAAATTGGATTTTCTTCTTATCTTGATGTATGCCAGACGGCATCCCAAATATTCCCGGAACTTTCTAATCAACTTTCGTCAGTAGTGTTCTAGGAGTAGAGGTAAGAAAAAAACGGAAATAATTTAATTCAAACGGAAATATGAACTATCGACGATACAATAACGGATTTATTAATGTTATAAGATAGGAATAGAGCAGCGACGTTTATCTAGTCTATGTATATGAGATGTGTATTCCACTTGAGATTATTGGAAATGACGAATATAACTTCTGTTAGTGCCATAATGTATCAGTTTCACTCACAAAAGATGTTAAGGAAGTTTGACCGGAAAATCCCGGAACATAATGTATAAGCTGTTAATAATTTCCGAAATTTATATATATAACTAAATTATTGCCAAAAACTAATTTATATAATATAATAGTTTTTAGTTGTATCTGGGCTGAAGTGGACCTCAATCAAGGACTGAAACGTTTCCACGTAAAACAATTTTTTCTTTAAGATCACTTTATCACAAAATAATTTGTTTAACAAAAAATAATTTATGCACTTGTGTCTATATATGCACTTGATTTTATAAAAAAAAAAAGAGAGAAATAGAAAAGAGTTATTAATATTTATAAATATTCATTCAGCCGTTCATGTTATTACAATTTATAAATATTCACAACCATTCGTGTATTACATTTAATTTATACATTTATACATTATATCTCATATTTAATTCAAACATATACTAAGTGTGTCACCATACCGTCACGTCTGTCTTAGCAAACGAACGAGTAAATTGCAATAATAAATTACAACAAACATTCCAGCCCACCTGTGTGTATGCGGACATGGCCCGTGAGCTGGCCGTTGTTGCTGAACGCCATGTTGCAATGCTGACACCGGAACTTCTTGGGACGCATTTTCTTCATTTGTTTGGCGGCTGCATCCTGTCGATGAACCATCTGTACCGCTTCTTCTACGGACCGATCGTACAATCTAGGAGCTAGGATACTCGAATAGATAGACCCCGGTTGAACTCCGCAATAGACCCCGGCGTGGACACCGAGATGCACCACTGGATATAGGCTAGGAAAGGTATGGAGGAACCCGGGTCCCATCGAACTCGCGACCGACGGTGGTCCCTCGGCGTCCGGACTCGCGAAAGACGATGGTCCCTCGGCGTCCGGACTCGCGAAAGACGATGGTCCCGCGGCACCCGGACTCGCGAACGGCGTACGTTCAAGTGCGCTCGACGACGTCGAGCCTTCGTCCTCAGATATCGCCAGAGTTACAGAAGGGCTGTTCGTTGATGTTGTCGAGCTCGGCAAAGATCTTACACGCTCGTCGTGCTGTTTGCATCTGTCGTGTAATATTCTATCAACGGTAAACATTTTGGACGTCTCATTGGTGGTGTCCGAAGCGAGCCATGGTCGAAACAAATCCTGAGGCATCCTCCACAGAGGTTGAAGCGTGTTGTTGAGGATTCCGATCGTATCACATGAAGCTTCGTTACCGACACTGATTCGCCAGGTAAATAAAATCTTTGCCTTTTCTAACCTCTCTTTCGCTTTCTCTCTCGTCCTACTTTCGAATACTGAAACTAATGCAACGATTGATGGTTTACCCAAAACTGACGTGTCTAAGTTTTCTCCGAGCTTTATATAGGAAATAGTCCCACCCTCCAAATGGGATTGGGTCGTCCTCCTGCGATGGGCGAAGAAGGGACGAGAGCGAGGACGCTCTTGGCAGTAGGGCCGAAGGTGGGTTTAGAGGGGCCTGTCGAGGGCTCGATGCGCGATACGCATCCCCCTTTGTAGTGAATTAATCGGTCGCTGCGGCCACGGGGCTTTCGCCCCTATTGTCGCGAGGGAGCACGAGTGCAGCCAGGAAGGATGGGGCACGAACGGACGATCGGTGCGGAAAGCCCGCGAGAGCGGAGGGGTAAAGAGGGTTGATGTTGGACGGAACGAACGATATCGAGAGATCGCGATCGGCCTGTCGGGCCCACCCCGTTCTCTTGAGCATGGCTTCTTCGGAATATACTCCCGTCGGATGCATTAGTTTCCTCGGTGGAATCGCAAAACCGCTAACAGCTTACAGTTTTGTAAAACTTTGTGAAAGTTAACAAATTCTGGGGCACTTCGGACTACTTCGGGCTACTTCGGGAAATTCGTTCGGGAGCATTTGAAGGAAAATACCGTGGCTGAACCGTTTATACGTGACAAATAATTTAAACCGCGACTGCTTTTGCAAGAGATTTATCAGGCGACTTAATCCTTTAACCGTTTGAGTGCTGAATTTTTTTTTTATATGGGTTAAATTTGCTGATCCTAATTTGTACTGAAGGTATGAAAAAATAGTATGATGGGAAAAAATTTTAGGTTATATATTAAAAGATCGATATATCGACTTTCAGCACTCAAACGGTTAAGTAGAAAAATGCAATATCGAGCAGCCACGAATGCATTTGTGACTGAAGTGTCGGTTTATAACGCCGATCACAAGTTATAAGAGATACTTATTGAAAATGTTTTTATTACCAGTTTCTCTCAAAAATACTATTCTTTTTCTCCCGAACACTCTTTCAGTTTTCTGTCTAAAATTGAAAGAAGGACAACGTGGAAAGTTACACCTTCTTTTTAATAGCTGGACATGGTATACTTCTATGGAATCGAATAAATAAAAGAGGGAACCCTTCTTAATCCAACCATATATGGAATATAATAAAATGAAAAACAAAAAATTACATATCCTCAGAAGCAGGTGAAGATCTGTATATACAGATCGTGATGATTAATATTAAAAATATTTCTAAGTTATACAGCACCGATTTCTATATTATCCGTGATGTTACTCGCGTGCGTCGTTTAATTTCGCCGATTACTTAGACAGACGCGGCTCAGTCACGGTCGGCTACTCGGACCGAAAGAATAAATTGTTTACGGGAGTTGATGCGTTCGAAAATCGACGGAGAGGCCACTTTAGACACAATGACGGTCGGGACGGGCGATTCGGAGCGTCCGCGTTCGGGGTGTCGCGTCGTATGTGGAATATACTGCCTGTGTACAGCAGCGAAGGTCTCTCCGGGGGTGGAAGGCTCCGCAAAAGCGCGTCGTTGATTTATTGTAACACTCGAGGAGGGAGGGAGAGAGAGAGAAAGAGAGAGAGAGAGAGAGAAAGGGAGTGAGTGAATGAGAGAAAGAGAGTGAGAAAGTCGCACCACCCTCCAGAAGCGGAGAGCCGCGTTCGCCGAGCCGCACCACCCACCCTTCGCTCGTCGGCCGTCTCGCTTTCACTGAGTGTGACGACACCCTTCTGTCAAAACGATGTTCCTACAAAACCGGTCGGGGGCCATTGATACCGGGCTCTGCCCTTTGTCGCATTCGTCACGACATCATCGCCGCCGACCTTCCGCCCGTCGCTCGAACCTCTGCGCGTTCTCCGTTCTCCGATCTTCGTGGTGCCGGCGGAGAGGCACCCCTCGCAACCTCGTGGAATCCTACGAGCGGCGCGAAGAACTCCTCTCTTTTAGCGCGCGCGTCGAATACACGGAGTTTACGTCACTTTGAAGATGGATCGATCGATCGGTCCGCGGCGATCGATCGATCGGCCCTCGCGGTTACCTCGGTTCTCTCTCGTGGCGACGCTCGCGATCTGTCTCATTTGAAGCGTCAGAAGTCACAACAACGAGTCACGGATAGCGGCGTTCGTGCGTCGGGCTCGTCAGGTTGCGTCTTTGGAAATAAGCGGGATTTATTGAGACATGTACGTAATTATCGGTGCGGCGAATAATGTAGTCAGATTTCTGTCGATCTACAAACGAAGAATCTCTTCAGTGATGAGTCTTCGCCTGCCTTTATCTATTCCGACGATTGGTAATTTTCAGTTTTTTATTTTACTAAATTCAGTAATTAGTGCACAGGATTCCTTAGTCGATGCTATACGTATATCTAGTGTATCCATTAAACGCGAGTCGTGAATTCCATCGGAATGAATGAATTTTTCTCTCACGTTTAGAGAGAGAATATTTTTATAAAAAAATGTGATGAAATAAATTGAATAGAAAGTAAATGAATTACTAATTAAACGTAGAGAGAAGAAATGTCAAAATGTTACACTTTTCCCGCACTTTGACATTTATTTGCTTCGATATACTTTTGGAATAGAGATCGTCACGAAATTCCGTTGTTACAATAAACAATCAGCCAATTATTTTAATTTTAGCATACCATCAGTATGTTATTATGAATGCGCAAACGAGTAATCGAGTAATCGAATAATCGAGTAATTTGTCCTCCACGTGCGTTTCGCTAAACGCGAGATATCTCGTAAGCCGTACGCAATGTATTACGAGAGGGAAAGAAAAAAAGAGAGAGAGAGAGAGAGAGAGAATAAGAGATCCATCAAGCCGACACTTTTTTGCGCGATATCTAAGCACAAGGTATACAATCGTTAGAAATTAGTCTACTTCGGTTGAAATGAAAAAAAGAGGAAACATGACCGATTGTGGGTGCGTCGCTTTGCGCCTTGCGCCATCGCTCCCTGACATTCCATTGTGTATCCGTCAATGACCGATGATGGATCAGACGGCCACGAATATCGCAGATTTCGGCTCAATTCTACCGAATTTATTGGGAGCGCATTTTTTTCCCAGTTCGTTGCGGTTTACGAAAAGGTATTGTGCCTACGACCGGCGACAAAAAGTCGCATCACACGGGGATCTAGAGCGTTTCGAAAAATACGGCCCGATGCCCCAAACCGCACTTAATATCTGATCGTTGTTTGTCCCACGTGTGACTACTGCAAATTCTTTTTTTCCACGTATGAGTATATCCTCTCTAGTCACGTGACACAAGTCTAGTAAATTATGCTATCAGTATGCTACATTATTCAACAAAAATGTTCTACGTATAGGGCAATATTCTGTTCAACTCTCTTACATTCTGAAGCGCATCAAATGTTCAACTCGAACTGATCTTCGCCTTCAACCCCTCCGTACGAGATATAGTAAAAATGACGGGCTTACACGCACGCACGGCGGCCAACGACGACAAAGACAACTTGTCGCTGCGGTAAGGAGAAAAAAGTGGTATAAATCATTGGCGGGTTAGCCGCGCCGATGAATCTCGGCTGGGTTCATCCACGTGGAAGGGGCATAATCAAATTTCGCCCCGCCATGCCCAAGGGGCGGCGACTCTGCGGTCGTGCACACTTTCGAGGCCTTTCTGTTTGCGAGGAGGGTGGGACCTCGTCGAGGGCTATTATGGGGCTCACCCTGGGCTTTCCCGTGGATTTCACCCCGTGAAAGCGCACGGAGAGTACGCCACTCGCGGAAAGTCACCCAGTCACCCCATCCGACCAGCAGCTACCGAACAATCGCACCGCAACGTGACATGACGTGGACGTGACGCGCGACACACCGCTTATGCCGTGTATACCAAAGAAACGCGCTGCTCTTCGTCGCGTCTTTCGCGAGACAAATCGAGGCGTCTCGTCGAAGGGGAAACGCGAGGCTCTGGATCTACAATACGTGTAGTAAGCCTTTTGATCTTTTGCATTAACTTGTAACATAATTTCTAACAGAAAGCATTTCCAGACATTCGCTGCGTCCAGCAGAAAGAGCAGCTTGTAAGCGCTGCCAGCAGTTTTATAATATTTTGAAAGATTTTCGGCTGAACGACACTTGGCGATTTACGTTGTTCCAACACGTTTATCAAGCGCCCGGCGTATTAAAAATATATTGGAAAAAATTACGACTGCTTAGTGAATATATTGGGAAAACGCAAATCACTGGTGTCGGTCGGCAGAAAATATTACGACAGTTGCTAAGCTATTGGCAGCACAGCGCGAAGCGCTTATTAAGTTGACTTTTCTGTTGAAATTTTCTGCAGCCATTGCAATTCCTAAGATTTAAGCGTCGTTATGACTTCTGGCAGCGCGGGAAACGCTTTTTGTCAGAGATTACGTTACACATTATTGCTTAAAGCAATCAAACGGCTTTTCGAAATGAAGTTTCTTCCCCTTTCGAATCTCTCGTTGACAAAATTACGGCGATGTCTACGCCGACAGAGATTATCTTTGGAGAACTTAGGATTACATTATATATTATACATATACAATATATATTTAGAATATAGGAAAAGGTAAATTTAAATTTTCATCGCACGCTAAACGTCTGCTGAAGTATCACACACACACACACACACATATGTTATGTGATTTACATTTTTACATTCATTTAAAATGCCGCTCTCTCTTTATACAGCACCCCAAGGAAATATTTTAAAGCAACAGTATATTTTTATATTGCGAGATTAGTACGGATTACGAATGTACACAGAGTGTTTTAATGCGATTCGGCACGCAGCTACAACGCAAACTAGTTCGAAGGGAGATCGATCCAACGGCCGAATGCAAAACTGAGCCGACGCGAGACAATCGTGACTTTCGATGTCGATCGTCGGAGATCGATGCGGTTTATCTCGCCGCCCATTAATCAAAGATCCAACTTCCGCGCGAGTGAATCCTCCATCGTTCAAAAGCCACGGGAGGAATAGATACCATAATAAAAGATCGTTCTGCCAGATGGCCCGTGCCTGGTATCAAAAGAGAGGCGCGTATCCCTCTCTCTTTCTCTCTCTCTCTCTCTCTTTTTCTTTCTCTTTCTTTCTCTTTCTTTCTCTTCCTTTGATTGTGTCCTCAGTCTTTCCCTGTGGCGTCCTCGAGGACGAGAAAGTCACGGGTATTCTTCACGGGTTTACGCCCATGGAGGAGCACATGTGTCCGCGAGCATTGATATGAGATCGTAATATCTCCTCCTTCATGGTTTTCCCGAGGGCTGTTCCTGTATTCTTATTATATGTTCTACCTTTTACAAGTCCATATGTATATACGAGCATATAAGATGCGACAGATGTTCAGTCTTGATGCGAGAATTAGTAGAAAAAAAAAACGCCCTTAATACCGACTCGGATCTAGGAATCTCGATTATATTTCGGTCAATATTCAGAAATTTGTATAGTTTAAATCAGAGTCTTATACGTACGATAATATTGACTCTTTCCTTTCGCGACTCAGTTTTCTGCGGTACAGAAAAGATGATGAAACGGCTTTCTTCTACACCGTGAGGAAAAAAGAGATAGATTCAAGTAAATAATTACTTCAATACTCTTCAGGAAATTTTTACTTGGATTAAGTAAATTTTACTTGGATAACTATTCGGAAAATGTTTTGAAACTAGCGAATACTACTTAATCCAAATCAAAATTTGCTAAGCAATATTGGAGTATTCACTTGAATCTAGCACTTTTTTCTGTGTAGAACATTGTCTTGTTCATTTCATTCGATTCACTCACTGTCGAATAATCGTTATTTATTTTCAACGACTTTCCACGGTCACCTCGTCAGACGATCAAAGCTCGCAATACTTTTCCTCGATGAGTTTCGCAATCTCGTATCCAATAAAAAAATATATCTCTTGAGGATTACTAAAATTAAAATTCTCTCCTCGGATACGGGACGCTTTGCGAAGCTCATCGAGGAAGATCTTTTATCGCAGCCTTTAATCATCTGACTGACTGTACATTTGGATTTTATCTTTCTCGAAGCCCAACGGCAATCGTTTAACTACTTCGATGGAACGAATGTTGATTTATATTTGCATTAAAACCGAACGTCGATGATATTATACTATTATGACGAAAAGGCCAATATCTGGTTGGAGAATCGCGAGATCTTTTCATCCGCTTCTACAAAATGATGCGCGTGTCATCGGTGCCGATACAGCTGCGTCTATTGCTCCGCCAGGACCAGCGAACATTCTCCGACCGACGAATAAATAGAGAATGTCCACGCTGAAACGAGAATACGCTTCCCGACGGCGAATGTCGGTCACTTTGACACGACTGTGAATTAGCACATTCGCCCGCTTTATAATCGAGCAACCCTTTCGTCGCGCGAACAGTGCCGTGCAAATTTAGCCGCGGGGCACCTCTTCTCGGAATTTTCCGCAGGTGTCTCGGTAATCTTTGATGACGTTTCGACAGACTGTGATCCGAAATTGCTGATATCTATTTATAATACCCAGAAGTGAGTATACCGGAGAAGCGAGAGATTTCTCTAACATACAATAAATTTATCAATATACACACTGAAAGTAACATAAAAAGAACCAAGTCTCAGGATCGCCCAAATTTGGTCGCACACAGCACAATCGAGTCGGATTGTGTAATAATCGAGTGATAATCGTAATAATAATCAACAATGTGATCTTTCTGTAACGCGTTGCATTAAGTGTCCTTTATTACTATTTCACAGTCGGCTACTCAATTGATAAAGTTGCAAGTTCGGCACGTAAGGAGCGATTGAAAAAGCGCGTATTCTTCTTGGCATCCTAATCTTGCAGCCGTAACAATCGCGGCACAATCGTCACGCGGATCGTAGACCGTACCTGCGGGAGTATATTAAGATGTGCTAAATGGAAACCAATTGAGACACGTTCCGCGGATCATTCCCGTTCGAGACTCCTACTCCTAGGATGTTCACGGCAAATTGCCGGATTCGTCACACGACGACCCTCCGTCGCCCTTAATCCTGCGATTCCCCGAGTGGCCCGCGTCTACGCAATACGCGCGCGTCGTTTAACGTTTAGCGGCCCGTGGCGAATCTGTGGAATCCTCCTTCGGGCTTTTCCTGCGATACCTGTCATCTCGACTACCGTTAGTCTCTCCTTCTCTCTCTCTCCCTCTCTCTCTCTAAACGTAACAGAGCGTTGCTAAACACCTTCACGCATTCTACGCACGCACACATTACATACTGAGGTCTAATAGATCTTCAAGTTCTCATTTATCAGAAGAATTGGTTGAGGAAAACGAAATTTTTGATTAAAAGAGCCAAATTTGATTGAGAAAAGAAATTTTATTGAGACTGATTGCCTTTTTCTCTGTATAATATCCTAACAAATCTTCAAGTTTCCATTTGTAAGATTGTTTATGTTAACGCGCGCGAGAGAAAACGTTCGCGACCCTCTCGTCTGTCCGGTCATCTCGATTCTCATCTCGTAATCGCATCACTCACCGACCGCAGCAGCCGGTGGCGGTCGGCGGCTCAAGAATCGAGCCCGTGCCTGAAGCTCGAACGAGCGTGTGTCAAGAGCTTGCAACACGGGCTTGCACACGAGCCACGCCTTTGGTCGGCGTGGTGACGATCCGCTACTGCGACACAAAACGATCGGATCTGTGTCACGGATACCGCAAAGAGAAAACGGGAAGAAGAGGGAAAGAAATAAAACATGACGACGGTGAAGTGCCGCGCGCTCGTTCCCGCGGCGCGGTGTCGATTCTCGTGTTCCCCCCTTTTCTTCCACAAGTAAATTTGACATTGGCCAAATAAACACATTGAGGCCGGCTACGTTTGAAGTGGTCCCCGTTGACAGGGCGACTCGTGAACATCGCCGCGATTGTTCCGCCGTGGGTCGCTCGGCGTCGGCACCTTTTTGAACACCGGAGGCGGTTCCCCTTCTCCCAGGTGCCCCCGTCGCGTCCGTGTCCGTGACTTCTGGACATTCTTCTCCTTGTGGAAAATCAGGATCGCATTTTGCGCGAGTTTTCACGGGTGGGGGGGGGAGAGAGAGAGAATGCGCCGCGGCGTCTCAAAGGAGATCTATTATCACCAGCCGTTCATTCACAGGCCGTAACGCCTACCCGCGGAGGTTGATCCCGGAACTTTTTCCTCACCGATTGCTCCCTATTGTTTCTGCACGACAGAGGATCGATTTTATAATTTTTTTCTTTTCGATCAACCTGTTACAATGATTCCGTTTTACACGGAGCATACGGTTTGCCGAAGACACATGTCCAACTTCGAGCAATTGTTTTTCCGATTAATTGTTGCACGGTTTAAAATTACTTCCAAATAACCAATAACGTACGATCGACGTCACTGTCATCGACTTGTGCTGTACTATTCTATGGATGGAAAATTACACGATTTCTCAGTCTTATATATTATAACTCGTAAGGTTGAAAATCGCATAAGTAATTCTAATTATAATGATGGGATTATATTGTCTCTAATTATGACGGTTTTGACCTTATGTGTATATGTATAAGACTGATAATCGCGTAATTTTGAATCTAGAGAATAATAAAGCATACGTGATGCCGACGACTGTACGACGATGGATTTCACAATACCATGAGAGTCACGCGATGATAAACAAGAAACGCGTGTCGTAGTTATATTACACGAAAATTATCGATGAATATTTTAAATTTACGCTCTTATTATTGGACTTGTTTGGAATCTTTTAATTATTCTCTAGATTTGCTCTTGTATTTTATAGGGAATAATTGAGCGATTCCGCTCGGAATCAGTTCCGAACGAGTCTATAATACGTGCCCAGACAATCCTCCAAGTTATCAATTCCGTAAAAAAGAAAACCTCACTCGAGACTAGGTGAAAAGAATAAAACTTTATTATTTATTTGTATTTTTGAAAAAATCAAAATTAAAAGTCGTAAAAAATTATTTCACATTTAGCCGTGTATCTCATTTGTTACATGCTAATATTTTAATGATATATAATAGGTTGAAAACTCGATTATGTTATAAATAATCGATAGTGTGAAAGGGGGTATTTTTGACGAGATATCGAACGTTCACTTATAAATCGAATGAGATAATATTTCACGAAACGTAACACTATAAGATATGTATGGAACAAAATATGTGTATCGATATGATCATAAAAAACTGTTACAAACGTAACCTCTATGTAACGTATCAATTCGATATTTACAGAAATTTATTCGTGTCAATATATTCCTTCCCACAAATATTCCATTGTCACAATTACATAAGGAAGAGAAGCCACAAGAGGCGAATTATACAAAACATATACAAATCAAACGCAATTTTACTTGACAAATATACTCGACAATATTTTCTGTGAACATATTCAGCAGTTGCTGTGAACATATTACTTCCTCACGTACTACGCTAAGTGTAAGTGGTACGTAACTCTTTAAGCGATACACGTCGTACGATTATGCAAAAAGAATGTAATTAAAACACATCGATTGTGCCAGCCAGACACAAGTATGAATAAAATTCCACTGCATGATTTGTTTATTTCATGTATGAGAGTCTTTTGAAAAATAATATATTTGCGTATTAGAGTAGTAGTAGTGTGTCAAAATGTGAACACAGCAGTACAATGCTTATGTTTCACCGTGCGTCTTTTGATGAATTTTCAAAGTAGTCTTATTGATAAAGGCCTTCGAGCAGATTGGACAGGGGTATGCGCGGGACAGGTTTTGCTTCAAGTGAGTCCTCGTATGTATATCAACTTCTCCGACATTATCAAATTCTTTGAAGCATACGTTACAGCTAAACTTTACTGGCTGTAGGATGCCTATTTGACCGGTTAGAGGATTTGGCACCGGAATAATGTTGTTGGTCTCTTTGATGTTAGCTCTCAAACTTTCTTTCTTTTTATGGGAGTACATATGATTCCTACAATAACATTTCCATTATTACGAGAGTATACTAGGTACAGGTTCCACTTAACGCTCGCATCGTTGCGAGCGTTAAGTGGAACCTACCTATAATATGTTCAAAGTGTTATTGAATTTCAGGGAAAATACATGCCGAGATTATCTTACAATAAGCTAATGTTAATAACTGCTTTATACTTTGTAAGCATGGTAATTAAATTCAAATATGAAAGACCCTTATCTACTAGTATTTCTTACCTATAAGCTTGTTCATTGCTGAAAGAAACATTACAACTCGGACACAAGTGATCGTTCTGTTGAGCGGTTACTTTCGTAGACGAGGTGATTTGACGTAAGGTGTTCAGTATCTTCAATCTGGGATGATCGTTTAAATAGTGCTGCTTAACATCTTCTTTCAGCTCAAATATCCTCGCACATAGATGACATTTGTATGGATACGAGGGATCAGTACTAACGTGGCACCTCACGTGCTTATCGTACATCAACTGAGTATTGCTCTCTGTCTGGCATATATCGCAAAGAAAATGCTTCTTGGCTTCTTGGTATACATTTGATAAGCATTGCAAGCCAAGAGAATTCGAGTGATGTATAAAATTATCCACGTCATCTGGGCTCACTTCTTTCTTCGTGACGTAATACTTATTGCATATCTCGCATTGAAACGCCAGCTTTGAATTGCATACACATTTTCTTAGTTTGCAGCTACCTAGCGCACAGGCCTTCTTTGTAGGGCTCTGTAATAACTGAATTTTCTCCTTCTCATTGCCCGTCGAGAAGTCTTTCATATCATTTGACTTCAATAAAGGTGGAACTAGCTTTTTACACCGTGGGCCTGGTTTACCTCGTATTTTATCAATCTGTATTGTCAAGCGATATATTTCCTTATTTTTCTCGCAGTTTTCACCTGTGGTAGTCGATGCGGCAGAACCATTCACAGCTGTCACATTGTTATTTGACATATCAGCTTTATTGTTACTAACTGAATTTTCAGTCTGCAAAAATATATAAAAATATAACCACACGTGTGTGTATGTGTGCGTGTGCGTACGTGCATGCATCGTAAATAATTTATTGTCTTGTAAATATATATTCATAAATTATCAAATTAATTAGAAAAAGTAGATTTATGTTAACCATGTGTTGCAAGGATGTATTTTCAGATGACATTGCTGTAACATATGATTGTTCATCTAATTTTTTCTGCTTTGGTAGTATTTTTGGCAATAGTATTTGTGATGCACTATCTGCCTTATGTTTTCTCGAAGGTTCTACAAAGATGTATATCATACCTATTACACATTTTATAAAATTTAACTCATAATTCTTTAAAAAAAATTTTATATACAATCTAGAGAAAATTGTGAACGTAGAAATAAAATAATTATATACGTTGTAAACTAGTAATATCAGCAAATAATTGATATATTTATGATTAAATTATCATTAATTATAACTTTTGATAGAAAAATTAGTAGTAGATTCTTTTGATTTCGACGAGTAATATAAGAAAGTACACGGATATTACTTGTCATTTCCATAAACATATTATCTATCGTATTTGAGTAACGCTTGTTAAAATATGTTTCGTACAATATTAAAATACTTGTCAAGAAACATATATTCATAGATATGTAAACTTTCATAACTTGACTTGCGTACCTTTTATTCTACCAAACAAAGTGGGAACAGCACTTGACTTTAAGTCCCTGGATGCAGTAAAGTTGATTCTTTCAAAATGTAGCTCACAGAGATGCATTGGTTCATTATCATTAACACCGGAAGCTAGGTTACAATTGTGAATCCACTGATTCTTCCTACTGAAAGTTACATAGTAAGTAACACAGACAGATCGAATGATGAATGAAGTTACTCGAGTGCGCGAGAGATACTTACAGATCATCTTCTGGGAAAGGATAAAACGAGATTGGCCTGCCGTCAATCTTTATAGTTTGGCTAGAAGGACAACCTGTAGCTGAACAGATTATCATTGTAGCTTGTTGAAGTAGTTCTGCGACACAATGATGAGGAATATTATTTCATTAACTGAATAACCTGTATAAATATATAACATGTATAAATAGCCAATAACCTAAAAACAAAACAAATTTCACAACTTTAACGCGGAAATACTGATCAACGATACAGACGAATAACCAACAACACTACTGAATTCAGTATTAGAGCGTCCATTGAGTGCTTAACGAGTCTTGCATATGATTGGTGTATATTTTTAGATCTAAAATATATACCAATTAGATGCGAGAATTTACCAATGGTTCTGCATATAGAATGTGGAATGTTTTCCGCGCGCAAAAAGTGATAGCCAATCACGTGCCGCTTTTTCACGAGAATTAAAAATTGATTGGCTACCACATTGTCCTTTATCGCGCGACAATCGTTTGCACGCTCGGTGTTCTAAAGCATAAGCTATAGGTCTATTCGTTTTCGCTACACCGCTGAACTAGTGCAATAAGTTGAAGTGAGAAAACATATACTTGTCTCGCTTCAACTTATTGCACTAGTTCAGCGGTGCAGCAAAAACAAACAAATCTATTCAGTGAACTATTGTAACACTGAATGCATTGAAGCGTTCTTTTTGATCACGTTGCAATTGTCCGTCATCAATTACAGTAAACCGTGATTTAGTGAATTATTAAATTTAATCAATCATCTATGGGCGGTATTCATAGACTGATCTTATATTTAAGATCTTATATTCAAGTTCATCTTCAGGTGTTTTGTAGCCAATGAAATGAGCCATACAGCATCTGAAGATGAACTTAAGACGTAGTCTGTTCTTTATAGCTGCACTGCTGAATTGGTGCAATAAGCTAAAGCGAGAAAACATATACTTGTCTCACTTTACTTATTGCACCAATAGTTTAGCAGTGCAGCTGAAAGGAACAGGTCAACGGTCTTAAATATAAGACTATAAATATCGGCCATAGAGGCACTTTTATCAATAAAAGAGAGTTAAAAATACGGACCGATAAGTTTCACATAAAAAGCTTTACATCCTTATAGTTTAGTAACTTTTTACTATCCATCTTCCGCTCCTAGGGAATAGGTACGTCTAATCTGTCGTTGAGTCGTATCACGTGGTCGATTCCACGTTAAAAACAGTAGAGACTCATAGCGGAAACTTTGAAACTAATAAAATAATAAGGGATCTAACCTAAAACTTTTTTGTTGGCTGAGTCATGCTTCTTCGCATGTTATGTATTCCTGATACCTAAACGCTAAATGATCGTGAATTGGCGTTCGGTCTTAGTTGACATTCTTGTAAGTGTATCGTAAGAAGAAGTGAGTAAACTTTATATCGGTAAATATACTTGAGAACGCACACACTAGAGAGTTCAATTTATAATATGCTTCTTGAACCACCACGGTGTCGTTACTTTTGCAGAATTATTGTCTTTTGAATTACGCCTATTTGTTGTTGAGAAAAGTGATATAATTTTTATATGCAATATATATAAAATAAAATACATATTTAATAACATATTTTTTGTCCTGAATTAAAATGTAAAAACTAACTGCACGCAATTATATTGCTGTATTCCTGATTTCTTTGTTTAAACGTGTGATTGGCCGATTTCGATCGGCATATCGTTTCATATGGTTAATATAGTTCGTTTAAAAGCGGCTTTTAACCCCTACCCGAACGTATTTCGATACGCAGGCAGGGGATTGTCCTCGGGAGCGGAGATTCCACTCGTATAGTCGTGCGTGATACCCGTAGTCACGTACGTCGGCCATCCTCACAGCTACGGGGGTGCCTTGAACCTCGTTTGCAGTCCAATGAAGCGGATCTGTTCACCGAGATGACTCTTTTATACGAAGCTTCGTGCAGCGGCGATTGTTACTTCAAACGTCCGTCGTGCAGGTTTATCATGTAGAACGATTTGTCTGGTCGATGATTCACGTCGATTTTACTTAAACACATGTCTGCAAAAAGTGTTTACTAAGTTATGATTAATTGATATCTTAAATTTCGTTTCAATGATCTCCCGTTTACTTAGCGCACTTTGGTTTAATTGCCTAATAATCGCTTAATATTTATAAAATTGTAACATAAGAGCTTGGTTGCTCATACATCCGTACTGGATACGAAGAAATTGTACATAATATAACGATTTTAATCGAATTTCGCGTGCTCCTGTACGCTGGTATTTGTTTAATTAATGCTTCCGGCACGTAACAACATGTTCCTCGTTTGCGTGACCGTGGGACTCGTTTTCTTGGCGTCGAAGTATCGCAACAATGTGCTTCGTAGCGTCAAGCACTTGTGCAAAAACATCGCGAGTCGAGATAATCATCGGAACAATAATAATAATGATGATGCCGTGATTGATAAGAACATTAACAGCAATAAATATGAAGATATTAATAATGGTCAGGGTTGTAAAAATGATAACGATAATTGTACTAATATCAACAATAACGACGAAGAGAAAGGATTTAAAACTACACTAGACAAGATTATTCTGGCGGACTCTATAGAGAAGTGCGATTACGCCGTCCAACGTATTCGCTGGTGAGTACAAGAAAATTATTCAAGTATAAGTTCGGCTCCAAGGAGATAAATGCTTTATAATATTATTTCTGATTGATCGTTAGAGCGACTTTACGCGTCACCATACTCTTGTAACTTTCTATGATACGATGAATATGTCTGTTCTCGGAAACGTTATTGTTTACATTTCTTCTAAGGAATCTATTGAATACCTCAGCCTCTTATGTATAGTAAACATCATGTAGAATGTACCCTTGGAATCCTTGAAGAATTTCTAGATCTTATATCTATTTATATTTCTCTGGCCGAGTTAAGATTCTTATTATATGAAAGAATTTTCCAATTCATTGTTTGTTTCGTAATCCGTAAATATTTTTTGTTAGTGTATTACAAGAGATATATTTTATTAATATTAAATAAAAGCGATAGATCGAATTCCCATCTTCTTTTAACTTCTTTCTTTATTGCTTTAAGAAACACTTTTATAAAATATATATCTAGAAAATTTCTTAGCGTGGTAGTTGAACTCAATAATCACTTAATACTTACAAAATTATTACATAAGAATATTGTTTTCCCCGTATCAATACAAATTAATCATTACTCATTATCGGTTTTAATTAAATTTTTCTCTCTAGTGATCTGTCTGAAGGCGTATTGGGTTTCGATTGTGAATGGGTCAACGAAGGGCCCGTTTCTTTGTTACAATTAGCCACTTTCAATGGAGTATGTGCTTTGTTTCGCATTGGAAAGATCGGATATATTCCAGATAAACTCAAGGTACAATTTAGATTTTTCCAAATAGATGCGAAAATTATCATTCAGTTATAATAATAACATAAAGTCAACTTTACTAATTAACATATCTTTCCCCTTTGTTCAGGAACTGCTGTCTAATAAGCGTATCCTCAAAGTTGGGGTCGCCTCGTTCGAGGATGGCCGGAAGATATTGAAGGATCATGGGTGCCAAGTTAACGGAACCCTCGATATAAGGACTTTGGCTACAAACGTCCAACTGCCGAGTTTGAAGAGCTTAGCGGCAATGAGTTTAGAGTATCTTGGTCTTGAAATGGACAAAATAATAGAACTGAGGTGTGGCGACTGGGAGGCTAGCACCCTGACCGACGAACAAGTGACATATGCCGCTTGTGACGCGATCGCATCCATTTTCATTTACCAAAAGGTAGAGCGATCGATTCGAAGCAAATTTTTTTTTTCCTTTTTGTTTGGTATCGTACATATGTGATTATTGCTGATCTTTCCCTGCAGATCATACAGAGAATGCAGAAAGCAAGACAGAAGCTTACGTTATGGAAGAGATTTACGATTTTTCTACGCACCAAGTTTAGCCGTGATGTAAACACACGAATTCATGGCGTACCTGCTGGAATAGTCGATACAAGGTATGAGAATTTGCAAGACGTAGCACAATTACAGCATTTTTTTTTCTAACTTTCTCTTTATGTGTATGTGTGTGTGTACGCGTGAGAAATACACATACGTGTGTTTGTTTAAGGTTCAAGGCTCCACGATCAAGTACAAGCAGTACCAGTAATGCTAACAATACTTCGAATATTATTAAAACATTAAATAGAAGCTCTAGCGCCGAGTGTAAAAATACAATACCTACGAGGAATAAGCCGTTGTATCATAATTGTTACTTACAAGCACCTGATGGGGAGATACTGTGCACGTGCGACCGTAAAAAGGCAGAATGGTACATCGGGAAAGGATTGGGAGAACTTGTCCAGACAGATCCGTACACGGTGAAACTGAACTTCGAGCCATCCGGTCGTGCATTAGGCGAAGTCGGACAGTATTATACTCAAGTAAAAGTCAATCAATGTGTAGTCTGTGGATGCACCGATAAGTTCATCAGGAAGAATGTCGTGCCGCGGGAATATCGCAAATACTTCCCACGTAAGGGCATCTTCCATCATCTATCCGCTCGATTCTTTACAATTGCGCGTTCGTCGCACAATGATATAGAAAAAAACAAACGTTAAAGATGTCTGTAATGCATCGTTAAAAAGAGTATCGAGGTTTTGTATGACACGTGAAGGTTAAGATTGTCGACGATTTCTCTTTCAGTGGTGATGAAGGCGCATCAATCACACGACGTGTTACTATTGTGCCCGTCTTGCCACGAGATCAGCAACAATAATGATCTGCAGCTCAGAAGAAAGCTGGCAGATCTGTGCGACGCACCTTTGATCGGGCCGCTGACACACATGCGAGATAAATATATGAGCAACTTCCGAAAGCTTCAGTCGGCCGTTAAGGTATTGAAACAAGGGTTACCGATACCTCAGCGACGACGGGAGGAATTTGAGATTTACATACAGGAGCATACGGGCCAAAAGGAAATCACTCCGGTTATGCTCGATACCCTGTACGAAAGATTGAAAACGGCACCGATCCAACAAGCGATCTCTAATCAGTTCAAGTATCAACCGCACGGCTTGAAGGTACTTGCTTTGCACGAAAAGAGTCACACGTTAGAAATTACTCATTGTCCGTGAAACTTTCGTGCTATTTTCTCGACTTTCCTCGACAGGTGGTGCAGTTCTTCCAAAGGCAAGAAGGCGGACTGGTCGAGTTGGAACGTATGTGGAGGGAGCATTTTCTTACCACCATGAAACCGAAACACTTACCGAACTTATGGTCAGTACGTCACAATCAGGAACGGTTGATCATGCGCCAAGCGCAAAATCGAATCGAACCACAGGATGCGAAGATAGCTGGACTAATGAAGTAGCGGTGTAATTTAAAAATTGTACCTGTAAGGACTCGTATAAGAGCGAGAACTTCAAAGAAGACTGTTATATTAATCGATATATGTTTGAATATATACATATCTATGAATTAATCTTTTATATATTTNCCGTTTTTGCTGTCCGTGCCCCCCCCCCCCCCTCCGAACGATATGATGCAATAATTCCGAGTTCGTAAGTCATATTTCTCAATTCAGACCAGAACTCTTATTATGCTTATTAGAATTTATTTTAGTGCTTATTGTAGTATATTTTATAGTGTATTTTTATAGAGTTTATTATAATGTACTTTTTATGGACTGTCTATATAGCGGGCTTATAAGGCTACATAGGAATGTGTCACTTTGCCTTCTTTGTTGTTGATGCCAGATCTCCAAGTAATTATGTCTGTTTGATAACAGACATCTTACTCATAAAAGCTAGCTGTTCATTTTACTTGTTGACGTGATGAGCATCTAACCTTTTACAAATTTGGCATCGGCACGAATTTGGCATGCTCCTTTTATTTGCGTTTTATGACAGTGTACGATTGAAGTTTTTAAATTGTTACTTTGCGTTGATGAGAATTTAAACGATCAGGATCGAAACATTCGTTCCTTAAATGTGTAAACGCTTTTTCTTTCATTAAATGTCACATTGCTTTAACACCAGCATTTTGCTCTTGGGTTTTGTTGTTCATTCGATTATATGTCTCGAGTCTTTGTACATTTCTATTTTTTATTCTCAACGATTTTATGTAACTTATATTTGAAACATTTTCGAAGATTTTTTTTCTCTTTAACTACATTTAAAAGAATGCATTTTAATTACACTTTAAGCATTTCTTTTCCCGTCTTTTTATGACTGTAAAATGGCAGGTCTGATCATTGATAACAGAGAATGAATCTTGACGATCAAAAGTGTAACAAACAATTTTTAAAAATATACACTTAATTCTTGCATAAAATCTTCCAAAGCATTTCTAGACTCCTGGGAGGAGCAAGCAATAGTTGATTTGATATGTTCAAGATCATGTTAAACATTTACGTAGTTGTACACTGAATAAGAACTACAGCAACTGTGTTAACAAACTTTCTGATCTACGTCAGAACATTCATTATTTTTTATTAATTATGCTATGTGACATTATGTACAGGTCTCTCTATAGTGAGATTAAGTAAATTTAAACTAGGAGGCAAGTCTCTTATGGCTGCTTGGAAGCTTCCTGACCGTTCGTTGTCGTCGATGACGATATTCCTTGGTTCTTCAGCTCCTCGTCGATACGCTCCTTGGCGCGTACCACCTTCGACTGCAAGTAGAACGAGCCGCCCTTCAACCTGTCATTAGCCTCCATGAGATACTTGTAGTTCTGCTCGATCAATTCGGTCTGGTCAGGACGTTCCGCGTTAAGGATGCGAAGCGCCTCCTCCAGGGAGATGCCGGTCTTGGTGTTGGCGGCGACATGCTTCGCGCCCCTCGTGCCACCGCCGGCCCTTCGCGCCGCTTCCTGACTTGCCGCGATTTCTTGGCGCAGCGCACGTGCGAACGCCTTGCCGACGACCTGCGTGCCGGCCACGATGATTTGTATCAGATATTTCGCCATAACCTTCGCTTTCGTCCGATGACTCGCGTGAACGTAACACGGTCAAGATGACTGGCCGGCTGCCACGTCCAAAATTTCCGACCGTGCGAAATTATACGCTGGTTCGCGCATCAGCGGCTGCACAACGTTCTCGTCTACCAAGGAGGCACTTAACCTCCAAGCACCTCAACCGTAACTCGCGCCCGTCTGTCGAACATTTACGAGAGCGCGCATGTGAAAGAAGAGGGAAATTTGTTTTCTAAACATCATATACTTGCGTACATACAATGTATTTCGTAATTAATGCGACTGATATTAGGAGCACAGTTCTCTCGGTTAATTTCTTTTTATCTTTAACGGAATCTTAATTGAAATAGTTTCTTTTATTTTTGACTTTTGATTTTATTTTCGATCTGTGCGATTCGATTGGACATAAGATTACAAATTAAATAACGAGATGTAATAATAAGTTAATGGACAGTAAGATTATTTTGAGTTTTGTCAATCCAGTGGTTATTGTGAATCAATATTCAGGCACGATGTATAGAGGTTTGTTGTTTAACTGTTCCTTAGAACTTTTTGTACCTTGAAATGAGATAGATATATATATATTTGAGGATGTTGGAACAAAGGAAGAGTGAAGAAATCTCGCAAGAAAAGTTCAAACGAATAAGCTTTACAGCTGAAATTTAGAACAATTCTGAACTAACAAGCGTTCATATATTTATAGTTCATGAGGTCTGCTCTTTCTACTTGAACCAGAGTGTACTTTTTAAACCTGTATCAGACTTGGATATTATGATACAATTGAATTTGGCCAATCAGAACAAGATTCACTAAACCTGAGTTTAGTCAACTTTGCTTTGATTGATTAAATTGTAATCTAATCTCAATTCTAATCCGTGATCTTAAGAAGAATTCACACCTTGCAGAAAAGCCGAAAGCAGAAAAGCAGCAGCCAATTAGAACTTGCGTTGGTAATAAGCAATAGATAAAACAGAAACGTCGATTATCAACGAGAGTTCTGATTGGCTGCTACTTTTCTGCTTTTCTGTCAAAGTGTAAATTTTCCCTGATACGAGCTTTACATTCGTCAGTTCTGGTTTGCACTAATTCAATTCTAGTGTAGTCCCAGAGCAGGAATAAAAAACAAATCTATTATTGATTCGCACAGATTACGGGTCTGCTTTCTATTGTTGCACTGGCTGCATTAATTTTCTTTTCCTCTCTTTCCCACCAAACCTCAAAAAAGAGAGAAAAAGAGAACCAGTGCAAACTAGTGCAACCAGTGCAGCAATAGAAAACAGATCCTTCGTTTCTGCGTTTTTTCGTAGCATGGGACAGTAAAAATGCATACTCATGCGGATCGGAATCACATACATATACATACACTCGTCAAGATTCAAGAATTCCATACGTAACCTGCGAGACTCTCAACAAACCGAAAAACAACTACTCAGCTGACGGCACGCTAAGTACCATAAAAAAATACAATTGTGAGGGTACTATAATGTGGTCAACGAAATAGCGGAACAGAAAAGCGGACACAAAGCGGAACGGAAAAGATGTAGTGGGGGAATGACCAATCGGAATCACATTCATACTCAACGCCACCATAAGCCTCCGATCACGACTCACGACGCTATACAGATTATGGAAGTGTTTGCGGCTATACACGCGTGAAATAATAAGAAAACATGCTGCAAGGCAAGTATTTTCACAGTACATATGTATTATTTACGCGGGTTGATGAACCTTTTAAATTTTCACATACGAATTTAACAATTTCAAAGATCGTCACACGATATCACAAAGCAATAGGTAATTAATACTTACGGCATTAAATGTATGTTCTTTTTCAAACAGAACTGCAGTCAAAGTAAACATAAGCAGATTTAAAAGCTTCTAACATCTTCGAGAGGCGAAAATGTTGCGCCGATTTTTTCGAGAAAGACCTATCAACGCTTGGATTTGTTTATAAAAGTGGTATCTCTCAACTTATCAGTATATCAGCACATGTAACTGCCAGGTTAGTTTTCAGATAGTCTTTAAATATGAAATGCTTGTTATTACATATAAGGATTTAATCATTTTAGTTGCATCTTTCTATGCCTCCCGCATCTACAATAAATAAGTTTTGATGCCTGAGGGAAAAAAGCTGCAAAGTAACAAAACTAGAGAAATAAGACCCATATGTACATTGTCTGTTTGGAGTGCATAAAATGGATTTGTTTAACATACATTCACTTGGTATTATTTATTGAAATAATTCTACCAATTTATTTTCTGTACGGCTTTATTATTCATTATTATTCACCTTATTATTATCCAAATTTGCAGATTGTTTATTTCATCAAATTGACTAAACATGCCTGGTTGTGCAGCTGTCGGTTGCAATAATCGTAGCGAGAAAGGATATATAATGAAATGTTTCCCACGTGATCCAAAACTAAGAAAAATCTGGCAGGAACGTGTTGCTAGAGCTGATTGGGAACCATCTAATAATTCCTTCCTTTGCCATGTACATTTTGAATCTGATAAGTGGTGTTTGACAAGCAGTGGTAGAGTTAGATTGAAAAAAGATGCAATACCTTCTATTTTTACTGTAACTTCAACTAAAAAGTCTATCAAGAAACGTATAAAAATAGCAGACGTTAACAATAAAAACAACAGTGAGATTGAGTATAATATGATGTATATAGGGAATGATAAAGAACATTCGTCCACTGGCTATTTGGAAGGAACATATTCTGCTTTAAAAGATATTGACGATCCATCTGTACAATTGCTCATAGATCGACAAATGAATAATTTTTCAAACGCGATAAAAGATAGACATATATCTACTTTGCAACATAACGATCTTCAGCAACAAACTATTTTAATTTCAGACGATTGTATAGAGACAAACGACGAAGTCGTCAAAATGCAAGCGGATGAGGAGAGTGAGAAGAAGCCCGTTAATTATTTAGAGTCGAATTTGGTTGCCATCTCTAACGAAGATCTTGTTAAACCCGAGGTAAAAGTCGAGCAAATTTTAATTCAGCCCTGTGATTACGACGAAATAGATGAAAAATTGAAGCAAATTTGCGGCGACGATGATTTCGAAGAGAATAATTCTAACAACATCAAGAAATCGCGTTCAATCTTCGACAAACAGGAAGAAGTTACGCAGCAAGCATCGGACAGAGCTCTAGTTCACAGAAGTATAAATTACAAGGATTCTCCGAAGGGTGATATCGGAGAAATACTTACTAGTAATATGGAAGATATCGAGATAATTTTCAGCACCGAAAACGGAGAAGAAGAGAAGCCCGAATGCAAGTACGCATTAGATAATAACGACATGGCTGATGAGATTGGGAAATTAGAACCATGTACCTCGACCACCGATAACATCGATAAGGACGATATTAAAGAAGTCGAGCAAGATATAAGCGTGACGCCGAATATAATGGCCGCAATGAGACGTAAACGGAAAACTCGAGATGAAATCATGAAGTCGCTAGAGAAATCCATTTATAACATATCCTCTCAGGACACGGATTCCACGAACTACAGCGATGTAGCGTCCGACGACACTGTGGAAGTAGAAAATAAGAAGAGAAAGATACAGGTGACACAGGATGAGAGCAGCAGCGACGATGACGACACTTCGCCGACTACGATGAGGTTCACGGTCAAGGTAACGGGCCGCCCCGACGATGTGTCTGACATCATGCATAATTTGTCGAAGAGCACAGGAGACGCCAATGTCCAAGGATACAACGATGCGCCTGCACCCAGGGAAAACGATGGATTTGTCACGTCCGTTATAACGATAGACGACTGTGCGGCAGACGTGAACGACAAGGGCGAGTGCCATGATGACGATACTTCTTCATTCTACGATCCTTTCCAAAGTCTCGTGAAACAGAACAATCGAGTGTTACCTTCAACTTCGAGAAGTAGTCCATGCCATAGCACGAGGCTAACGCCGGATTTCGACGACCGGTTAAAAAAATTAAGTAGAAATAAGAGTTGCTTGACACCAATCGTCACAAACACCACGCAATCACAGGTATCGGACTATTACACCCTTAAATGCGAGTACGACAAATTGCAACGGAAATCCAGCACGCAAGCGGACGTCGTTAAAGAGCTGAGTAACCAGCTGATTCAGTGCAAGCGTCTGGAACACGGATTACAGGTTACGAATGCAACTCTTGAGAAGAAGATACAAAATATGAGGTATCAGTTAAATGCGCTGACGAATAACGTGTCGCCTCCGACGGGGAAGAAAGAAGACGCGAATGTGGGGCGAACAAGATTGGTGGACGATTTATCAGTGAGACTGAGCTACTTCGAGCAGGCGAACAAGAGGTTAATGAGGGATGTGGATGCGAGGAATGAACGGTTGAAGAAATTGGAGAAGCAGAAAGACAATCGGATAAAGGAGCTCAACTGGAAACTGGAGAAGGCGTCCAAGTTCCTCGAACGGGCGGAGAAAAATTCGAACACGTATCGAAGGAAAATGCTGAACATGCAAACCTTCTTGAGGAGAAAGAAGATCTTGGACGACAGGATGACGAGAATGAGCGAGATACTGATAGCCATCATCAAGAAGAGCTATGCCGGCAGAACCTTATCGATGAGCACAGCGGTGGAAATCAGTAGAACGTGCGGTATGAACGGATACGACAGGTTGCTGAGCTCGGGACTTCCGCTTCCGGCGATGTCCGCCGTGCGAATTGCCAGCGACAATCTGTCGGATTCCACCGAAAGCACCAACGAGATCCTGCGTGCCGTCTCCCTGAGACGGAACGTGAATGAAGTGCACGACACGGGGATGTATTGCGCGGGAAATGACGCGGAAGTGGTTCCGGTTGAGAATGTGGAATCGGTTGCGGGGGAAATCGCATTAGACGATACAGAGACCGTGATGGGCACGGTTCAAGACATTTTCGACGAAAGTAACAACGACGACGATTTTAGTACAAATGAATTAACTGAGGATTTTATTTCGCAACTGAGCAAATTCATGTAGCGGCGGATTCATCATGTTAATTATATATAAAGTCACCACAAACGAATATATCTCTTACCGCAAAATCCATAAATTTCTACAGTCGTCAATGTATACCTGAACAACATAAGGTGGTGGGGCTAACCAGTTTGTGCTGTTCGGGTAGATTCATAAATATATATTTAAATATATATGTATATATATTCACATATTCTCTCTCTCTCTCTCTCTCTCTCTTTTTCTCTCATGTACTTTAGTATACAACTCTCATGACTTAAGTATACAACATTGTAAAATCATATCATGTGGAAGATCAAAATGTTGAGTTTTATTTATTATACAACACGATATGTGTTACGCATGATAAAAAAGTTCTAAATTGCTCACATGTGTCTGCCAAGTCTCTTGCACACACGTGTGTGTGCCTTACTATTCTATAGATCGAGAGTTGCACGATTTTCAAGTTTACGCGTGTATAGTTAGTCACAGAAAGATTGCGCAATTACTCGTGCAAACGTCAATGTGCAAGTTAGCTAGAATGCGAGTGTGACAGTGGAAAAGTTGCGAGTATGCGAGGTTGCAAGTGCGTAAACGGGAGTAAAGGAAAGTAAGGAAAAAAGGCAGAAAAAAGATTGCAATACTTTTCTTTCTATAAGTTTCGGGACGCATTCTATGGCTAATAGGAAAATTAATTCTTTTATAGTTTTGAAAAACTTTTTTTTTTAATTTTTCTGCGAAAACCAAAGAAAATCGCGGAAAAAAGAGCTCTCTCCGAACATTAGAAACTAGAGTTTTTTAATCATTTTTCAAAGATTTCATTTCATTCAACATTTTCCTATTGGATACAAGAGATGCATTGCGAAACTTGTCGAAAAAAGTATTTCAATTCTTTTGTGGCATATGCATAATAAGATCGAAATCGCACGGACAAACTCGAATTATAATGGCGATAATTGCAACGATTTCGACTTTATATGTGTACATGTAAGACTGTGAAAGTCGTATAAACTTTCGATCCAGAGAATGGTATGGCATATGTGACGTCGTGCGTACGGAATTTCTCTGAAATATCAGTGAACATAAGACTGTGACATATGATTAATTTGTGATAAATGAGTAATTTGAATGAATTCTGATAAGAATTAAATTGTTATTCACAAATTTCTCGGTGTGTACCATTCTTACATTTTTCTACACGTGCTCAAAAACGGATAGCACTATTCGAATCGACATTTCCTCTGATGTCATGTGTCCTATCTCGAGTAATAAATAGTAAAACGGAGCAATCGCGCGACGCGATTCATTGTTTCCATGGTGATGTTTCTTCGATCATACCAATCGTGTCATGCACCAAGTTCTTCCCAAGTTTCATCATTATCTACAGCATTGCTCGTTGACATATTCCCGTAATATTTTATGAGAATATATATTAAAATAAATGGCGACCGCGATCAAGGACCGTACGATTCCAACCATTGACACGTTGGTGAAATACGATACTCCGATTTTGATCACGACTCATCCTGAAAAGGTATAGTGATTTGTGTGTAATTAGCCCGTGTATTTCCGTGAATTATCGTCTTTCAGTAAGTAAATTGTACGCATGCGTATAGAAGCGCATGTAAATGATACTGACGCGTACTTTTTTTACGGAAGGTGCGTAAAGAACCAATTCCGAAAATTAGCGCAACTGCTTGCAAAATCCAAACAACATTCCCAGCCGATGTACGACGGGAAACTATTGAGATTCTAAACAGAATTTTGCCGCCGAAAGAATGGGAGGAGGACGGCCAGATATGGTCCCAATGTGTAAAATTCAAAACTTTATATATATAATTTCTGATTACGATTAACTAATATTTGACTAATTAACCCTCTGTTAGTCGTAATATTTTTCACCCATGAATGGTCGCAATGTATCTCACGGATACACTAATTTTTTCCATTATTTCTCCTTTACTACCTGAAACAAATTTTCTTCTTCTCTCTCATCAATACTTGATTGATAGACCAGGTATCAAAGTACATAAAAAACTGTGAAGAACAAAGAAAACAAAGAAAAAACATGAACAAGGATGTTTGACTGTATAGCAACAGTGATACGTTGTAGCCTGAACATATATCTATTGGATATTGCAACTAACAAAGGATAAAAAGAGGATAAAATTTATTTACTTTACTTATTTGTTTTAATTGAAAACTGAATAAATAAAAGCATCAATTCCTTTGTCCTCTGAAATATAAGTATTCTATTAAATGGATCGAGAGAGAGAGAGAGAGAAATGTGTTAATCTTTTTTATATGTATACGATAACGAAATATAATTTCAAAGATCCTTCTGATTAATCTATCTGTCTGCATTATTCTTAAACTATATCTAGTAACGTGTGTGATATTATTAGGTATCAAGTACTCCCGCCACAAGGCTAGATGTGATAAATTTACAAGAGCAGCTTGACATGCGATTACAACAGAGACAAGCCCGAGAAACTGGCATTTGTCCTGTTCGCAGGCAGCTTTATACACAATGTTTCGGTAATGGTTTCTACTTACTGTTTGTTGTTTCGCACAAAACAAATGTACGAAGTGTATTTATGTAGAGACGAATCAAGCTCCGCATGATTGTATGTTGTTCAGATGAATTGATACGACAAGTCACCGTAAATTGCGCCGAACGTGGGCTGCTTTTACTGCGAGTACGGGACGAAATTAAGATGACACTGGCCGCGTATCAGACATTGTACGAAAGTAGTATCGCTTTCGGAATGCGTAAGGCGCTGCAAGTATGTATTATTACGTTTAAGCGGCGCGTTTGCAAGTTTAAATTCGATAGACTCTCGACGATTTAAATCTGTGAAATACAAGTGTACAGATTAATACACGAAACGCTTGTTACTACAGGCCGAGCAAGGTAAGGAAGATCTGATTAGCACGGCGGAAGAATTACAGTTACAGAAAGTCGAATTGGAGAAGGCGATCGCGGAGTTGAGGCTCAAGTTCGATCAAGCCGAGAGGAGATCGGCTGAATTGCGGGAAGCGGAAGAAAAGAAGCACACGGAAGAGGTGCAGTTTCTCAAGAAAACGAACTTGCAACTGAAGGTAAAGGATATTCCAAGTGATTCGGCTTTGAAGTGCAATCGTACTGCAGAGGGATGTTTCTTCTATCTCTTTATTATATACGTATATATAAACTTGTATTATTCACATATCGTTGTTTGATTCCAAGATGTACGATACCAGTTGGAGATTGTAATTTTCAGACTCAGTTGGAGGGTATCATAGCGCCAAAAAAATAAGAGACTGGAAGGCCAATGTGATTCGAAAGAATTTGCACGACGAATTGCAATATTTTTCTACGGATTATGTATCGCATTTCTATGTGCGTGTATGTGTGTGTGAGTGTTAAGTTGCTAATAGTTAACGGATCTTAACGAAAGATGTAATCGTTCAAGTAGGATTAGAAAATCTGCATAGAACTCCAATAAATGCACTACGAATAAATTCACAAGGATTTATTGCAGAGATAGAGTTGCGCAAACACATGAATTGTTTTTATCCTTTTCACGCGTAACCACATTATTATTCCTCTCGACGCTAAATTTGGCAAAGTATCTCGTGAGACACGTCACTATTCCCGATCGATTAGACTTGTGATCTCGGCGACGGATTCGCAGAAGATTAATACAAAATGTAGTCACAAACTGTAGCTGGTTTGTAGGTACAATACTTTCTTTTCTCGTTAATTGTAACGCCTAGCTATGATATCTGTAGGAGACAAAATAATTGCATTCTGCGTTTCTCTCGTACATTTCTTCCACTGTCTCGAATGAAGAACTGGCGGGGCGGTTTTCACGAAAATCAAAAGAACCTAACTTCAAGTTCATACCTCGTAAAATATTGGATTGTTCGATGATTTATTATCTATGATATGTTTTCTATCGTGCTTGTTTATATCCTGCTTCATTTCTTCTTCAATTCCTCTACAACCTTCCATAACTAAAACAGAGGAATGAAATTAGGAAGATTCCTGCATTGTCTCAGGATAGATTCGACGGCCTATTCGATAATGGCTTTGCAGCGCTTACGGATATTGCAGAACTAAAATAACGTTTAACGTTTGGAACTGGCTACACGCATTTTCCAAACATTGAAACGTTCGACGGGCAAGAATCGTATTCTGCATTATACAATTATATTCGAAAATAATATATAGATTCACAAATCGTAACGTTCGACGCATCTTGAGTGCGTTTTACAGCAGTTTCGCCGTGTTAACGCGTTACGCTGCGAGGACGAAGTTGAGAAAAGAGACAAAGCGAGAAGATGAAATATATGTTATTCATTTTGCATGGTAATAGATATTCAACGAGATACAGTATAAGATGCTTTTCACGTGAGACAGTACTAACATTGGCACTTTTATACTCTTCGTACATCGATATAACTGAACATTATTATTATTATTATTGATTTGACAATGTATTCACATTGATATTAATAACTGGCTTGTGGATGCCGGACAGGACACGTTAACCGGTTTGACCGGTTCACTTAGATTTAATAGATCGGCTCGACGAAATTCCGTTGAACGGAGTTGGACTCCGAATAACGGTATTACGTCGGGCCTTCTTTCTTTGCACACTTACAACATTCACTGCGCGGCATACTAATACATTGCTACGACGATTGGTGAAGAATTTAAATCGATCCCGACATCCAACTACCTTCCTCTCTCTCTCTCTCTCTCTCTCTCTCTCTCTCTCTCTCTCTTCTAAGTGCTTTTGTTATAGATACAGCGAGGTCGACGAACTCGCTCATCATCAATTTCATTCATTGGTCCCGCATTCTTATAATCGCACTTTAAGTCGCAGATAATCGCAATTTCACATTCGCAGAGTTTTCGCTTATTTACATACACATTGGAAAATTCATGTCTATTCGTATTATCTATCGAATAAATATGTACTTTATCCGCGTATCTCTTTTTTTTTTGGATTAAGAAATAATATATATATAGATGCTTGGTATAAAATAATACTCTTAAATCCCTACGAGACAATATCAATATTAATATTCTATTATATAGATATATATTATGGATGACGGATTATGTTTAAAGTCTGTGTGATGTCTTAAATTCTCCAGAGTTTCATGTATATATATTTTGCTAAATATATATATATATATGTATATACGCTCAAACGCATATTAAATATACTACATTAACAGATGTAATACCTTCTGGTTAAACATCGAAATCACCGAACTATAATTACGAAAGTTTATATTTACTCGACTTTATAGTAGCTTCCCTCGATGTTAATAATACATTAAAAATAAATCAAAGCTTAATATTTTCTTTTATTCTTGAATTATATAGATTTGCATTTCCCCAATTGAAACCTAATGCATAAATCAGAATATATCTTCGCGTAAATCATACATATTTAATGGGTCAAATAAATAAAACAATCTATAAATTATAATATGGGCCATCGACCAACTTAAGATCTACAATTTAAATTGTCACCGCTCTCTCTCTCTTTTTTTCTCTAACTAATTATTTATAATATAATTTACAAGATATTGTCAAAGTAATTATATAGAAACAACAATTTTAAAATACTTCTTTCTGTCGTAATGGATATAAATAAGTGCAGTATAAGAGAATGGACGTTATAAAATGTTATAATGCACACATTATAAAAACGTAGTCGTAAGAGCCTTATGTATATAACGTTGTAACTGCATAACCTTATCACATCTTAAAATTGTATTCTTTTTTTTCCTTTTTTTTTCTTAACAAAATTATTATAAATATATTCTCAATTAGACGCGAAAAAACGGAAGTGCATGATCTTCACCATACATGTAAAAAATGCAATCGTATTCAACGATTCCTCGTCGCTACATTAACCTTAACATCTCTTATTTTTCTTCATTAATATCTCCATCGTATGTAGATATTTAACTACCACGTGAAAATGGTATGTGGCATAATAATACAAAATATATGTATACGTATGTTTTCATATATACTCTGTATATTTGCCACTGCTTGTTCAAAAATTAAGATACTGGAATCAAAAGTGAGCGGCCCTCTCGATGATCCGCCGCAGTTTGAATCTATTGCGTCTTGCCGTTATTTCTCATTCAAATATTAACGACTTCGTGTTTACCACCTTCCGATATTTGTCTTTTTCTCAAGTTTGCTTTTGTTCTTTACGAAAGAACGAAGAAGTTTTGTTGGTTGTTTTCGTTCTTTTCTTCTTTCCGCATGGGTTTCATGTTAGCGAAATTCCGACATATATATTAGATAATTAGCGAAGACGCGATCTAGAAACATAATTGACAATGACGCACGGGGAAAAATGCAGTAGCAGCAGCATGATGTTAAACATCCAGAATTTAACATTAAAATGAGCCATTAGTAAAATGTATATCATTTTTCATTACGCACACACACATCAGATTCTCAGTAGAACTGCACCCGATACATACACATGTGTATACAGAATGTGATACAAATGGTAGCTACACACAGTTCTAAAGACGTTATACGTATCCGAAGGGTCACAAAAAGTCTTGTTACAAATATCTCTTACTTTTTTTTTTTCGTTAAATATATAATAGCGTACGTCTCTGCGTAGAGTCTCTACATAGAACCAAGGAGGCTACTTGTATATATTATATATATATATATATATAAAGAAAAAAGGAAAAAGATAACGCAAGTACGTCGCTTGTGTCACGATAATACGTACCGATATACTCGAAATACGTTCGATTCTCATCAAATATACACGTATATGTGTGTATGTATGTATGTTTATATAAACGTACGATTTTGTCTCTACGCGTGCGGGTGTATATATGCGTTTGTGTACGTACGCACCTAAGTAGAACGGTACACGATAATTTCCTGCGACCGCCAGATATTCAAGTAGCAAGAGCTCCGCCGATTCTTACCGAATATATTTAACATCAACGCTTTACACCTACTCGTTAGGATGCACATCTGTCGTCAATGGCGACCTTTCTTCGATCGCTTCCTTTTCTTTTTCTTCGTCGACGCGACCGTGATGTTCGCATTCGTCTTGGCGGAAGCTGTCTCGGCCGCGTCGGCCGCACCGATCTGAGAATCCGTTTTCTCTTCTACGCCGCTCACGGCCGCGTTGTGTCCCACGGTGTCTTCGCTCTCGCTCTCGGCGTCGCTCACACCGGTGCCGGTTATACTTTCCACGTCGTCCTCCGCGTTGCTCAGCTCCAAGGATATAATCTTCTCCCTCAAGGTCTCCACCTGATCGCAAAAATGCACACGTTGCAATGATCGGCACGAACTTGATTTTCGCGCCTTGCATTCTAGCGTTGTCATACGGTACGACCGAGATTGCTCAGCGAGGTTCGCGTTCCTTGAACGTAAGATATATTGCTCAAGCGATAATCTAACAATTCTGCGGTGTCTACGGAACCTAAGTACAATATAGATAAAGAAAATCAAGATTTAGGACACAAAACGTCATATTGACGAAATGTCATATTGCCAATTTGTATTATATATTGAGAAGAAATATCTGAAAAATAAAAATTTATTCGGTGGGTACTCTAATAGAATATTTATTTATACTGATACACTGAAACACACTGAGAAGATTTTTTTCAGGTGATGAAAAAATACATTTTTTTCTTAAATCTGTAATTTTTTACGTGAGAGCGATTGTTTATTCTATTTAAATAAAAGAATTTTTTAATTTAAATAAATATGTTGTTAGCATTTGCCAAAATAAATATTTTCTCTCTCAGTGTAGTTTCCATCGTGCATATAAGGTATGTGTGTATCGGCGACACTTCGCTTCCGCTCTCCAGATTCTACAGAACGAGACTTCAGACTTTGACGGAAAAAAGATATTATACAGGGTGTCCCAGCATAAGGAAAACTTAAATATCTTGGGGACCTAAACATATTGACCTTAAAAACAATCGAAAAAAAATGACCGCAAAAGAAGTTTTTCTTCCATCGAAAATTCCTCCTTCGAAATCATTCAAATTCTAAACACATTTCTCTTATTATTAGAAACAAAGGGGATAATTAGGTGTTTTTCTTATGCTAAGACACTTTGTATGACGGAATGCATATATTGACGTAGAAAAAAAATATTTGCCGGCCTAAGTTTCTCGATCTTTTTTTAATCGATGATTCTGCTACGTACGATACGATTCTGTTCTTCTCACATGCAATAATGTAGAAAGCGCATCCAATAATAGACGACACAGACAAAGTCAATTGTGTACATGTTATACAGAGAGATGCATAGTTATAAGCTTAAAACTACACGTATAAGTATATGAAAACCAAATTACCCCAATAGCTCAGAAGGAAGTTGTTAGTGAGATCAGTAGAAGTGACATTCATAATTCAAGGTGGTGCATAACGTATCGTCGAAGTAAGCGGAGTCTTGAAACAGTAAACACAAGAATAATTGAACAAATGGTACACAGACTACACAGAGATGCTCGTGAACGCAAATGTGTATGATAAGTCTCTCTAATGTCTCTCCTCTGTATAAAACAATACTTTCGTAATGTACACGCGCGTAACATGACCCGGACTATAGTTTATCGACTGATGGTCTACAGGACACGGCTATCTGTAAATTCCCTAAAATTTCAGTAAAATCAGTCCATCTATATATGCCATAAGTATACAAAAGGGAGAAAAAAAATATCAAGAAAAAGTGCGGTGCACAGAGATAGAAAATCGTTGCAACGGTGATACGACTTGTTATCGTGCTCTTTCTTTCTCTCTCTCTCTCTTTCTCTCCCTCTCTCTCTCTCTCTCTTCTCTCCTCTACTAGATGTGTACTTTAACGCTGGTGCAAATTTTAGATGTAATAATACCTGACGCTCAATGAGCTTCTCGACGTATTCAACGGTTCGTACACGACGTTCGCCCGTCACCTCGTCTAGATATTCCTCGGTACGCCGAGTGACCTTCTCGTCCACTACTTTCTCGGATTCGCGTATCTCTTTAGGGGGACCCACTTTACTGCGCACAGCGAGCTTAGGAAAATCCGCGCTAGACGGCCGTAACGTAGCGAACTATGATAGCAAAAGACAGACAAATGGGAACCGTTGTAGTACATAACATAATTCTCTCTTTCTCGCTTCTTTTTTTCTTATGCAACACTGTGTTAGAGCTTCAGGCGAATACAGGACAGCAATTAGTGGAACGATCGGGTTAAACACACAACTCCGATACGATCAAGCTTGCGGGTTAATTGTATAATCTCTCTCTCTTTCTCTCCCCCTCTCTCTCTAGAAAGAGACTCTCTCGTTACGTATTAATTGGATCATGAAAATTAACATTGTCTCGGAATATATTCCACACGCTTACTTCGACCGGTTTCTCTTGCTCATGAACAGGATCGGCCGTCGCGTCGGTCGCATCGGTCGCATCGGCCGTATCACGCGTATCTTCGTGCTTATTGGTGTCCATAATTTCGCTCATCTTCTTGATCACCATCTGGGCCTGAAGCGCATCCTGTAAACACAAAAGAAGCTTTAATGTGTTGTTAAAAAAGATACAAACGTATAAAATTTTTTTTTTCTAGTAATTATTTTAGTGATATTGTGCATTTATTAATTCTTATACATATACAATCGGCAGAATAAAAGCTGCAACTCTTGTTTTCCGACGAATTTCGCAATGCAATGTCTGTGTATCCAACAGGAAAATGTATTTTCTCAGAATTATTAACAAACAAATTTCTCCAATTGGACATGAGATACATTGAGAGACTCATCGAAGAAAAATGTAGCAACTTTTAATCTGCCGACTGTGCGTATCAACTCCTCCAGCTTTACCTGCTCGAGAGATTTGAGACGCGCTTGTCGCCAAGCGGCACGTTTCTCCGCCCTAAGTGCTCGCTGCTCCGCAGGGCTCAAAAGGTGCTCCTCATCGTCGTCTGAGATAAGGCCCTGTTAATAAAAAAAAAAGGAAGATCAGCCCCGAAGAGAACGGAGCACGGTTGTCATAATTCATGCAGGGGTTTTTAACGACCTGATAATTGGCTATTGACTCAAGCATATTGATTGCATGGTTCTTAATCCCTTGACTAGATTTCAAGCTGAATCTTGCAAAAGTGCTTAAGCTGGCAAAACATGGATTTTCCAAAGTTCAGCGATGTTATTAAAATTTTGTGTCGAAGGGTTTTGATTGAGGCCGCTATTCACGAATATGAAATCAAAATTTCTCGAGTAACAAAATGATGGATCCAATATGGCGGCTAAAATCATCGTTTCATTTCATCAAAATAAAACATCTATAAATTCCCTGCATATCTAACATACTTTTGGGTTGTTAATTGCGAATTAACAATCAAAACTGCTAGTTTAAAAATGGCGGATCCAATATTATATCCATAAACGTTATTTTATTTAATTATGATAAAACCGTCATATTATATCCGTTATTTTGAATTTTGCAGTTCATTATTGAATAGAGCGCCCCCGAGAACCCTTGAATATCCAATTTTGGAGATATTGAACTGGCAGAAATATCAAAACGCAGTATTGCGTTTCCGCTGGTCAAGGTATTAACTGAAATATACATTAGAAATGCATTGAGATAATACCTCTTGTATCAATCGTTCTTTCAAACGACGTTCCGCTTTCGCCGTCCTCACACTGCTGGGAACATTCTGGACAAGAGGGATCGAAGTTCGCGAGCTCAGTCGGCTACTGGAAGGTAACGAGCATGCATACTGACGAATGATTATGCATATGCTATATAGATGTAATGTTTATTCGAACAATATACAAAAGCGACATAAAATCAGTCCCCCTTTTCCTTTCAATCAGACCGTTCAGATCGTTCGTGGCAATTGGTAGTGAATGCGTGTATAGCTTCATTTCCCTCCACGAGTACCGACGAGACGGTCCGCGCGCGAGCGTCGCTAATTAATATACAGTGGAATCTCTCTAGTGTCTAGACGTTGAGACGAGCAATGCTGGCATTTGGACACAAGAGACACTCGACGTTGAGTCTAATTGAAACATTACCCAGCCTGGGAAGTGTCTCGAGATATCCGTGAGAATGTGAGAGCTCGAAAGGAAATGTTTCGGGGAAACTACGTTCTACTATCGACGTCTCGTTTGATCTCGAGTCTGTCGCAGGTTTCGTCCGTGTCGCTCGATAAAGCTCTTCGACACTTGTCTCGCGTATGTGTGTGTGTGTGTGTGTGTGTGTTTGTGTATGACAAAAATCCGGCGTGAAACACGGTTCACTGTGTGAGACCAAAACCTAGTATGCACAGGCATGAATGTACAGCGTAAGAGCGTGTAAAAGCTGGTGCGGACTCGCATCCGGAACTCATCGTCGGCAGCAAATAAAAGTGCAAATAAACGTATAGTATCAGGGTGCATGCAAAACACAACTAAATGATAAACGTCGGACGTTGGTGAGGTTTCGAGGTGAGAGCTGTCTTTCCGGGGGGATAAATACTGAAGTACGATGCTGAGACCTCGTATGCCGAATCTCTCGCGGGTACAACGCCATGCATTAATGTTGCATCATTCCCTAAGCATAATGATATATCGGAAATTTCATTTTATCAGCATTTCTGAATCATGACTGCCGATTATTCTGTGAACTGGCAAAGAGATGCTCTAAAGCAACAATCACGACGCGCGAATATTTAGAAATGATGCGTGATGATTCTGATTCGAAATTTCCGATATCGCTATATATAGAGTGGAACAGCATTAATGCACAGCATTGTATGACGCCGATCAATGACGCTATAGGTCTGTTCTCTATCGCCGAATTAGAGCACACTTCTGGAACTTAAAAAGAAACAGATATAGCTGTGACTTCACGTAAAAAAAAAAAAAAAGAGAGAAATAGAACTAATACAAGCTAATACAGCCAGTTATTCAGCTATAAAGAACAAACCTTGTGCGACAAACAGTCATACACGTCGAGTCCAAGAAGCAATCTTTGCACTAGCGTCTCGAATCTCAGCGCTTGAGGAAGACGAACGGAAAAAACGTCACCAACGTGTTTGCGTACCGTAGTCGTGATACCGTAGATGAGATCTATTTAGTATATCACAACACACGCCACGCGCGCACGCACACATACATACACACATACATACATACATACACACACACATATACACACATACCCACGCATACACGCACGCATAAAAATTAACGTTAAACAAAACTATATACATTGCTAAACGTATTGTACACATATCAAAGAAGCTTAGTCAAAAATACTGTGTATCGTTCTACGTAGACTGTAAAAAATCGATCTCAACATATATATATGTATATAGTCAATAAAAATATAAAATAATAATAACATAACAGTAAATTTGTAATTTTAGAGAAGCTGCCCGCTACAATACCTAATCTGTTACGCAAGCTATCTAATTCTTATGTTATTACTCGTGTGTATATTAAATATATATTTAGTATAATATCGTGTAATTTCTCATACTCTCTCTGTCTCTTTCTCTCTTCTCTATCTTAACGTAATTTATATTAAATGATAAATACTGCCACTTGTGATGCACACGTAAACTGCATGGCATGATGCATCTTGCATTATTATCGAAATAGAAAGAATTTTAATGTGAAGAGTGAAGCTTACTTAGGTCGGCCATTGTCCTGATCACCCATTATGTCCAAATCTTCGAGACCTTCGTTTTCGTCAAGTTGTGCCCACGACTTGAGTTCGTCTCGCGTCAAAGTCGCAATCTTCTTTTCTGTTCAAGTCAAAGTTCACGATCAACGATATTCAACATTGGCATGAGATATTCTATGGCAATCGTTATTGCGATTATATTTTGTATCGCGAAAAGAAGTGAGGAAGTCGAACTGAACGCACAAGTTTTGTTAGTTAATTAGCTGCTCAGCTTTAATGTATTAAAGTGGACTACACACGATGTAGAATGAAAGAACGTGATAATTATACCGTGATATTATATCTTCAAGTAATCGCTTACCTTCTTCTTGTTTCATTTTCTCTACTTCATCTTGACTTAAAAAGCTGAATATTTTATCTGTAACAAATACACACGCACACACATTCACAAGATTATTAAAAATCAGTTAATTATATACTTTATATCACAGTAAGTGAATTATAAATTGTTGAGAATATTTGGAACGATAAGTCGTATAATTTCATTTATAAATATTTCAGGCTTTATCCGTTTTAAATTTGTTTCAACGTTAATCCAAATTTATCCAAATTAGATAAACTATCTTCTTTTTTTTCGCATACGAAAGAAATACGTATCCTCACCTGGTTTAGGGGATGGTTTTAAATGCTCTTCCATAGCACTTTCGAACAACTTCTTCTTATCGCTGACTGACATTTTTGTCAGTGGTGGCGTTGGAGATGATGTTGGAGATTGCTGTATTTGTAATATTTAAATAAATGATTACCAATAATACTTTTCTATGCAAATTAATTTTATATTATTGAATTATATTCATATACTTATATTTGCATGTGAGATACACATGAATACATGAATAGAATTCAACATACGTGTATATTACACACACTGAGAAAAATCTTTTTGAATAAAAAATACATTTTTTTAATCTTATTTCTTAATACAAGCGTTTATTCTATTCAAGTAAATATGCATTTAAAACCTTAAGTATCTTATTTCGTATTTTACATTTAAGTAATGATTTCTTAAATTATCTAATAATCTTATTAAAGTGAAGCAAATTATTTTCTACAATTAAAAAATAAGCTATTAAGAATCATCGAATGAATAATTTTCTTCAGTAAAGTGAAATTTTTTGTATAAAGATATTTTTTCTCTCAGTATGACGTATAATACTGTATATTCCAAGAAGTATATCTCACATCCCACAAGAGTTCTGTTACATAGTTCACTATCGTGATCGTTAGGAACGTGAGAAAGTTTAGTTCAACAAGTGAAACGCGTATCGACATTCGCGTCTGACAAAATAATATATCCGAGTAGTAAATAAGTAGTAATAGTTAGTAGTTAAACATGCTTCTGAAACCCACCTCAACCTGAAACTTGCCATCAACAGAGCGTGCTATCTGTCGTTTGCTAAAGGAAGCCGAAGAGTCAAGATTCCCGCTGCATTCGGGATCAGTTAGAGGCGTCGGGGGAAGTCGGAAACGTGCAGATTTTTCGTAGGACGTGACTCGTGGAGAGGGAATGGTGATAAGTGTGTCCTGCAACGGCCGAATCGTGGACGACGCGGATTCGATATGGGACGGATAAGCATTGTAGTTCGAGATCTCTTTCAGGGAAGGCGGCAAGTCGGCAAACGTAATACTGCGTTTCGACAAGGACTTTTTCTTCGTCGGGGAGGGTAAGGTTTGCATAGAGGTGGAGCGTTCGAAACTCGCTGTCTTAGCAGGAGTGGGTAGCGTGGACGACTTTGACGAAGAAAAGCCCTTTGACGTTCCGGCGGTCTCATTCGTTCTTGACTGGGTAAATAACACGGGAAAATTGTATTAGTCAAATCATAATCATCAATTAAACAGAATGCGATATATAGAGCGAAATAAATACACATATCGAAGTGGTCCTTTATGATATAATATTCGTTACGTGCGAAGCGCAACACACATAAACTATTTCACTGGTACCAATCATAAAAGAACACACACGACAATACTGATCGTTTCACCACCATCGCGTCGGTGTTTCAAGAGCCTCTTTTGAACGAACCTCGGAGAACATACGAACCCGCAAAACAACGCCAACTACAACAGTAACATTACACCAATGTTATAATTTCCTACTCAACGATGTAACTATTATGTATAGTTATATCGCCTTCGCATTGTTGAGTTGGAAAGTGCAACATCGATGTAATGTCACTGTTATTTGGCTTGGTTCGCAGGAGATTATATTAACAGTCAACACGATGGAGATGAGACGTTGTCTATGTTGCTTAAAAATAACTGTACAATAAATCGTAATAAAGGAACAGTTCACAGTAAACATTTAGCATATTACTGTCGAACACGATAAAATCAGACGTTTAATCAATTCATCGATTGAGCCGCTAACGCCGGCCTTCCTAGAAGTTGAATATACACATGTATATATGGTATCTTATATTTTAAAACAGATTTATTTTGAATGCTACATGTGTGTGTACCGTGTCATACAAAATCTAGAATTTAAACGAGAACTTCAAACTTATTTGTCCGATCGTTTGTTCTCACCGTGATCATATCTGTAAGTTCCATAGTATCTTCCTCAATTGTACTATTATTGCAATAAATCATGCAGCAACCTCGCGCATAATTTCAGATTATAAACACATGGTCGACACATGTTAAACACGTTCTTCCGATTTATAAAGCTATCCTATATTTGTACCCTATCCATCGTACGTATCGGCGTAGCGGAGACTGTCGTGTGTATGCCTCGAGCACCCAGGGACACTCGGTTATTTTTCACCCGTTTCGCTCTATCCTGCGAATCACTCGCTGAGTTAAATATTATTATTATTATGCATTCACGTCAAATAGCCTGCAGAACGACTTGGTGTTTTATCTTGCTTGGAAACTTCATTTTTTTTCTTTTTACGAAAATATCTCAACTATTTGTTAAAGGCGTGGGTAAGTTTTTATTTGTTCATATTGCTCTGTAATCTTCGTATTCGTGAAGGTTTCAAAGTTGTAAGTCTGCGAAAACGTAGGTACATGGGCATCTGTCCTTTGAAACAATCTTCAATACTTAAACGAGATAACTCATTGAAGATAACAATAAAAAGAAGTTATCGTCAACAGAACGTTAAGGAACAGCCGAGAAAATATTGCAAATACGACAAGCTTGTTCAAGGACCACACCAAAGTTCGCTTATCGCGGATTGAAAGAGAGATGAGTATAAAGGAAAAGGAGAGAGATTCGGCGAAAATTGTTCCACGGTGCAACAGTCTCCTCTACTGCGAGACATTGTGTATGAAACAACAGATTGATTTCAGGTGAAACTACATCGCAATAAAATAATGCCCTTCAATTATATTCGTCCTATCTAAGTACAATTATGAAAAACTATTCTCATCTGAGTACATTTCACAACAGGGATAATTATCAAACACTTTCAGAAAAATTCTCTGCATAGGCAGGCCACATTAAAAATGTTCAAATTTCATTCCTTTACCAATCAACTTCAACATTAACACCTTTCAGATAATTAGATAATATTAGCTCTTATCTGATAGTTTGTAGTTATATATAAACATCTGGTCCATTAGAGTTATGTGAACATATATAATGCTTATAGAAAATATACATATGTGTGTGTGCGTGCGTGTGTGTGTGTAAATACATTGATTAAAATTTGGATGATGATATGATTTAATTGTAGCATTAAATATACTAAATATACGTCGAGACTGTTAAAAAGCCTAACTCAGTCAAAGGCCCATTATTCAGAATGCATTGATAATGACATCATAACTCTTAACAGATCGAGATATTATCGTTTTTTTGTCAGGATTTGCAAACAAAATCGAAAGTAAATGGAGGTATCGTAATTTTTTTCAAGACAACAAACAACGGGGACCGAATATAAAGAGCCTTTCGCGAATCAAATTTTAATGCTGATCTTTAATACAGTATTTAAACTTTAATTATAATCATAAGATATTTCACATTAAAAGAGAAATACCGAAAAAAATTTATCCAAATTTATTTCCAATTTATCGAAATTTGGATTATTCAAATTTCGTCAAGAAAAGATCGACTCCGATGTACAAAAAGGAATTGTGGCTGAGCAAAAATGTGAAATGCTGTGAAAGTTTCTGATATATATATATAATGATTGGTTAATGATTGATGAAATTGTGTATCGAATAAGTAATAATCGCATTGTGCGTTTCTTTAAAATTAACAATATAGACGATAATTCAACTAGGAAATATGCTGTGTGTATATACATACATATATACATACACACATATATACATACATACGTATATATATACATACATGCACATATATATACATACATACATACATACATACATACATACATATATACATACATATATGTGTGTATATACATACATATATACATACACACATATATACATACATACATATATACATACATATATATATGTATATATATGTATACATATGTATGTATATATGTATGTATGTATGTATGCCATATTCTTCGTATATGTATGTATATATATATAAAATTTATTTTCCTCGCAGAATTATATATATATGTGTATATATATATTCTATGTGTATATATATATACATATATACATATATATATTCTAATTCTTCTATAACACGCGTTATATTACAATGCTTTGTTATAATCAATTTAATATTTATCCACATCTTAACAGCAAGGTATAAAACAATTATTAGTAATTTCTTTTTATAGACGTATCGTGAAGAATATCACGTGTGGTCATAGAATATTATCCCCCCCCCCTTTTTTTTTACAAATATGTCATTATCAATAAAGGATTTCGTGTAGAAAATATTATGTGCTCTTTTAAACCATTTAGCCAAATGTAATACAGAACGATATCTATGTGCTTTAACTAGAACATTCATAAAGTACCTCTTGCAAAACTGACGATGACTCTTAAATTATACCGTAATCATCTTTATAGTTACTTTGTTACATACGATTGGAGAACATAGAGACGCGTAAGAGATATGTAACGCCTGCATCAAGTGTATAATTATACATCCTATTTGGACAATTAAATTATATTCATTTAGGACAATAATAATAATAATAATAAAGAAAAAAAGGGGCTATTAGCTGAGGGCACTTAAAAACTTGTATACATATAGACTCTTATTACATCCACAAAATTGTCAATTCACGTATCACAAATCACCTATTTCTCAGGATCATATTTCTCAGGGTTATTCGTTCTGCAGTTGAGAAGAACACCACGCATAATCAAGTTAATCAAGTTGAACCGCAGCAACCATATTTCATATGTGTTGCATGAATTTAGCGCAAATAAGTCCTAAGAATTAATATGTATAAACGTTACTAAAAAGATCCCGTCTCAGGAATATAGGAAGTTTTATGCGCTACGAACTTCTCTATCTATCACAGAAATATTTTTCCCTCGTTACCTCCGACGACTATGAAACGGCAAAAGAAACGAGTTTTTACACGCGTATCGTATGTATCGTATGTATCGATTTCTAATCGTATCGGTATGTCGCACGCTTTAGGTATTAGGCGCGCGATCCGAAATCTCACTTTTCATCAAAGCAAACAACCAATTGTGGACTTCTTAACCCAGCCATTAGCGTATCTCTCTCTTTCTCGATTAATACTTAATATCGTAATGGCAGTATCAGTAACAAATGGAGTAACAATAACTATGCCGTATATATAACACTTGTGTCTGGACATATGTAAAAACGCAATAAACAGCTGATTCATATGCCGAGTTAATATGCCGTAGTAACTACTCTTAGACTGTTTTTTATCGTCGCACAGTCCCGCGTAATCAGAGGCATGGACGCAGACACAGGGAAAATGAGTAGAAAGACGAACGACTCACTCCTGTTAGAGGGCAGCCAAAGTAGCACTATCATCTTCCACTGTCTGTAAACATGTGAAACATCTCTCTCTTTTTTCGGCGCTCAGGAGAGCATGCGGACACGCTAAAGACATCGACAACTGTACATTTCATGCACCACTTAAGGGTACCTATAGTAGTGAAACAATTTGACTAGAGATCGTATTTACGCACGATGACAGAGTAGAGTGATTTACGAATAACTCTATGAAGTCCAATATACAGAGCTCCTTGTCGCGTAGGAAACGTAAACGCAAAAATGCAACTAAGTCTGTTCGAACATTCAGAGAGGCGTATGAAAGGATAATATCAAGTCGATTTTGGTCAAATGCCCGCGCGAAAACGATTTCCAGTTCTCTTTCTCGATTGAAATATACTTTCATATCGATATTTTGTACGTCGAGTTATCTTCTACTTGGAATGCTGTACTCTTGTTCAAAAACTGAGAACACTCCTGGTAGGGAGAAAATTCCTAGCAGTGGTAGAAATGTTCTTTAACGACGGGAGGAGATAATTTAGGCGTAGGCCGATTTTACGAAAAGTATAATTGGCGTGGTTATACTTTCAAAGTAAGTTTAAGTGTCGAGAAAGTCCCACCTTTTTTTCTCTCTCTCTCTACCTTTCGTTCTTTGTTTCTCTAAATTTTCATGAAGAACTCTACAAGAGTGCGCTTGCGCGCGTATGGCTGCATGTGTATACGTTGTGTGCGTTCTATATATATATATATATATATACACACACGTATATACAGCGATCAAAGGTATGAGATTGAAATATCTGAGACGAAAAGATCGGCTGGTAAGTCTGGTCATGTCTAGCTGAAAACTTTGAAAATAGAGGATAATATATCGAGTGTTTTTATAAATTTTGTACGATAATTTACGTTTCTTTTTCGACGTTGTGGAATTTTCACCTAATGATAAGAAATAAATATCGTATATTCGTACTTTCTTTCGTAAATCGACATTACTAAGTATATATAAGAAATATAAATTATATATTTTCATGTTGAAGCCATGCAAAGCAAAAAAGAAAAACAACGCCAATGATAAAAAAAGATGCATGGGTTATCCATGTACTAAGAACTAACAAGTTACTGAAGTTAAAATTATGATACACATGCAACATTATAACAAAAAAAAAAAGTTATGTGTTTCTATTTTACACCTAAGTTAGAGTGATAACTTTTTCTACCTATGATACCACTTTTACTCCCAGTGATATGTACACATACAGAGTGTTCCAGCACTACCGTCAGCATTAGAAAATCACGAATATTACAAGTCCAAACAAAAAAAGAATACCGTTATTTCACTGTCAAAGTATCAATTTCCTAAGGAAGAAATTGCTCAAGGGATAAATGAAGCTGAATGACGGTAGTTGCGGTACACTCTGTATAAACTACATGTATTTTAAAGTCGCGATTACATCTTGAAAATTACGAGAGAGATCTAAAGTAGTTTGAGGAAAACAATATTTAGTATAATACTCACATTAGGATTCTGAGGTGCTAATGTGTGTTTACTCATAACGATAGTGGTAGTTTTGAGATCTTTCGTACCCCCCGGTGATTTTGGCGGTACCATGTCGACGGGACTGTTCGATTTGCTCACTAATGACTCTGCTGCTCGTACGACATCTAATACCTGTGCCAAGATGGTGCAATTAATATGATGCGTACAATTTTATTTACGTATACAAATATTTCGCAATTATCTTGATTAATTAAAAAATTTTTAAACTCTTGAATCTATGCCATTATGATATCGCAGAAACGAGAAAATTTCTGCAAAGTATGTTTAAATGAAAAGATATATCCGTAAAATGACCACTTGCAATCGATTGAGAACACATTTCTTCAAAATACTTCAAAAACTTTCCCTTTGGCTTTAAGTCAATAAATAAAAAATCATAAAATTGACAAAAAATAAGACAAAATCACGATATGACAGGTTAAAAAAAGTGGATTGCACGTTAATCTTACGATTATTTGTTGATCGCCGAAAGAGAATAAATTTTCGGTGTATTTTACAGATCTGCCCGATCAATTGCGAATGTCGTTTTATAGATCGTATCTTTTCATTTCAACATATTTTGTAGGAATTTTGACTATGTATTTTCTCTTTTGACGTCATTAATCCTGTGCCTTCAGCACATTGATATAAGTATACTACAAGTATACATTGAGTATATTTAAGACTTTTCATTTTATATTGCTAAAAAAGAATATTCCGTGATTTCTATGTAAAAAAAAACCACACAAAGCGAACAGAAACATGGATGGGTAGTGATATAATTTTCCAAATAAAATGTACAACTCAAATAATAATAAGTCTTACTTTCTCGGGTGTGGATTTTTCTCTCTGCTCAACCAGCGCGCGTTCTCGCTCTTCTTGCTCCCAAGCAACAAGTTCGGCCTTCATCTCTTGCTCCTGCCTGAGCGTCGCAGCCTCCTCGTCGTCTCGGTCCAAGCTGGACACACTTTGCGACAGAGATTTAGTGCCATCCGCAGTTGGGTCTCTTAACTCGTGCGGTGCTTTAGCTTCCTTAGGATCCCTGAGGACCTCTTGGGACAACGATAATATCGGCTCGACTTCGCTCTTGTCGTAACCCTTACACACGACCAGCGTGATCGTATTTCCCGAGCACCGGAGAATGTTCACGGCCTCTTGATGAGTTGCGCCCAGTAACGATGTGCCATTGACCTCCAGTAGCCTCATGCCAACCTGTTAAAAAGATACGCCGACGTATGAGCACAAGTACGCTGAGACAAGAGGTTAAGAACAATATGCGAACATGACAAATGTACACTTGCCTTCAACCGCCCGTCTCTCTTGGCTGCACCGCCGGAATTGATTTTCGATATAAAAACGCCCTCGTCGGTGTGGTCGAGAGGATTACCCTTTTGTCCTCGGAGTCCTCCTTTGATGTGCATACCAAGTTTCTCGCCTGCTTCCTTTATTATTACTAATTCCTAAAACAAGGTAAATCAATTCCCTAGGTAAGAGACTGTCGATCCTTGATCTCAAGGTTTCCGTAGATAGAATCAGGAGAGAAAAGAAAGGATATTACAAAACTACTCAATGTATCATCGTTACACCTTCATCTTTGAAAACTATATATGTACTCTCTACATCTGTGTTATAAAACGGTTGATTTACACTCAAGGACGACTGACAGCTATTTATATACTCTTAACGGTGTTTGCAAATTTACGGGCGAGGTAAGAGAACAATTCAATGCTGTAAATCGCGAGGGGAGTTGACGAAAAGGGTGTCTTAAACACTGACACTTAAAAGATCGCAAGAACAGATAAAATCCAACTGAATTTTCGTAGAGATGAAACCGTCTCACAGTTTTATTCGATATTTAATAGTACCAAGCATAATGGCATGACACGAAGCACAAGAAGCTCTGGAAATCAAAGTATAATAAATTAAAACGATAGGTCAGCATAAGCAAAAGCGAGTCATTCGTAAACCTAATAGTGAAGTTCGCAGCCGTGGTGTGGGGGGGGGGGGGGNGGGGGGGGGGGGGGGGGGAGGGGAGAAGCGTAAATAAGAACATAAAATCACGGGTCAAATGCATCGAGTACTTACTGTCACAGGGATGTACTCTATTTCGACCAGCTTGTGGGGCAAATTATAAGAGAAAACCCGCATTAGGTAAAGAAATAATAATCACACGTAAAAGCACCGAGTGCCACTGTGTTTGCGACTACAAGCATTCCTTAAGAAACGGAACACGAAGAAAGAAATATTCCTGAAAAGTATCTCACTTGTTGAGTAGAGTGCCTAAAGTTCTAAGCATAAAACAATTAAGTAGCGATCCTTCTCTAAGAAACGGCTTCTTAGGTGTGCATATATTTACAATACAATTGTGAATAGTGATCTAAAAACTGTAGAAAAATCATTTTACTAATCGTGTGTCGCATTCTGAATGAATATTTAAGAAACCATAGTGACACTATGCTATATATGTATATGTTCCAAAGAACGTATATAAATATAAATCGTTGTATGATGTGAAAATAAAGTCAGTCCGCCAAGTGGTGAAAAGAATATGCATACGTGTGTAAAATTTTGTAATATATCTTTATCTGATATATTGTAAACTTATAGCTCTATAAGCATCACTAAGTTAGACAGCTGTTTAAGAGCGACATTGTGTTCAGCGATGTTACATAGTATTTACCTGATAGCACTCCGGAAGCGGATCATGTTGAATGGTAAGCACAATTTGATCTCCCGGTCTTAGAAGTTCCATTACCGCTTCTTGATGAGTGGCCTTCGTCACATCGGTACCATTCACCTTCAGTATCCTATCACCCATCCTTAATTTACCAGACTTGGCTGCTATGCCACCAGGAACAACCTAACATATTTATTTAAAAAAATTTAATATATACGATAAAGAAATAGACGTATATAAATACATTAAAATAAAGAAAATATATATATATAAATGAAGATAAAACTGTTGATAAAACTAAAATTACAAGGAAATTAACTTACATGAGATATAAAAATTCCAGGTTCCTTCGCACCGAATGGAGTACACGAATGATCTGTCCCTCCTATGATACTGAAGCCCAAAGAGCCTTCTTTCACAAGGACAACGTCCTAAACGCAATAATCACTGAATTGATTATACATTCGAACAAAGCTTTTAATTTTACAAGGTGTTAAAATTATTAATGGAATAATAAGAGTTTAGAAGAATTTTTCGAGACGTAAGTTGCGTAAGATAACGAATATACATTGACGTAAGTTTTGCTGAAATAAAATTACGATAAAGGCGGCTCTATTTATTCCTTTTCACTAGGAATGACATAGGACGACACAACAGATCTACACTACTTACCTATTTCCATGCCAGAGGATAAGCAACTTGTTTATGATAGTCCATCGATAGTTAAATTGATTCTAACTAAAGCCATCGTTAATATATATATTCTTTTACATTAGTTCATTGAGAATATCTTTTAAAACATAATTTACGAAAAATATATAAAATTAGACGTAGGAGAAATATAACTGAGCACAAATATTCACGTACACATAAGGGAGAATTAATTGTAACATAAATATTTAAACATGCTGAATCATTATAGAAAGTAGACCGTAAAATCTTCGTTTTGAGAACATATGGTTCTTTCATGCTCGTTCCTTTTATAATGCAATTTTGCGCGAATATTTGCTTAAATATTTCTCAATTATGTATCTAATTATGTACAAGAAAAATGCTATGACTTGGACAAGATCAGGTTCAACAGGAAAGGATGATGATACATAAAAACAATGAAGATGTAAAATAATTTCTTCCAATTGCGCTTTTCACTATTTTCTGCGCGTTTAAATTAAGACAATTATAAAATGTTAGAAGAAGGAGATTCAAAGATATATAAGAGCACACGCGTTTTAATTAATCTTAAGGAATAATCTCTGTAAAATTTGGAGTATATATTGCAATTAATCTTAAGTTTTTAAATTAATTTTAATTATTAATTATTATTTATTATTACATTTTAATTAATCTTAAGAAATAATCTCCGTAAAATTTGGAATATATATATTTCTTATATATATTTGACCGAAATTGAAGCGCACGATTGCTTTAGAGTTATAATTATCATCGTAGCATGGAAATAAGCTAGAAGTGAAAAAGTTGGAATATTATTTGTCGAATATAAATGAGGAAAGATTAGTAGACGTTCTTTCACTTATTAATTTTCCTCTTATTCGTAAAAGTGCACATGTGTGTAGCGAATGCGTGTAAAATAGTTATTCTCTTACCACGTGTACGCGGATACGCACTCTCGTGCATTTTACGCACACGTGTGGAAAGCAAAACGAGACACCTCTCAACCCGTTCTCGGAAAGAAATTTGAAAGAAGTGAATCAGTGTGTACCAAGGGCATGCGATACGAGCTTAAATCAATGTAAAAATCGACGAAAGTGAGATAAATGATGAAACATAATGGAAAGTAAAGCTTCCATAGAGGATAAAGTACAGGGTTACGCCGATAAGTGTGCAATACATATATTCGATGCGATCCTAACTACCGGGCACGTACCTCGATAATGAGCGGTTGCACCAACTGGTTGTCGGTCACTCGAGTTACGACGGTCTCGGTGAGCGTGCTCTTTGTGATGGTTTCAGTAACTTTACCGAGTGTGGTGGGAGCTGGAGGAAAGTTAACGTCTCCAGGCAAATTATCGGGCTGCTTGATCGTCACTGTCACAATGGGGCCCTGGTGGGAGTCTGGTGAGGGCGAGGATGTCGGGGGTCGGAGGAAATGAGCGGGGATCATAGCCTGAAATTCCTCGTTGGTGATTGGCTTCGGTACCTGTATGTCCTCCTGCGGAGACGCCGGTCTCTGCGTGCTGGGCTCCACGCCGGGAGTCGTAGAACCGGCATTGTTCGTGGGCGCGAACGTCGTCTGCGAAACGCTATGTCGCGGGGCGGGCTGCGGATATGCCTGATTAATAGTCGGGCTAGGGGACACGGGCGAAACGTTCTTCAACGCGCTACCCGGCTCGGTCACGCCGTTCATCTTGGGCGCGTCATTGACGACGAGATCGGATCTCGCGGGATACGTCGCCGGCGGCGGCGGCGGCGGCGGTGGCGTCTTTGACGTAGGACTCGGCGACAAAGCTTTATCGGCGTCTATGGAGCGACGGTAGCCGCCGTACCCGGGTCTGTTCGCCATATAGCTGTTGGCATTGTACAGCCCTGTGTAAGGCTTGGGCGCACCTATGACACGCGGCGACTTCTCCGAGGGAGTCACGGCGGTCGCGGGATTCGCTTGAGAAAGTGGTACTTCCCGTTCGACCACCAATCGAACGAATCTTTCCGTACTGGTGAGCAAAGCCACCGCTTGCTCGTGCTTCGCTCCTCTCATCTCAACTCCGTTAATCTGCAAGTTACACGACGATTGTTTAACGTGAACGAAACATATTACACAAACAGCACGGGTCTCGATCAAGATGGAAGCTGAATATTATCGGCCGATGTGAATTTAATAAACTCGGTGGAAATGTACTCACGGATATCACTTTGTCTCCGACCAACAGCTTGCCATCTTTTTGGGCAACCCCGCCGTCCGTTATTCTCGAGATGGATATTATCTGAAAACGTCGAAGATATGAATGTGTGTGAATATATAAAAATCTATGATAATTACATAAAATAAATAATATTAACATATTCACTACCACGATTTATTTGAAGGTCTCTCTCCACAGATTACCCCGTATTTTCTTTACTTTCTAACTAATTATGCAAGATAGTTTGATAACATGGACATAAGAAAGATTTTTTGCTCTCGCAGATATATGACGCTAGTCGCAAATGTGTTAAGTATAGTAAGTTTGTATCACAAAAAATGCTTACATCGCTGTTATTCTTAGATGCACCTTCTCCGCCGGAAATACTGAAACCGAGCCCATTTGGATCACGTATTAATGTCGTATGAACAAGAACAGGCATCATAGGTTCACTATTCGCCTTTATAGCTGCTATGGGCTCGGGGATCTTTCTCATCTGTGGAATACAGTGTATTAAGATCAGGTCAATATCGCGCTTCTGTTAAAAGAGTCATCGAAAGTATCAGACACGAACGTGTTACCTTCGGAGTGTCATGAGATGTGGACGTATCACCGTTTTCTAAAGTATGTGATAATGCTGTGGACGAAACGTATGATGTTGCACTTGGTGCTCTACTTGTACTCAAACTAGAAGATACGGAATCTTTTCTTGTCGGCGTCTGAAAATAGTAACGAAAGTCAAGTCAGTCTTGTTTGTAGACAAGGATAACGATCTTTCACCCATACTAGTAATATTGCCATGAAATAATAACGTTTGTAGACGAGGATAACGATCTTTCACCCATACTAGTAATATTACCATGAAATAATAGAGAAGATAATAAAAGTATAAGAAATTATTTGTACATACCTCCTCGTATGGCGGAACTATCCTTGTGACTTCCCTTATGATAACTAATACAAGAACGCGTCCGCACGCTTTCAACACTTCCACGGCATCGTAATGATCTACATTTACTACCGATACTCCATTTACGGATATCACTTTATCCCCTATCCTCAAACCAGCCAAATCCGCAGGCCCACCTGAAAATGCACAAAGTAAATCGTTTTATATCTGAACGAGTGTTTTACAAAAGTTAGCAGAAATATTTGTAAACGCGTAATAACGTGTTCTGATTAACGAAAACAAGATGACAGAATTAATACAGATAGCAAAAGAGGCGTTAACGTTGAACAACACGAAATTGTCGCTGAAACAGATACGTTGTTTTTCACAAAGTCACAAAGGCTCTTTTCATAAATATTTAAAATATTAAGAGAATAATATTTACCTTCGGTAACTTTTGAAATAAAAATCCCCTCGTCTTCACCTTTGAAAGGTGTCGAACCTTTACCACCAGCAATTGACAGGCCTAAACCACCTGTCGTTCTTTCTATGTGAATTTCATATTGCTCCTCTCGTACTTCTAACGTCGGTTCAATGTCAGATGTTGCATCTAAAATGGCAAATTTCCAGTTAGCAATTATGTTTTGTGCAACACATTAATATACTTTAGCCAAATGTTGGTGAAAATACATAATCACTGTATATAATATATATGTATATTATATATATAGTTTATCATTATTATGCATTTTATATACCGACATTTCTTTGCTCTGATACTCTTGTTTCTGATATAACATTTATATTTTCTAGGCATTATGTCAAACAATTTTCTCGTTTTAATCCGTCCACGCGGGAAATATCACAGGGCACATATAAACGAGTACTCTATCACAATGTCCCAACTTTCATACTAAACGTTCTATCGAGAGATACACTGATAACCGGATTAATGATAAGATGGTAGGTGAGTAAGACTCTTATCGTACCCTCCCCCCATCAAACAATACATTCAAGCAACGTGAATGGCTTTTAAAACTAGCAGGATAAGAGACTCCATTCCCCTCAAAAAATTAATTTATCGTTACTACAAGATAATAACCATATACTACAATTCTGATAAAGATTGTGAATGGACAAACGTTGATCAATATGCAAACTATCCTGCAGCAAAGTGTAATATGAACAATTAGACTTGAGCGCAACTATATAATGCGTGCAATCAGTACTACAACCATTCACTGAGAGCTCGAGCTTCGTTGGTGTATTCTCTCCGAATTAATCATGATCCAAAGCGTAAACCAATCGAATTCGAAAGCTCACCGGCCGCTTAGTGAGCGGTGTTAGTGCTGAATGTACGTTCACTATATTCAATTTTGTTTTTACATTCACCTTGACTATGCGTATCGAATGTTTCCGCAGATTCTACTTGTGTTGGTGCAGGTGCAGAAGACTCGGCGTTAACCTTTTTCAGTGCCTATAAATACAAGATGTACGTCGATATTAATGCCAACTATATATAAACGCTTTAATAAATATAATTTTACCGTTGGAGTGCCACGTACGCAAAATACGTTCGAAAGTGCCGAGCAACGCGGTCGCGCTTCTCTACTGTTTCGCTTTTTCACTCACTTTTCACGAGAAAATTTTTATAAAGATTACGACTGATAAAGTTTGATTTTAGTAACACCTCTTCGGGTACACTGATAACACTGACAGTACGCTACGGTCTCTATGAGCGCATTTTTTCCTACTGTGCCGATGGCTCTTTTGAAACTGAACGAAAGCGGCGCGATCGCATTGCGTGGCACTCAAACAGTTAGAATAGAATACCCAAATAGAACAGAAAATGACGATGACGTAAGTGATATAAAAATGACGAGAAAATCATTATAAAAATCATTTTTCAATCATGTTTTCACCGTTTTCACGTCACCGTCATTTTTTATTCCACCTGGATAAGCGCGCATTGTTTACGGCTAATTATTCTGACAATCGTGTTCCTTTAATACTAATATTTTGACGTTAATAAGTAAATATAGTGGACATATATGGTGGGTATAATTTGATACTCGAGAAAAGTGCATTCAATTGCCGCTATATTCCACATACAGTTTATACAAATTAGCCGAATATTCATACGGTATTGCTGCGCACTGCATCATGTGTATGTATGTACCATTATTTACCATTACAACTAGAGTTAATTATAACTTTTCAACTTTTTAATACTTCTCGGATTCTTCTCTCTCTTTCTCCCTCTTATGCGTGTAAGTGCAAGACTGGAAATCGTAAAAGTAACTCTAGTTATAACGATAAGGATTCAATTTGGATTTCGTTAGAAATTTCGAGGACAATTGCATGCTTTCGATCTTTCGGGAAAATTGCATTTCAGGAGATTATTTCAGTGATCAGTTTTTGAGACATTGTCCTACTTTTCGAATTACGAAAAAATTATGTACGTCCACTATAAATATCTTTTCTATTTGTATAAAACTCTGTTACAAATTTTTTATTCGTTGACAGCAAATATCCACCTGTGCGATAATGGCAGCAACTTTCTCTTTGTCAACTGCTTGGATGCGTTTGTTCTTTAGATGATGCGGAGTGTCTCTACGCTGTAGTTTATTGGGCTTATTGGAATCACAAGAATCCTCGTAATTTGGATCTTCTATAATATTGAATTCAACGTGTCTCTGCACATCTTCATTCTCAGACTCTTCTTCTTCTTCCTCATTCCCCTCTTTTGATTCTGGGACAGAATTTTCAGTTCTTGCATTCTGCGAAGAAAATAATTTTCTCACATTAACAAGGTCCGATATAATGACATTGCGAGTTGTCAAGGTCTGTAGGTATATTTCAGTCAATAAGCATTTTGATTGTTAAAATTGAATGTGAAAACTAGGCACTTTGAATAAATAATAACTGTCCTATATAATGACTATTTTAACGAAGAGATTTCCACAAATTTGCTTACTGCATTAAATTCTGTAGCATACTGAGCGGGAGGATTGTCCATCTCTTTATTAAGTTGAGCACCCGTGCTGTCAGATTCAGTGCCAGGTGTGGGCATTTTATGCTCATTTTGTTGCACATCATTACATTCCACGATTCCTTCTTGCTCAGTAGACTGTGGCACGTCCGCAGTATTGACTGGCACTTCCGATTCTGTCTTATCTAATCCAAATGTTTGAGAAACATCCTGCGAAAGTTTTACGTTTATTAGCTCGCAGAGTAACGCGAAACAAAGCCCGTTAATACCATATAAGAACTAAACGCAAGAACAATTGGAATGTCATTTTGACAAAAACTAAACGCTGAAAATTTACTTGTTCATCCGTGGATGCCGATCGGCTTTCACTTCTTCCTTTGCTGAACAACTTGTGCGCCTTGGCTTTCAATTCTTTCGGATGCGGCGTGTTCTGGCGTACGAATGGAGTCTAAAAAAACAGAGAAGTTACAGAGAAGCGGTGACATCGATTACGAAATCTCTTTTAAAAGAGAAAGAGAGAGAGAAAAAGTTAAATAAACATACCTCTTTATCGGCTTCTGGCGGCTCATCGGTGAATTTCACCGAATGCGTCCTCGATGCTTCTCTTTCTTGCCAACCTTCGTCGTCGCTCAACTCGCGCGTCTCACCATGAACGTTTCTCATACCAACCAGCATTGCCAGCCTACCTGAATCTAAAAGAAAAGACAAACCAAATTATGCGATAAATGTTTGTTTTAAAATATTAAATGAAAACTTGAATAGTTTGATGATTAATTATTAAGTGTGCTAACTTTGTTTATCGCACTATTAAATCCGTGCATTAGCTTCTTACGGTCTAATATTGATATTTTTAGCTTATTCGGAAGCTTCTTGTCATTAATTTGAATCGATTGTTTTATTATGCAATTAATATACGATTAAATACGACGAATCTCTCGATTACTGACCATCAGGATGGAATTCCAACTGTGGTAAAAGGAAACATGTCAGCACATCTTGCCCCGTTTCTTCGTCGACGTCCGTTTGAAACGTTAACATCGGTTGTGCCTGGTTCTCACTTAACCATACTGCTTTCAAACTCAAGTTGATCAAGGAGTATGGTAAATATTGTAACCTGTACAATACAATTGTGCACAATTATTCATTTAAGATTAATAAGAGTTGAGAACGAGACTGATATATTTGATAAAAATATTACGTTTCACAATCTCACTCCCTTCCCTTTTAAAAATTCTACTTTAGTATATAATAATGATGATAATAATTGCAAGTCGCAAAATAGAAGGGAGATTATATACCTGTTGCCAGACACGTCTAAAACGTGAAGTGCACTGCATTGCCCCACTTCAGACGGAAGATATTGTAATTTATTGTCTCTCAAAGACAGTACGCCCAGATTCTTTAGATTTCCTGGAAAATAGAGAAAATACAAAGGTTACATTGAATCGTCTCCTTAGGAAGATTCGTACATTCTTGGAGTGTGCAATATCGCACATATCGACGAAGGGTCGTCGTTTACATTTAAAAATCTTACCAATTTCTATCGGTAAAGATTGCACGCTATTTCTATCAACATTCAAATTATTTAAATTGTGAAGTTTGCCTATAGACACTGGTAGCTCTAAAAGAAAATTCTCCGTAAGAATCAGCTCTTGCAAATTTTCACACCTGGAAAATACACGGTGATGTAAAATACATAGTCAGAGGGCGCTCTCTTTTCATTTTTATCTGACAACTTGTACCCAATTTCAATCGAGGTAAGACAACGGAGACTTCACCTTCACTTACCTCCCTATATTCGGATTTAGAGTAGAAAGTCTATTTTGGTCTACTTTGAGGATAGTTAATTTCTTGAGTTCGCCGAGCCCGTCAGGTAACTTCTCGATGACATTCTGCGACAAATGTAGATCCGTCAACGACTCGAGCCCGCCAATCTCATCGGGGAGATCCTCCAGACGATTTTCCGAAACATCTAAGCACGCCAGTGTCTTGAGTTCGCCGATCTCAGGCGGCAGGTGTTGCAATTGATTGTGATCGAGCCACAATTCTTCCAGCGCTGGTAATTTTCCTATATGTGCAGGCTGCGGAAAGGAAAACCAATAAAAGTAGTCGGTTCTTTTAATTCCACTTATAACCGAGGTTACAGTTTCATCACTTTCGACGCGAAAACCACAACGTGATATCAAGTACAACTGAAGAAGCAATGAAATGCGAACGATGATGATGTAAAATTCATATATATATACATATATAAATTTCTTCTTCTAAAAGCCGTTCTTCAAGTATCATCAATAATGGAGATTTGGTCAAAAGAGAATTTTTATCATAAAACTATAGTCGCAGCACTTACCAATTCCTCAATTTCATTATCACCGAGATCCAGCCGCACGAGTTTGAAAAGTTGGGAGAGCGATTCAGGCAAGGATTTGAGCAAATTCTCTCTTAATTCCAGTGACTGCAACGCTTCCAAGCTAAAAACCAGGGAACAATACGTTCGTGACAATTTATAAAACAACGAGATACCTCCGCGCGGTATCAGCGATCTTGCAATTTTTGTAAGTGTATTTTTATATTACCTTCCAAAATCAGGCGGCAAGTTTGTTAAGGACATATCGTTAAGTCCAAGCACAGTTAGATTTCTTAACTGTACGAATCCCGCTGGAAGCCTGGAACAACGACAAGATCAAAGTTCATCTCACGTCGGATCGTGCCGAAGCGACGAGATCGATAACGCGTCGGAGAGAAACATCGCAACGTGAACAAAGTGAATCGATATTTCGCTTGAAAATAGAGCGGAGATAAGAATAATTAAGTAACCTTGGAATAGGATTACTACTGAAGTCCGCCACCTGTAGCGCCCGTAAGTTCTTGATGTTCTCAGGAATGTCCGGTATATCTGTAAAGCGAGATAAGCATCGATTGATTCATACTCTGGTAAGTGCGTGAACGACACGATTTCCGATACAGCTCGAGACAGATAGGTGAAAAAAGAACGAACGTAAGTAGGCGTGACATATTTTGATCATTCGTTATAAACGAGAGACGGAAATTATTTATTTTTACGGAGTTATTTATCCAATAATTTATTTATTGAATAAGATTATTTATCTTTCTTATTTTTACGGAATACATGGCTAAAGAACAGAGTGTTAGCTCTCAAAAATACCTCGAAATACGCGGACTCCAGTATAATTCTTAGAAGATTTCCCTACGTGTAGCTTGCTCTCCCAATTTCAATCATATTCAACATATTCCGTTATGCGAACACATAAGAGGAGACTATACGACCTGTTGCGTTTCGCTTTATGAACGTTCAAATAGAGAGAGAGAGAGAGAGAGAGAGAGAAAAAGAGAAAGAGAAAGAGAGAGGCTCCGTCATACGTGCGAGCCAAACGCATCGCGACACTGACGAGAGGAAATTATGTACAACAAAGCGTGATTCCGCCAGAAAAAATCCACCGCGACAGGTTCCCTCAGCCGTTGACTCTTTTATCGCGCGAAGGCATATTAACCGTTATGAAATAACGTCTCAACCTAGAGTTCGAAATCGAGAATATTTTATCTCTAATTCCTCTCAAGAAGATAAATTGCGAGTTAATTCAAGAAGTTGAATTACGAGAAATCAAAATAATCAAGAACGATTACGAGGTTATTACAATATAATTACGATAAGTGAACAATTTAAAATGAAGACAAACGATAATAGATCGGCCGTACAACGATACGCCTCTACAAAACCGACTTGCTGAAATAAATATTATCAAAATGCTTAATTGGGAAAAAACAAATTGAAAGGAGAGACTCGCGAAAAGGTCGATTTTGTTCCCGCTTTGTTATTTGCTCTGGACACAACCGGTTACAATTGAAACCGGCACCAAATAAAAGCTTATGAAACGCTGAAAAAGAATATATAAGTTTCAAAATCTGTTCTCGAAAATCAGTTATAAAGAATTTGGCAGTCGATTATTATGGCGCCGGTCCCTAAATAAGCAAACACAGTAGCTGATGATTGTGTGATATGACGCGCGTGTGAATTTAGGTTCGGGTTTCGATACAATAACGTAGATAGCGTAGATTTTTAAATCTATTTCCATTCGGAATTAATAATCTTATTAATATATTCTTTGGAATTGATTTTTAGAAACAAGACAAATGCGGACAGATTTGAAACTTCTCTATATTCATCTTCAGCGTTTCATAAGTTTTCATTTGGTACTGATTTCAATTGTGCCCACACAAAGTGCGAAAACAGCCGCAAGTCCTTCTTCAAAATTAATAAAAAGTCCCTGACATTTCAACCTGTAAATTCGACATTTCGTCAGAATGGATCAAGCAAAGTGGGGAAAAAAGGTTGCGCCGAGTGTGTGGGTTTGCGATGAACCTTCATTGAATATTTTGCTGTGAGGGACAGAGAGAGAGAGAGAGAGAGAGAGAGAGAGAGAGAGAGAGAGAGAGAGAGAGAGGAGGGGTCGATTCCATAGACAAAGAATACATGGGTGAATGGAGATGCGACGGTTCACAGACAGCCACGGGTGCATATCACACCCTTTTTCCAACCGAGCACCATCAATTTTCAGAAACCACCGCGGTATCATGGCTAGCTCGGTGGTAGCCTCTTTTGATGCAACCGCAATAAACATTATAAATAGCACGAAACGTCCACCCTCGGCCTTTGTAATTTACCTCAGAGCGAAGGAGGTGAGCGGAAAAGCAATGCGCTCGATTGCGTGTTTGCGTGGCGCGAGTCGAGGGAATCGGCGTAAAAGGACGATAACGATAAGAAGGAAAGAAGATAAAGAAAAGGAAGAGAGAGCTAGCCGCGATTCATATCCAAATCATTAAAGGGCAATAGTAAAGCCTTCGCCAACTCTTTGAAAGCGTATCTCTTCTTTTTTTCTTCTTCTTGATAAGGGATATATAGAAAAAAAGTTTCTTTGGATGTAGTATATGTGCTTGTTTGACATGGGTTTGTTTAATATAAACAACATAATTTAAAATATCATTTATAATTAAATATTATTTTGTTCGAATGAAAATGTATCATTAGAGTAAATCATATTGTTTGATAAAAGGAAGAAACGGTATTATTTAAAAGAAATATTTTGTTTTCAACCAATAAAAAAGAATTTACTTCGCTATATATTAAACATTGTTCCACAGAAACAAAGACTTTCTTCGATACTTTCTGATACAGTGATACTTCTTTCAAATAATTTATTGCCAGTGACCACCATTGTAATGTTTGGATGAAAATACAAAAAAAATATGTTATTTGACGTGAAGATATTTATTGTTTGGGAAACCGGACAATCCTGTTTGTTGCATCAAACATTTGTTCGTTGGCTCTATTCAAATTCATTTCAATTAAGGAAATTTTATTAAATCCAAAGAAATCTTTTTCTCTACGTAAGAACAGCCCGAGCTGATGTTCCAAAGGCCATTCACAGGTCGTATTGAGAGAGGGCTGATGTTATAAGATCGAATACATCCTCCGATCTCGGAGGACTCCGCAAACTAAACTAGCACACGTGCCGCCTAAGCAAGTACGACTTCAAAAAAATATGCAGTTCACTAACGAACTCTGAGAGGGCGTATTTGCACCTTGGATCCCTATCGACCCTCTGACGAGTCGAGTAACTTGAGAACTGCCGAACAATATCGAGCGGACCACGTGTCCGTGACGTTCTTTGAATTTCAAAGCGGCTCTTCGACTCTCGGAACATCCTCTGAAACGCGAACGGCCTTGAACTTTTCAATGGGAAATTACGCCCAATTGCTATGAGCAAAAATGACGTAATCCCCACGAGGAAGCTGTGAATAGAGGTAAACATAGATTATGACGAAACAGAGGGAGAGGGGGAGAGAGAGATGTACGAGGAGGAGGAAGAGATACGGAGGAAGATTAAAAGACGAGCGATTCAAGTGTGCGACGAGCACACGCAACGGCCGTCTCTCAATCGAATGAGACAGCCTCCGCTCGATTTGAAACCTGCCGTAGCCGCGTGCGATCCGCTTATTTTTCACGCGTCTGAGAGCGAACGGTTTTCGCCGGGCGTTCGCGCTCCGTCCTGTTGCGTGTTGCATCGCGACCGCTGCTATTATTTTCGCTTTTACGACCGCGCGATGAGTCAGAGTGCGCGGATATTGTTTTGTAAACGGGACCCAAATACGTAACGCATCCTAATGCATAATTGATCGTAAATACCCGCCTGTCGATAGCGTAGTGTGTTCCGCGTGACGTGACGCCAACGGGCGATACGACAGTCGGATCATCACCGAGGAAGTGCGTGTCGCGACAGGAATTCCACGCCGCGCGGTGACACGCCGATTTTCGAAGTTACGACCGATCGTAGAAAGGTGTGCTCATCTGTCGCCACACAACACGAACATGTCATATGTGCCTTGATATATTTTTGTATTATTGTTATTAGTTATTAAAATATAATTTGTCCCTAAGCAGATTCGGCTCAAGCATAGTTCGATGTAAACACGCGGAAAAAACAATTGCTTCGGTATAACCGAATTTTCCGTTGCCTGCGGACCAGAAACGAAAACTTCGTTGTAACGCTGTGGTCATTCAGAAAAAGGTTGCAACGCCTTTGTTTTACAAGTTTCGAAACGCATTCCGTGTCCAATAGGAGAATTGTTTTTTTTTTAGTAACTCTTAGGAGATACCTCTTCCTTTTGGATACGAGACGTGTTGCGAAGCTCGTTGGAAAAAAATGATGCGATCTTTTTGTGACTGATCGTGTAGACTGAGAGAACAAATATGTAAAAAATAAAAAATATTTATCCAGTGGGTACCAATAACATATTTACTTATATTAGTATACATGTTTTTACACTAAGAAAATATATTTCTCAAATGAGGAAATATACACAGAGAAAAAGATTTCTTTAGATTTAATAAAATTTGTTTTCTGGAATGAAGTAAATAAACGAATGTTTGGTTCAACAAACAGAAATTGGAATTGGTTTCTCAAACAATAAATATCTTTATGTCAAATAACATATATTTTTTTGTATTTTTAACTAAACATTATAATGGTTGTTACAAATAATAAATTATCTGAAAGAATTAATACTATGTTGAAAAAATATTAAAGAACTTTTTTATTTCAGTGGAAAATATTTAATAAACAATAACAAAATTTTTTAATTGAAAACTAAATATATATTTACTTAAAATAATATTATTTTTTTTATCAAACAATATGATTTCTTTAGTGAAACAAATAATTTTTTCATTCAAAATATTTAAAATTATATTAGATCATGTTGTTTATATTAAACAAATCCAAGTTGAATAAACATATATACTAAATCTAAAGAAACCTTTTTCTCTATGTACATTTTCTTAATTCCGTAGCTTTTCGTGAATACAATTGTTCATTCTATTAAAATAGAAGAATTTAGATTTAAATAAATATGTTATTGATGGTAACCGTCGAATAAATATTACTTACTTTTTCAATACTTTTTCTCTCAGTGTAGGAATAGAAAGATTCCTGTGAGAGGTTCCTACTCAGTCAGTTATCTCAACCGAGTTTTAACGTAGCTGTATATTTTCAGTCACGGTAACAAACAGATATCATTTCTTGTCACCGAATTCTCATCTGGTCCCTCTTCAGAAACTGAGTTGTTTTCCCGTGGACAATTTACTAGAGTTTCTTACGGCTTTTCTCTTTACGTATCTATACGTAAGATTGAAAATTATACAAGTAATCCTAATTATAATGACAAGACATATATGACGTTTGACGCGACACACGTTGAAACGCGGATCTTAATATTTCATCTCGCGCTCGCTAGAAAATACGAAGGTGTCTCAAACGATTCTCAAATCCATCGGATATTTTCCGTTGCATCAGACGACAGTCATTTTGGGAATGTTTCCTTTGTCCCAACTATCGGAAAAGTCTCCGGGCGATCTCTGCTCGTATAATGTTTTTTTCATCGTCTCATCTAACTCTACATTTACCCGCTTAAGTACTAAAACGCGTCTGAGAATGACCCTGTATAACAATCGTGCACACAGCAACGATTTAATATGTTCAATCTAGTCAATTATTTTCCTTGCGATAAGAGACTAATTGAGATTGATACGAGACGGACGGTCGAGAGAAAATCGTTCGGTTTCGGATTCCGGCAGATCCCGCCGCGCGCGCGTGCGAGTTGTACTGTTTATAAAACAAGATTATGCATAGCGATACTACGACGATATCACGGATAAAAAAACGTTAAAGCGAGAGCGGGCGTGTAGTACAATCGGCGTCATATATGCCGTACCGTTCCTTAGACTGGAAACTGCACAATTTTCAGCCTTAAATATCTACACATAAGGCCGAGATTACAATTAGAGCCATTATAACTCTATCGTTATAATTACAGTTACTTGTGCGATTTTCAAGCCTTAGCCTTGATCTACAATCTTGCTCGAAAGATCAAATCGCACTAGTGATTGCCGGCTGAATTGCGATTGCGATTACTTTCAACCAACCAGGGTAAAGCGGTCACCGATTGAGATCAGTGCCTCCCGTTTGGACAATGCTCTATTTTATAATTGTCAATCGCAATCCAATCAGTAATTGTTGGTGTGATTTGGCCTTTAGACAGTATAAAGCAAATTGGCCAATCGCAGTCCTTCATTAGAATAATCGATCGTACAGTTGGCCAATTTACTTACTGCTCGCGTCTTAAAGCAAGGTTGTGGACCAAGGCTCATGGATTATGTATGAGACTGAAAATCGTTATAATTTTCCGTTTAAGGAACAGCGGAGTATACATAACGCCGACCGCACTCATCGTAACATCGCGTTACTCTCGTTTTATCTCTCACGATGAAAAACGAAAACACCGGTTACTTGGTGTGCGTTACATCGAGCATATTCACAGTAATAATGTAACGACACGTAACGACTGCATGATCGACCGTGCCGGCGCTGTCAATAAGCTGGTTTTCTCGGCCAGCCAATCATCGACGGAACTAATCTAATATGAAAATCTTTATTTAGAGCCCGCCGTTGAGGGTTCATCCGTGACGTATTCGTCGTGCATGAACACGCCGTGCGGATTTTAAATCTTCCTTTATCACGAGAGAGAGAGAGAGAAAGAGAGAGAGAGAGAGACTCGTCGTGCAATTCGTCGCGCCGCGTTGCACACGCTGCAAAATAAGAGAAGACACGTTTTTACGATCAATCGACATGAACCTTGAGATACTTTGGAACCTTGAGGTTAATCCCGCGAGAAACCGAGCAATTATCCGGCACGATTAAAAGTCACTCTTTCAAACGCGATAATCAGATCTAATTTTTCCTCTCTTTTTCTCTCTCTCTCTGTTATCGCGATTGGCCAGCACTCTCGGTTCTCCTGTCACGGCCACAATGTGCATGCACAATTTGACATTTCTGTACGCTCGGCGTGACCCAAAAACTTTCACTCGCCGAGTTTCAGGTACAATGAGCGCGCGCGCAACGGCAAATTCTCCTGATTCCGGAGTCACTCGCTCCCGGACTCTTCTTAACAAATGAGTAGCAACGTTGCAACAGGTAGGACGGGAAAAGGAAAAACGATACGCCGCGGAAATATTTATGATCGACGCCAGTGACAGGCGGGGCGGCTCGGAGCGGCTCGGCTCGTCTCGGCTCGGCGTGGCGCGGCAGCCGCAGCGCGCGATGACGCGCTATGGTGGAAGCTACGACGGGCAGGAAGCGAAAGAAGATGCACCGTTATACGGGGATCTCGTCGACGTTCGCCAACAGTCGCCGTGTCGAATTTTAAGTGACGCGACATTTTCACCTCGGGCAGATCCGCGTTCTCTCGCGAGGATAACCGTGGATAATCCATCTTTATTATGCATTCCCGACCGTTTCTTCTTTTTTTCCCCTCCCCATCGCTAGATCGTCCTTTTGCGTTACTACGCGAGTCTCGCAAGCCTTGCTCGCTCGCTTTGGCGAGCCGGCGACCGCCGACGCGACCGTGACGCGCGTCAGGACGAGTTCTGAAATACCGTGCACAAAAGAGCAACACGACAATGAACGGGAAGGACAGTAACGGGGCGTGAGAACTCGTTCGCCAGCCCGTCCCAGTGAGATTAATTACGATTAATTGCTCAAATTCCTGGGCGACGTTCACGCATCGACGCGCACGGTCGCGTCGCCGACGCGTGCAAATGAAACCGCGAGAGCGCACGCTGGCGGCGATGCGGCGCGGGACAATAAACTAATTGCGCTAAACTGAAAACAACACACAGGTTCGCTCTCCTCACCATTCCTGGACACATCCAATTCCACGAGATTCTCGAAGTTCTGGATGTCCGGCGGCAGACGATTTATCTCATTGTCGCTGAGGCCGAGCTTTCGTAGTCTCTGAAGTCGGAAGAAATTCTGAAACGAACACGAGAACGCGGTATTGATGAGGGCTCGTAATATGTACTAGTTGAGCACGAAGCAAAAATGATGTGCATGCATATATTTATATATATATATATATATATATGTATATATGTGTATATAAATGTGTATACGTATATATGTGCGTGGGTGCGTGCGTACGTAGGTGTGGATGCGTGGTAAAGACAGATACACGGAGATTTCTTTCAAATTACGCCTCGTGCGTGTTACGTTCTAGTACGAGCGTATCGCGATAAGATTACGTTCTGGATACAATGGTACGAGGGAGTAAGAGAGGAAGAGAAAGAAAGACTCGGAGGAGCGAGAGAGAGAGAGAGAGAGGGAGACAGACGGAGACAGGATCGCGGTGAGACAGGCAGAGAGGAGTAAAGTCGCTACCGCCGAGAACAATGATATACCGCTTACTTTCGGCAAATCGCGAATGTGATTCGCGTCCAGCAGAAGCTCCTCCAAACTCCGTGAGTATCGTAGGATATCATCAGGGACGCACGGCAGAGAGCAATGACGCTTGTCAACGTATTCCACCTGCCTGTTACATCCCTTAAAAATCGGAATGCAGCGGAACATGGTACACTATTCACTGTCGATCACGTTGAGGCAGCACCAAACATAATTATCCCGCGGATCAGACGGACGCACGCGCTACTATTTGCACATACTTCCAGCCGAGACGAAAGAACGCACGCTTTCACGCCCTACTCGGCTTTAAACGCGTTCTCGGCCTATGCTTCGAGATCTGACGTCATCACGTCGACGAACCACCGATCACGTTGCTCGCGTTGCTCGAAAGCTACGCGAATAAACCACGAGCGAGCACGACACGTACGGGACTACGCATCGCTCCGATCGCGCCGCGTACTTACCGAGCGCGTAGATCTCGGAGCGTTTTCATCGAAGGGACGAACACGCCAACGCAAGAAACGGCAAGAGACGCGACCGTACTACTTGCAGAGCGAAGACACGCCTGGCCCGACGTTGAGTCACGCTACGACCGCTTTCCTCGATGGAAACGGTGGCGCCCCTCTGGTAGACACCTGGGTACTAGTGATAGCCAATCCGCTTGAGCGCAGCTAACAACTGCCTGGCGTCATCTGAAGCTTTTTTCTTTTTAAGAAAACCTGTTTCAGTTAGACCCGTTATGATCACACCCGTTTTTTTAGATCTATTGCACGGATGACAGCTGCGTTTGGTTTTGCAAATCGGAAACATTGGATTGCTCTTGAGATTATCATGAGATACTATCTAGTGAAATGATTTTCCTAGAATGTCCAGAGCAAATCGATTTGCGAAACCGAACGCGGCTAATAATACATCTCGCGCTTTTAAACTTCTCTTTGTGCTTCCTGCACTTTTTGCATCTTTTTTGTCTTGAAACTAACTGTTAATCAGTAGAAATTGAGGTCACAAGTCCTCGTCTATAATAAGTGTTCTAAGCCCTAAGCTTCAAAAAATTGATCAATCATAGTCGAATGTGAGAAGAATAATCGACTGTGATTGGTCAGTTTCTTAAGGCTTACGCCTTAAATTCTCATTGTAGACCCCGCTTTAATCGATTCTACCAGCGCGAGTTCTGATTGGCTGCTGTTTTTCTGCTTTTCTGTCAAGATGTGAATTCTTCCTCAAAATTCTCTCTGCTGGGTGATGCTTGTTTCTACCACCATAGTTTAAATCCAATCGACAATTGACTCAACGGAATTGACCAGTCGCATTGGCCAATTAACTGAATCTATCATTGCGATTGGTCAACTCTGTTCTAATCGACTAGATTTAAATCATGATTGTAGAAACGGCCATTATACGAATTTTTTATTCTTCAGTTAAAGCCGACGGCACACGATGCTTGTTTCGTGCTGCATTGCTTACTGGATAAAAATACTGTGTTCTGATTGGTGTATTTTCGAAAATGGATGGTAATATACCAATTAGAACTCAGTATTTCCATCCAGCAAGCAACGCAAGTAACACGAAAGCAAACACCGTGTGCTGTCTTCTGAGCGGCTGGCTTAACACGAGCGAAAAATGGTCTGAATAGATTTCTGTTTCGAGTCAATAACGAGAAATTAAGTTCCTTCCAAACTGACAATGAATTATAAATTTGTTAATAAAATATAATAATATTAAATTAAAGGACTATCGACGCAGAATCGAAATTGTAAATATCGAGGAGACAATCAATCTTTTAACAAAAAAAAATCGAACCGGTCCCTATCATCTCACTAGATTCCGGGATCCAACAGAGAAAGAGAGAGAGAAAGAGAGAGAGAAAACTGGTTCCTATTGCCTGGTAGTAACTGTGACGATCAAAGCGCCTCGTATATGCTGTAGGAATTCTAATCATAGTATGTCATTGATGTTGTGACGTGTTATATTTTTTTAACAAAATACTCGGCGAAGCGTGTACTACGTACGGTAGAAAAGACGGCGAATATCGCAGGTAAATAGTCACATTGAACTTTTTTCGAACGAATTATCCAATTTTATCTTCACCAATAAAAGTTCGAGAAGTTAGGTTAGAGTTAGTGTACAGCTGAGTGTGCTGTGTTGGTTAAGATAAAACGGTCGATGATAACGTTGCTTTTTTTTTGCGAATAATCAGGATTTTCGCCAGAGATAAATGAACTGATCAGACAGCTCTATTTCTCGCAGCTTCTAACGCGAGCTCCTTGTACATGCTATTTTTACGGCCAAATTCGCCGCTGGACTCCTTTAACCGTAACCTTGAATCCACATCGGGTGTGATTGTAATAATTAAATTCTACGAAATATACTGTGCTCAATCTCTCTCGACTGAAACGACGATTATTATCAGTTATAATTAGGAGGCAAAGTAGTAAACACAAACATTGTTTCTGATTATAGGTAAAGATAAATCAGTAGCACTGTTTTTACAATGTGCTTGGAACAGTTGAAATTGTTTTAGTATAGTTCTTAAATGACGATAATTCGTGAGAGAATTCCAATCATTGTAGTATCTGGGTAGTTTATTAAAAGGTTTACAGATTTTTCTCGGAAATATAATAAAAGATCTTGCTAAAGTTTGAGATCTTCGACACATCTATAGATGAATTTTTTTTTTTATAGATAAGAAGAGAAAAATATATGTTATATGACATAAATTTAAATGTATATATGTATATATATATTATATAAATTTCTAAAAATTAATTTACAGAACTTTCTTATACAGAGTGTCTTTGAAAAAGATATTTTGTTTAAGCAAGGTAGTAGAGATAAAAAATCAAGTAAAAAGTATCCTATTAACAGTGTTTGAAATATATTTAAACAGATGTATGTGTGTATATGTGTGTGTGTGAATGTTAAAGAATCTATAAATAGTATTTATATCCATATATCTAGAAATAATGATTTGAAACTTTTGTAAGTTATACAGGTACTAGAGATACGACTCAATATTTATGTTTACACAAACATGAAAATTATTACTACAGGTATATTGTAAGAGAGATATAAATTGCTTTTACAGTAAACTGTACTTTGCATCAGAGAAAATAGCAGTTACATTGAGAATTTGTTGTAGTATTTATTTGATTAAATATATATCTGTTATGTTAACAGAATATTTTTTCTCAATTTCATCTCTAATCTTCCTTAAGAAGATGATCTTTTTTAGACACATTGTGCATAATTGATCTTAGGTATTTCCTGAGCATTTGATTTTAGGTAGTATATGCAAGTATATAGATATACAAATTATCTAATTGATATCGAAAGCACTAAAACTTTCTGCTTGCAGTAAGAAAAAATGATGCAAGATGAAGATTTGGGTGGTCCAGCCAGACGGAATGTTTTTAGTCAGGGGATAACAAGAGTATCACAGGTTAATAAATATATTAATAAATAATCTGTTCAAATTTTAATATTTTATATGATATATACTTGATTTTTTGCTTTACTTGAAACGTAGTATTAAAACTTACGAAAATTTGATCACATTATAAGTTTATGTTTTGACAGAGAATTTGCAGTAGTTTGTCGCAATATAATTGTTGCCACCTATTATTTTATACAATTTGTTTAAACTAGTTGAGTCTAGTAATCAACATATTTATCATTTCTGAATTCTAAGTAAGTTTAAGCTTTGTATTTACGTAATACATGAAATATTTCTCATATTACAGATATATCAAAGATACTTGGATCTATGGACACCGCATATAATATCAAGATGGATATTCGCTTTATTCCTATTAGCTCTTTTTTTTCTACGTATATTTATCTCACAAGTATGACATCTCTTTTCCGATATGGCGATTTTCGTTCTTATTTATGATCATTTTCTAATACTACAGAAACATTTTCACATTCGCAGGGATGGTACGTCGTAACATACGCGTTAGGAATATATCACCTCAATTTATTCATAGCATTCCTCACGCCAAAAATTGATCCTGCTATGGATTTCGATGGTGAGTGCCTTGTCAGATTTGAATTAGAAATTATTAAATTAAAAACCATTATGGATTGAAAGTATATGTAACTTACATAATTAAGTTCTGACGTAATTATTAAATTAAAAACCATTATGGATAAAAGTATATGTAACTTACATAAGTAATGTAATTGGAAAATTTAATGCAATATATTTTGAATGATTGTAAAATATAGATGGAGATGGTCCTGAATTACCGACAAGGTCTAATGAGGAATTTAGACCATTCATCAGGAGATTACCCGAATTCAAATTTTGGTATTCAATGACAAAATCTACGGTTTTTGCCATGATATGCACATTATTTGATTGCTTTAATGTACCGGTATTCTGGCCGATACTCGTACTATATTTCATAATGCTATTCATCATTACAATGAAGCGACAGATAGTGGTAAGAAATTCTTATGTACTTTTATTACTTTTTAAGACACAGTAGTGTTGCTAGAAAACTAAATATATAAATTTTGACGTTGTTTTGGATATGAAAATACAGATAAACAGAAAAAGAAAATGTTAAACAATACGTGTTATAATGTAAATTTTATTTACTGGAATTTCGATAGTCAATTTAATTTTTAATTTATAGCGGAGTTAGATCATTTTGATTAATGCGACTTTCTATTATTTGCAGCATATGATTAAGTACAAATACCTGCCTTTTACTCATGGCAAACCAAAATATCAGAATCATGAAGACACTTCACGGTTGATACCATCGAAATGAATAGAAACGAAGAATACGTTTGACAGTGGAGACACGTATACGTGTAAATTTCAATTTCTTTTAATAAAGAACACAAGAAGATAAAATCCGAAGAAACTCTTAATGCTATGGAAGAGGGAAGACATTGCCTTGTACGAGAAAAGATTAAGGCGTGTTATAACTCGAAATTATGTGTAACACATCGTACATGAACCGAATAATCTTAATATATTTGTATCATAAAACTTGTACAAAGTATTGTTAGTTCTTATATTAAAAGAAAAAGATAAACTATATAGACACATAGTAACAATATTGAATAGTACACAGCTGTCAATGTAGCATGGTGAATCTGTCAGGTCAGTGTGAGAAACTCGTATACACATAAGAATCCGTTAATATAACCACAGATTCGTTTCGTAACTCTAGATGATATGATTTCCTGACGTATACATTCCACACGATTTGCTTACGTCTTTAAAATAAGTGGCTGCTCTCTCGAGCGTCATCTAAATTCAATCCATATTTCTCATAGCCTTAGACGAAAGGCATTGAAACACAGCAGCATATCCCACCGTCCGTGAATCTGTCTTAATTTGTTAATGTCGTATATCGTCTCAAACAAAAGAAGTCGTGAAATGTCAAATATAAGACCAATCCTTGACACTGTGTGTGAATTGCATGAGTTATCTAAACATTTTTTATAAACACTGGGAAACTTGCTAAAGCCTAAGATTATCAGCACTACATCTACATTATCTATATATACATATATAGTATATCGCAGGTATATCACAAATATGCACGTGTAATAGGGTGAGGCATGTCATCGATTGAACATATTTCTGAACGTATTTTTCTGTTAATATATACTTATAAAACTATAGAAATCTTGAACGTTCTATAATAAACTTGAAACTTAAATTATCGTCACAAAATCGTCACCATGCTGTGTGGTCTGTTTATTTTTACCATCTGAAATATCTCCATTGTTTTTGAGAATGAAATAAAACGTTTCACAAGTGGAATATTAGTCAGAAAGGATACATTCTATGATTGGTAGAACACCTTCAAAATCATGGAAAGAAGTCATCACAATCATATATATTATGTCAATTATGTATAATACATATACTTTCTTGAAAAAAACGAATAATTCCGCCTTAAAACATTTTATTCTATTCTTAAAAGCAATTGAGACGTTATAAGTGGTAAAGATAAACGAATCTTCTTGTATATTGCTTAATTAGTCGCAATCTTGATTATAAATATCGTGAGACAAGATCGAGTTTCAACCGAATAAGTATGATATGGTCATTACGTAATTTTTCAAATATACACGTCTATGGAAAGAGTATTGATCTCTCATCGGAAATATATATTTCCTTCAAAACTTAGCAACTTTGACTTAAAGCATTTTTTGTTTACAACAGATATATAAAAAGGAATTAATGTGTCACACTTTACGTGTCTCACCCTGCATGTATAGATAATGATAGCGACTTGATGCATGATGTACATAGCTGGTATTCTATTCAGAAGATTTACTTCGATATTAATATTAAGACCAGATTTATACACGGTATTTTTGGTATCAATACTGATATTGATACAAACAAGATTTATCGAAAAGTAACGATTCCCTATTTCCATATGCGATCCTGATAGTTTTAGTGTTATTGAAACGGTTTACTTTTGTATTATTATTAATTGTATTGAGTTAATTAATTACAGTTGTCCACATCATTTAAAAAGAAAACTAGTACAGCTTGGTTGCTATTTGAACATCTTTTTGCTATTAATATTGAGAAGACTCATGTTTTTATAAATACTTTTACAGTTTCCAATATTATTAATTAATATAGAATTTAAAAATATACAGAATATAGGATTGGGGAATGTAATCCGTTACTTGTAACGTTATTGTTACAAGTTATTTTTTTGCAACAATTTGGTAATGATGGTTATTTAATAATGGTTATTTTTTTTTTTAATTAATAACAGTAACGATAACGAATATAACAGTTATTTTTATCTTTACTTCGCATACAGAATACATGTGCATGGAATGAGCAGAAGCGAGAATCCACTCGTAAAATCCCAAAATAAAAAGTCTTTGAAATTTGGTGCAAAAGTAACGAGAATTTCGTAACGATTCGTTACTTCTTGAATAACAATAACGATAACGATTTATTTTCCGAAAATAACTTTCCACATTCTGACAGAACATCATTCTTGTGTAAAAGGAAAGATAAAAGAACATTTCGGAAGATCTTAATTATTGAACTGATATTGTAGTGCATTTCGCGTCTTCAATCGGTCACTTTTTGTATTCGATGGATATCACACGAAAAGATGTGTTCAGCCTACTTAATTTGTTATTTGACGTACACAGAGACGTCGCAATAGTATAATTATAATAGAAATTTACATTTATTTAGCAATTTCTTACTAAACATTATATACGATACATTGCATGAGAAGTTCTATTCATTAAAAGTAATAATTTAACCTTGGAATACTGGTCATCATTTTTATTAAAATACAATGTGTACAGAACGACGCGTATGTTTTCAAAAGCGTATTAACCACTTGAGAAATGCTTTCTTTTGTTCTGTGTGTCGTATCTGATATATGATATTGTTAAGACTGTATTACTGAGAGTTAATTAACGCAAATTATTCAGAGTAAATTAACTCGTCTAAAATTAAATGATACATTCGCGTCATGAGTCATATAATATCCGTTAATATAACATCTCGCTAAGGTGGAACTTCAAATCAATATTTTATGCGATGTTCTCTTGCAAATCAAAGAGAAATTATGCGATTAAGCGACCGGATAAGATCAAAATCATTATTGTCATTTGTGTTTCTAATTTAATACGCTTTTGTAATATTCATACTTGGCGCCTACATTTCTTACGATCTTAATATTCTAGGGTTAAAAATAGGAGATCAAGTAACTGTATTTTACAAAGACGCGCGACGAATTCGCTCTATAATATTACACATTCGACGTTACGTGGCAAATAATGATGCTCAGAAAATTAAGATTTGTACGAGGATAATTTTGGTACGATTTTTATAATCGAGCACGAAGCGGTCCGGTTTGTTTGATTGTACATAGTAGAATACATCCGCGAAGTGATACTTATTGAAACGACGATTGCACAGGTCACGATCGTTTTCGTATACACATGTAAAATGTATAACTAAGAACTAGATAATGAGGAACTTTCATTTCCGATAAAATGGTGTCGATAATTTTATATATATTAACATTCAATATTACACTGTCCAAAGATATGTAGCGAAGCGTATAGCGAAATATAGCTATACGAACGGTAAGCTTTACGTTTTAACATTTTTTATGTGTATGCGATTATATGTATATGCATATGAATACGTATGAATATATATGTGTTTGTGTACGTGTGAATATGTATATCTGGCGAAGCACGTAAAGTGTAACGGGCACACATGCAACAAACACATACATGTACGCATACTTTTAGTAAATATTTTAGTAAATATTTTATGAAGCTTTGCCAAAATTTGTATGTTGGCTTATTCTATATTTTACTGTATAAAAAAATATCTATTTGTTTAAACTCGTGCAAAGAGAAAATAAAATTCTTAATGATCAGGTACAGTTGTTTGCGTACTTTGTATTTGACGGTAACTACGTAACACACATATGTATATATATGGTCTCCCTTTCTTATAAACGTTACAATAAAATCGTTGATTGTATTATCATTGAATGACGGTAGTTGCAGAAACATTATATTTTTTATATACAAAACAAGGAATATCTTGTTTCTTTGTATTTTTGTTCCTTTTGTACGTATCTTTCATTTTAATAAGTATAATTTATACCGTTGTTTTCCTTATCATAGAATGTTTTTCAAGTTTATAGACGTACAGAATGAGAAATGCTTCATTTGCGATATTTTTCTTTGTACAGTTATATTTGCATTTTTATCGGAAAACATTACCAAAAATTCTATTCATTCCTATGCGCGACATATAAAATTTATTATTTGCTTGGGAAGAATTTCTTCCTCCTTGATAAATGTCTTTGTTACTCGTATACATTTTCGTATACTTTCGTAAACTTTCGTTTACAAAGTAAGGAAATAACGGATATTGATGAAAACATTAGAAACAATAGAATTACCGCCCGAACAGCATATGATATCTCATGGACGTCTTTAGAACATCGGGATATCCTGAGGATATTCTCAGGATGTCTCTAAGGGATCTGGGCTATCTGGGCGACTAATACATGTTGTTGCGTAAATTGATCAAATTTGTTAAGGTGTTAAAAATATTTTGAATTTTATAAATTAAAAAAATCTTAACTTCTTGTGAATTTAACTGTTTAAAAATGTTTGTACTTGATTAAAATATTTGATGCTAATAAAACAAATAAATGATATAGATACTAATAAACGAAAAATAAATTTGTAAGTTAATTAAACTTATTACCATCATAAGAACTTAAAAAATGGAAGAATTAATCTAGTTAATTAATTTATATTGTACGAATATTAAATTTTTTATATAATTTTACCAAATTTAAAGAATTCTTTCTCTCTCTTTCCCTCTCTCTCTCTCCCTCTCTCTCTCTCTCTCTCTCTCTCTCTCTTCTCTCTAAGTTAAGAATGTAAAATATATACAACAAGACTCATAACTATTATCGATATATATGTAACTTTATACATATATAGATATCTTATATTTTAAACAATAAAATGTATAATTGCGATATGTATATTACTGTACATATGTACATGTGAGAAACAGTGATAAATATGTTGTTAGAATTGTTATAAATCAGTGTAATAAATAGACAATGTCGTTTATATTGCGGTTTACGGATAACGCTTGCATTATCAATTATTTGATTATTCTTAAACGCCAATTATTCCGTTTGTAAACGCCGTTTGAAAATTTCTCTATGACAATCAATGGTATCACGATGATTTGTCAGTAAATTTCAATAATAGCATAAACATTACGGTACTTATCAGATTAAACTGATAATCAACGTCCTATTATAGAATTTAATGCTGATCATTGAGATAATGCCGATTATTGAACATTAATCATTGTAGGTGCGCTATATCACATATTATACTGTTTTCAACAGTTTTCCTTAATATACAATGTTCCCTTCTCATCGGCGATTTTGGTCTCCTGTTGTCGGGAATGTTACTTAACATTCGCAATGGGGAAGAAAATCCGCAATTCGATCAAAAAAGTTATCTCTGATGTCGTCTTTGTACAAGAATCTCAGGCATGATCCCGATAATTATGTAGCGTCAAGATTCAATGATCGCTTGTAATTAATTAATTAATCTCGGAGAGTGAGAATGGCAGGGAGAGTCTCAAACCGCGGGTCACTGCGCTAACTTTTGCTGTACGAGTTACGAATGCTATTACGTTGTAAAGCTTCGTAAAACTCGACAAAGCGGGCAATTATATGTTACCAAGTTAAACCAATTAGGTAATTAAACTGAGATTAGCCAAAATACAATTAAATTATGTCAAACTGAGCTTTAGATCAAAATTGCGTCAAGAACCAGTTTATTTTCGAGAGATTTAGATAGGATTTCCCTAATTCCTTTTGTCAACGAACTTCTGCTCGGGGCTTTGCGCGATTTCAATCGACTTTTCCAGAGCGACGATTTTAAATTATTACACGACAATTCCTATATAAATAAATGAGTAGTTTGATCTAAAAAAGTTTAGTTTTTCAGTACTGAAAATATCTTCGGGAAAAACTCTTATATTGAGGTGCCAAAGTTATCGGAATCTCCTCGAAAACGCGGTTGATCGGTGAAGTAATCCGCGACGATGCACCAACGACAAGACTAGTCAGTCCCTCGTCGTAACTCCTCTCGCGCAATTCCTGTCCTCACTCATTAAGGTCCTCCGAGATGGCTTTCTTCGATTTATCGAGAAACGTCGTGGTAGAATTCGGACCGATCACCGTCGTAGTGGTTGTTTCGCTCACTGTGGATTCTCGTTTACGATACGGAATTGATGGTTGGCAATACAGCCTATGATTGATCAAAACAAACACGTCGTTGTTGGGAAAAATTAGATGAATGTTTTAAACGATTCTCCAGTCTTATTACTTTTGCGACATGTTCCACCCTCTCCCTCGATTTCTCACGCTCTTTCTCTTTATGTACAAGCGTGTAGAGATTAATCCTCGATATATGTATCATGAAAATCTATTAAATTCAATCTCTTGATTTTTATTTTATCTTGAAGTTTATTTTTTAATAATTTGAACTGTGTGTGTGTGTGTGTGTGTGTGTCGTGTGAGTGTGATTTATAAAGATTTGATTTTTCATAACCTTTATCCTTCCTTAAAAATGTTTCAAAAAATAAAGAGAAAATATACACAGCCAAAAATTTGGTGTTAATGGTCGACTGAAATTTTATGTTATTCAAATACGACAAATATGTTAAAAAGTACACAAATATAATGTTTAATTAACATATTCGCCTTGTCAACGTATTTTACACATATAGGTTTACATAGGCAGGACCATTAACATTTTATACCTTTTTAATACATATTTATGTACTTCTTAATATGTTCACCGTGTTAAAGTAACGCAAGTTTCTAACACAAAATTTTTCATTGCGTAGTTTCTTTTTAATATAATAAATTAGCCCTTTAATAGCACGATGATACATCGAGGGTGAAACATGAAATGGCTAAATTCGCGTAATACTCTTCCAAATTATTTTCACGGAACGATTGAACCGTCCCAGCTATTTTTCCGTTAGTTATCGCTTCGAAGACCTAAGACAGGACTAGGAGTAAGGATTTGAGCGTCTCGCGAATAGAAATGACAGAACATTACGCGGGAATATTAGTGCCTGTCGACTCGCGTCATCCTTAATAGCTTACATTTATCTGGAAATTATTTCCGTCATGACGCACGTGAAAGCAGAAGTACCTTATGCTCTCCGTTCTCGAGCGGGGCGACCAATTGTTGTAATACCTCCGGCCAGTGCCGAGATTTCGCGCGGTGCTCCATCGCATGAAATGATGCTTCAGCGCGTTCTGCACCTCCGTGTTGAGGAAACAGTAGAACAACGCCACGAAAAATCCCTGAAAGAAGAGAACGAGAAAGAATTATGTGTCGATGTTTCGTCGGAATGAAAATTCTTATTTCGAGTACCCATTCCGCGTGAAAAGAACTTTCGTCCCTTCCGTATTTTTCGATTAACAGTTCATGCGTGATTCTGCCTCAAATAATATCCGCCGAACAACACAAGAATTGAATTAACATTGAAGCAAACTTCAAATGTGGAAAGGAATGACAAGTGAGAGCAATAATTTCGATCAAAGCGTCTCGCGGGTGAGCGTGCAATTTCAAACGATTTTTTTAAGAACTCAACGCGCCGCTTGTTTATAACAACGGGTTTGTTTACGATCTATCCAAGATTCGCGCATTTGCATATAAATATATTGAACATGAACTGGATCAATAACGCGACGAGGAATTTTATTCATTTTTTTAGGTAGCGCGAGAAAAGGAAACTCGCCGACGGGAGACCGGTCACAAAAAATATCGGATTAAATTTTGCAAAACTGAATAAACTTTCTAACATCGCAAGAACTGTATTTGTATTTTTACGGTGCACATTGTGTGCATAAAACATGACGCGTGGCAACAGAAGAGGCGATGTGTATACAAACACTGTGTGTATACAAAACATCGAAGAGAGAGAGAGAGAGCGAGAGAGAGAGCGAGAGAGAGAAAGAGAGAGCCATGTATTGACCGAAACGTCGATGTCGATTCATTTATTACGTAATGTTAATTGTTCGCTTTACGATATATAATAATAATAATTTTCTCTTTCTTTAATAATATACATAAAACTTTATATTAATTATATATAATTTTATATAATGGTTGCACGCTGATAATTGCGACGGAGTTTAATTAAATTAGACAGGACTTAATCAGGTTCCTTAATTAAAAAAAAAGAAGAGAGAGAAAATTAAGCTTCATCTCGGACAAACCTGGGAGGAAAGTAATACCGCGCGTGCATGAGAAAATGCATTCGCGACTTGTCCCTCGGTAGGTCCCGCTATAACCAGCACGTATGTTACTCCTAGCAGCGGTATTAATACCAAGAGAGCTTTACTGGCTTTGCGATATTGCTGAGTCTCCACGTTGTTAGCCGACCATAGTTTTGTTATCAGCACCTACACGCGAAAAGAAGGAAGAGAAAGAAGATTAATTCGATCGTCGGCGAAACTTTCTATCGCGGGGCACGATAACGCCTGAAATAGCATGCGTATTTTAAGTAGTGCTATCAGCACTAGAAACGGAGATACTTTTACCGAAACTCGCGAGTACTTATCTAGGCACCCAGATATTTGGCACTGAAACAATTTTTTCTTAACAGAATCATGTTTTTCCCTCGCATGAAATATATTTCCCTTGCCAATCCACGTAAAAAGATACATCGGGATATGGTCAACGAAAAGAGGATACATTGAGATATTTATAGAACATATACATTATGCATACATATTATGCATATTATGTATATCGTATACATATGTATATGCGTGTGTGCACATTTATACATGTTTAATATACATATATTTAAAATTTTAACTAAATATGTACATACATATGCATATTTAATATACATACATTTAACATATATATTTATAAAAATATACGGATATTTCATATTTTATTTTGACATATTCCGATATATGAAAACTAAATCTTTCCCAGTAAAACAACTTTTTACTGGTCTCGCCCACTGCACGTTTATGCGTGAAGTAAATTGAAGAGTGAATAAAAAGTGAAATAATAATAATGATAAGGAGTATTCGAGCAATTTGAAAAATCTCCGGGAGTAATATCCGAAAGAAACTTGGCTGCTCAGGTAGCACCCGAGAGATTATCTGACGGTCAGAGCTAACATCGCTAACTTTAAGATCGATTTTAGAAGGCGGGAATCTCTACACACTCACCCACATGATCATGAAGAGGAATATGACGTTCACCGCTAAAACTACTATAGCGGTGGCTTGATAAAACCAGTCGTACGGGTGCGGGATCATCCAGGGACAGTGTCTCCAGAGCGCCACTTCCTGCCGGTGTTTACGATCGTGTCTATAATTACAGCTCAGTCATGCAATATCGATATGGGAGTTTGCGGGTAGGGATGAAATCGAGGCGCGTACAACAATATATAGGAGTTATAAACGCCGCGACGTCCGCTAAATAAAACAATATTCGATCCGACGCGCGACGGTCCCGACACCGATATTACTGCACTTTGCGTTTTCACCGACAACGGAATATTCTCCACCCGCAATACTTTCCTCGCGGTGTACACACGGCTGTGTACCGCGGCTGTTTTTTGTGCTCGTTGCACATCTATTTATTTGGTGTTCTAATTTTACATTTCGGTCCGGGCGAATCCGAAAGAAACGGTTCAAAGAGTCCGGTTTACCGAGCGCTCCTTTATGCTGAAACAGCGACGAGTTTAATGAGTTTCCAGCGGTCCTCGCACAATCGATGGACTATTTTCGCGTCTCCCGAAACCGCCCGAAGGGCGAGGGGGAGGGAGAAGATCCAATAAAGAGCTTTTTTTATGAGATAGTAATAAAGACCGAACGACTCCGCGTCAAACATCCGTAACGTACACGTCTCGCGCGAGACGATGTGTATCGACGTGGAACCCGTTCCCGCACATACGGAAACACATTCCGGACGTGTTCACCGCCACGTGGGTGTCACATGTACACTCCACTCTGCGTGTGTGTGTGTATGTGTCTCATCTCTATCACGTTCTTGGACGTGGCGTTAACAGGCGAACGTGGCTGAAATTTTGATCGGCACTTTCAGTGTCATCGGCGTTAACGGGCCCGACGTCGCTGTCGGGAAATGAAAGATTTCTCGCAGAACGAAACGGAAATTCGCTGTCGGATCCGCGTCCGAGACGCGGCTTTCGTTTTATATTCATACCTGCTTGGCCTGATTCATGATGTTCTGATCTAGAGACTTGGCGATTCCCCACACGCCTATTACGAGTACAGGTATACCTGCATTTATATTTGTTTATTTATTTATTTATCTCAACATTCTAAATCATCGGACAGAGTGATTTTTTTTATCTATCCCGCATGAGCACTGTGAACATCTATATGTTATACACAGGATAAGGCGATTTCGATGAGATAAAGCGGGAAATCTTTAGCTGTACGTGCTCAAAGCTCCGTCTGGAACAGCGAACTCTTAATCTAAGAAGATATTAAGAATTTAATTCAAAAGGATACGGAGAAAAGCATTCCTTCAGTTTTACGTCTTTCGTTTTTAGGATTAAGCAACTCTCGTTAATTGTTAATTGCTAAGGAGGGAGTTGCTGAGATATTTTTACCGGAAGAATACGTTTTTTCCATCTTATATGTTTCTTTATTAAGGTAGTTGGCCTGTCAAAATATTTTCTTGGGAATCCTTTTAAGTTTTAGTTGTAGACTGGTGGAAATATTGTCTATACGTCTGTAAAATTAGAAAATGATCGACTATTTGGATATTAAGATATTCACAATTAAAGGTGACACTTTTTATATTCTTTTAAATTAAAGTCTTATTTTTAACCTTCTATTTTTAATTTCTTCTAAAATATATTTAGGATTTCAATGAAAAATTACTGTGATATTATACTAATAGACATTACATTTTTAGAATTATTGTTTTGAAAATGTAGCCATAGCAAATTTATAATTTATCGTATTATCTGCGATGTGTGTGTATGTACATATACGCATATTTGAATATTTATACACTACTTTCTATTATGTGCACCTCTGTTAGCTCAACTGACGTATAAATAAAGCAAGAAAATCAGAAAAATAAAAGATAAATAACATCTCTTTGTTGTTGGTAATATTGTGTGTATATTTCCTTAATTTCATTCAAAATTAACGTTTATTACTTAGATATAATTAAATAAAATTATAGGAAAATATTTTATTATTTTATAAAAATATTTTTAGTATTTCATTAAGATATTTTTCTCCGATAAATAATAAACTTATTACTTGGGAATCTTTTAATATCGCTATTGGAAAATCCGGTACCCTACGGACTAACTATTTTAAATGAAATTCTATAACTTCCCCTGCTTTACTCATTCCTTTCGCCAAATCCTGTCGTGCGATCAGCAATTAACCGAATTATCCGCAAAGTGCGAAAGTGGTCGTTAATTTTAATACGACAAACACACACTCACCCCAACCGATCACCAAGCAGAGCCTCAGCTTGATGTTGTCGCCTGTGAACGTTTTCACGACCAACAGGTACAGATATAGGCCTGTGAGCAGCAAATGACGTCAGTGCAAACAGATGTACGGTCAATCCTCAAACTTATATTAACGGAAACGGACCTTATATTTCTTGCGCACGTGCCGGACGTAAAAGAGAGACGTCACGTGCGAAATTCGCGAAATGAATACTCACCCTCGACGAACATCCAGAAAAAGTTTGTCAGCTGGAAGTAATGAAGAAGGGAGAAGAGCGTCACGCAAGTCGGGATATCCACTTGCATGGACACCTACAGAAAAACCATGTAAAAGTCACGTGAAAATAAAACAAATGAACTACTAATGAAGATTATAATCAACTGGCGAAATTTTCATACACAGAAAAAAAATGTTAGATTCGAGTAAATAATTATACCAATACTCCTCAGCAAATTTTTATTTAGATTATGTAAATTTTCCGTGGATCAAATAAATATTTCATTTGGTTAACTTACTTGGAAAATCTTTTACTTGGATCAAGCAATATTTAGTTGAACAAATAAAAATTTGTTAAGGAATATTAAAGTAATTATTTACTTGAATCTAGAACTTTCTGTTTACAGTGAAACGTTATTGTGTCGTCAATAGTAAAGTGTCAGAAACGAAGCCTCGCGCATCTTACGTTCTACACGATTTCTTTCATGTCGGTCACGAATATTCCGCGAGATTAACAGCGCTTAATTAAGCCTAATTAAGCGTGATTAATTAATCATGAAGTGAGATGAAAAACGTTCCAGAATCTATTGACAATTACCGAGGTCGTTTCGACTGTTCAGGCGTGAAGGCCATCGGCGAGGATCGTTTGTCGTTGGCGGAATAAACGTATATCGCGCTATTCAGAAGCATAATCAACGCAATTAATTTTCTGTGGGTGTCTGTTAAGTTGCCTCAAGGACTATCTCGGCAGTGGGGAGAGATGAAAACGCATTATAGATCCTGTGCATCCTACGGTCGGGTATAATGTGGATAACTACGATATTTGTCAGTGACACGCGCGGCAAATTGACCTGACAGGTGGAAAAGCTTTTTACCATTTTGCTTTTGTTTCCCTCCCTTCCTTTCTCTACTCTTCCCTCCTCTCCTTCCCTCTTGTCTCTCTCTCTCTCTCTTTCTCTCTCTCTCTCTCTCTTTCTCTCTCTCCTTCTCCATCTATCTCTCTTTCGCTCTTTAGTATTCATTAATAAAGAATAACACGTTATTCGCGCTCTTCTTCTCTCTCTCCTCTCTCTCTCTCTCTCTCTCTCTCTCGCTCACTCACTCTAACTCCTCATGGCAAACTAATTTTAGCAGTCAGAGTGTAATGGAATTAATATTACAGCGTGATGTATCGTAAACGACGCTTCATTAAATTTCAAGTAATTTTGCGCAAAGCGTGGTGCATAATATACTGAAATGGTTAATAATGCAGATTCAAATCGGAAGAAAGAAATTTTAAAGACAAAGTCGATGTATCATTTATATCGGTGTTCAATAAGCATCCAGTTATCTGATTGTGCACAGGTCGTCCAATTAATATTCACTACGGGTGAACGGAGATACGCGGAGAAATGAGATTACGACCGTTGCTTTAACAACAAAATGCAGTTAGCGATATATTAAAACGCGCGTGTAAATATCTACGACGTTAACTGTTTTAATGTAGCGTATATCATATTTTAGATTTATATTTAAAATATTACATGCGACAAATTACGATTATTATATGAAAAATTCGAAAAATACATCGGTTGGGTATGGTTTGTTAATGTGACATAACGAAAGTTAATTGAAACTGAAATAAAATTTCTCTCTCAATTCTTTTGTATGAATGAAAATTAATTTTCGTACAGCAAATATTATATATACATATTAAAAAAATTTGCTTTTATGTGCATTTGATTTTCCTTTTTAGTATCCTGATTTTTCTTCTACATGACAATGACGTATAACATTAATTCGTACGAAATTCACAATATAAAAATGTTATTATCTAACGTGGCATGATGCATTTTTACCAATTTTATTGTAAGAGAGATTTTTAAAATTAAGGTAGTATATTTTGTTGTTGCGAGGATATTATATTTTATTGGTGATATTATCGGTATTTCCTTCCCCCGCGTTTGGCAATATAACGGAAATTAAAATTGTTTATGCGCTATACAAAAGTAACCTAACGAATTGTGAATATATATATTTCATATGTACATTTTAAACTCTTTGGCCAACGTTTTTTTCTATTTTTGAAAGGAAAAATAAAAGAGAGGAAAAATAATCAGACAATTACTTAATACTTTCGCTGCCAATCCCGCGCCCCCGCGTGATATGGTGTCAATGCTACAGAGAAACTCACGCGCCAGCGCGGGGTGCGGGTTGATGTATCAGTAGCCCAATCACGCGTTCGGCGGGACACTAACCATCAACACATCCCCACGTGACCGGCAGCTAATGTGTCAAGTAAATATTATTTGAATGTGTGTAGCACAGTATTCCAGATAAAAAATTATATGAAATTATATATGTTGATTCTCTTGATGATCTTAATGACTTAAACTTTCTCTTCATTGCAAATAAGTCTGCTGTGAAAAAATAATAGCTTGCACGAATCTTGAACCAAACTTAAGTCGTGTCTATCCGGTATTATCGGGTATTATCATCCTTTCGATAACAAATGACCGATACTATAAAATTACTAAATATTATTAGTTATGTATAAAATACAATCATAATTATATAATTATATTTTAGTAATTATATTTTAATAATTCAATTCATAATAATAATTTATGATATTTTAATAATTATAACTCTATAATATTATAATTTCATTTGTGTGTGAAAAATCGGATGTACGACTAATGAAGAGCTAATAAAACGAAGAAAAAGAAACATATATACGTCTCAATACAATATCTTTGAAAATTCAACCATCGTTTTAAATTTTCATACGACCGACGGAAATTTATGCGGCAGTCAATATGTTTGCACAACGCACCAGTTATTCACGGATATTTTGCAGACTCGTGGAACTTGTATTTACTAAGAAACGGCGTATTGCCATTCTCGACAATAGCTGCGATATAATGTGTGTACGCAAGATGTGTAGCTATTAGGTTGTTCTGGTACGAAGTACGAAAACGTCAATATTGAACTGATATCTTATATAACAGAGTTCGAATACTTCCACACGCGGTATATTCACTCACCTGCATCACAGTGGTTAACATCCACGTCAGGTCAGCCAGAATGTATGTGAACATCAGATTCGTATGTATGTTGTTCCTAAGGCACCGTAACTCCCTGAGAAAAAAAATCTCCCAGCGTAACGAATCACAGAATTCCTTTCTTGCTCGTTCCCTCGAATGGGAAAAATACGATAAAAGTAGTATCAAAAGAAGTAAAATAAGGCACTGCCGATATTTCATAAAATGCAAAGAAAGAAAAGGGCTCTCACTGGGCTACGTCCTTCCATCACATTTAAAGTAGTGGGCCGTAACAATATTGTCAGAAAGGTTAATACAACACGAAAAAGCTCGAGAAATCTGTACTAAATGTAATCAACATAATTTACAGCTTTGACATTGTAATAAAAGTGTATCATTCAAATTTACATGATGTTGTTTAAAAATATAAAGAAATACTTGTTCTCTGCACTTTGACGAATAATAATTTTTACTAGCACTGCCGTGTTAGGCATATGTTTGTAAATATATCACATGTACCGCGATAGATGCATACGGGTGCACACTATTAGAGAAACGATCGTGACGTCGGATTTCAATTACCTCAATTCCGGTACGGTCAACCTTTTTCTAATCTTACACACGTATAGATCGCGTGTGTTGATTAAAATACGCTGTCAAACTTTGAGAGGACTCCTAAGAAAATAAATTTACGGACCGGACTACCTTAATATAACAAGCCGTCGATTATTGTCATCCAATAACGAGATACTTCTTCAAAGGGGGGGGGAGGCGGTTTACTCACTTGTAATAGATGAATATGCAAACCGCCACGACCAGAGTAAGCAGGGAGAGGCTGTAGCCGATGAAATACAGCGTTGTCGTGATTTCCACCCCGGCCTCGATGGCCGGCTGCCGCACGTCGCGGCACAGGGAATAGTTGGAGTAATTGTCCCATGTCCCATTGGCCCAGCACCATCGGCTGGCGTTTTCTGGAAAATACAAGGCGAGTGGCCAGCTTGATCAGTATGCCGCAGCTATCGTAACTTCGTTCCCTCGAGCGTTTTCGCCGTCCGCGCTCTCGACAGCTACGCCGAGAGATAAATTAGCTCGGCCGCGAGCGCACCTGGACGATAATCAAGCGCGAGAGCGAGCCGCGGGAATTCGCGCGAGAATTCGGTGAGTCTAACGCGATCTCCGAGGTAATCCGATCTTTTCCATATTAATTTTGATCTCATCCTTTTGTAACTCCATCGATTCACTCGCCGACGTCCGCGCTTGACGAGACGGTCGAGGAAATTCAGACAGGGGAAAACTTTTATCGCGGAACCGCCGAAGTCGGCACGACCGGTCTAATCGACGTCCGACGAAGTTTATCGTGAATAATTGAGCGCGTAAATAAACGCGTTTCTCTTACGATCTCAATTTTATATGACCTTACCGCGGAAACTTTACGGTCGCCGAGGCGTGCCGGCGCGTGAAATAGGGTGAAATTTATCGCGTGTCCTCGTGACGGACGTCCCACGCGCGGAGAGTCGCGCGGACAAAAGGAGAACGACGTGGGGATAATTATCAATTATTAAAAAGAAAACAAAGAAAAGACGAGGCAGTTGTACAAGTGCGCGATGAAAGCGCGCACTCCAATAAGCAGAATAACGGAGAGATTACGATACTCTTTTTTTACTTCGACGAATCTCACAACGCGTCTGGTCCTATCCGCGATCGGGAAATTCATCCTCCGAGAAGTACCGGGAAACAAATTTTCTTAGTGGAAATACGGGTGCGTTGCGAAACTCTTTGGGAAAAGTATGCGCCGCAACTTTTTTTCCATTATGTGTGTGTGTGTATGTGTGCAACGAGCAGCAAAGTAGAACAATTCCGATGACGCATTAAGGGAGATCAAGCGCGAAATTATTTAAGCAATTAGGGAGGATCGCCAAGTATTAGCGACGGCATAATCGACTATCGGAAACTGATATCATTTTTTTCCGCTCGCCTCGTGAAATATCGATGAGTGAATGATCGTCGACGGTGTTGCAACAGACCACTCCCGACCCGACGTCGCCGTTATCTAAATATTCGGGATACGTCATGCGCGCCTGAGTGGTCCGAGGATGTCCCCGGCATCCCCGACAATTTTTCACGATCACAGAGCGCCATCGCGGATTGCTGCGGATATCGGCTGCGTTGCATTATTCACAACCACGAAGAGAGAAGAGTTGGACGAATCGATACCGCAGAAAAAGAGGTCGTCCCCGAAGCAACCAGATGCTGCGACGGCAGCATCGATATGCGTCGCATATTAATAGTATTCTTAATCTGTCGATAGATCGACTTAATGAATTATCTATCCTCCTCTCCTCGACGTTTTGGCGAACATTTAATATCTCGGGGCGAATTCCACGGAGCGTCCGGTGTGTGTCATTTTCTCTCTTCTTCTTCTCTTCTTTTCTTTTTCTTTTTTGCTGACTCACGTCCACCGGTAGATGTTAGAATCTGACGTCGAATTTGAAAGACTCGTTCAATTGAACTTTCATGGTTGGGAATTTAGAAAGTAACGAAGAATTTTTATTACGATGACCAATCGTCGGGATTATTTTAATAGGTAGATTCTTCTCGAATTCGACGAACTTTTCCTTAAGGTCGTACTTCAAGATGGGCTCTCATTCAGTCGCGTTTTCTTAACATTCTTTTACAAATACAGAAACTATTTCTTAAAGGGGTAGAAGTAGAGACTTTGAGACAAATGTGAAGCCGGGTTTTCTGCCCAGAGAGAGCGTTTGAGTGGGGTAATTTTTTTTATCATGGAACGAGGATAGCGGGCATTAATTAACAAATACAAATTGATAAAGAAGAACGCTTTATTTTTTCGTAATACGCGTACAAACCGATCGGTTAGACGATTGATTGCAGAAACACGACGAGGCGACGACATGATGCAATAAACGAATTACTTTGCTTCGTTTGTCGGTGACTAGTCGAGAATTTCTCGCGTCTGCTTTACGATCCTTTTCTTAGAGAACGTGACGTGAATCAGAGGACACTGCTTCCAATAAATCGTAACACGCGAACAATAATTGACAGAAGTATTGTCATTCTCTCTAAATAGACTGGCGAGCATTCCTATCGAACAATCATATTCAACTCGATTCTCCGGCATGCTAATTTTATAATATTTGCAAGAAAATAAATTTCTTTCCGAGCAAAGGAAGCACGTTGAAGCTCACGCTTGGAATTTCAATGAATAAAAATGCATTCTCTTAATTAAAAGATGTATATTATTTAAATATAAATTTTTAATTTTAATCTTCTATAATACTTATTAAATCATTAAATCTAATTAAAAATAAATTTTATGTAAGTCTCATATAAAAATATTACATTTATAATTGCAATGCTAGCCTCCACCTCGGAGTTGTAATTACATCGAATTGTAATTACATCAGATATTGTAATCATGCTGAAATGGATTGAATTCGAACAAATTTCCATACAAATGCAATCTCTATTTGCAGCATACAAATAAAGAATTTAAATTCCATGGTAAAGTGAATAAAACTATTCCACGCTCGTGTTATCCATTATTCGCGATGTTCCATCAACCGTAAAAGGTGGGCGCTTTATTACGGCGTATTATGACATTACACTTTCAGTCATGGCATAACAGGCACGTGCGCACGCGTTCACGTACTCGCCATAAATTTACGCGCGGCATTTGCGAACATTTGCGAATGCTGGGAGTCGCGACGGCAGCAATGGTGAAAATCGATCCTTTACCATCGGCTGTAACTCCATTATCGATAGTTAGTTAAGTGTCGATGAGGACGGGAAACTTGGCCGTTCCCTACGAATGAACGTGGCTGCATTCCGATAATAACGTTAACGTCAATGCAAAAGTATACGCGCTTGTCAAACTTGAAAATAAGTTCGGAGAAGTGTGTGATTCGATTAAATCGCCGGCTTCCGGCGTCGGTGTGTTAACAATGGGGGCATGCTCGCGAAAATGCGCTCCACGGTGTCGGCATAGGCCAGCGAGCGAAAAGTATAAACTTCACTCGGGAAAAATGTTGTTGTTGTAGCGAAACCATCGTTGCTACCGCATGTTCGTTGCGACAGTGATGGAATTTAGTTAGCGTAACTAATTTAGCGAATTCCGTAGAGCAGAAATAGCTTTTTTTGTCAGGACAGAAAATATTCTGCCGAATGAATTTGTCTTTGGGGCACGTTGATTTGCTGTTCGGAACAAAATAGCGTTTTTACATTTATTAATTTGTTCTTCTTCTTCTTTCTTGGCACTACCAGCCTCGTTTGAGGCCTGGGTCTACTTCTCTCTCTTTACATATGCATGTGGTGCGCACACGGATTATACACATGCATATGGGACCTACAGTTTTACGCCGGTTCGAACGGCAGTTGGAGAGAAGTTTTCGTGGCATAGGGATACTCTTGGTGGTTTGCCAGACCGCCGAAATTAATTTGTTCTTACGGCAAAGTAATTTATAGATTCAGCTAAATGAACCAGCGAATAACAATTAACTTAACTAATCGTTTTGCTGTCCGTGTAGTAATTGACAGATTTTGCTGTGACAGCGTAAAATTTGCTTCGCCAGCAAATTATTATTCTCCGTATTTCTGTAACGTTCGTGATCAGGAAGACGTTTGCTTCTTCGATACACGGTCCATGCGCGGTAAATGATCGATTTCTCTCGACAACGAAGATCAATTTTCTCGAAAAATGAAGTCTCGTGTGAGAGAGAACTCTTCGTGGTATATTTTCGACTTGTTTTTTCATACAGAATCCTCGTATTCCCACCGGTTTTTCCCGCCGTCGCTCGTGAGGAACGACGTGTCCTGTGTGCAGGACGAACGCGCGCGGAAAAAAGAAAGCGGCGTGCCAGCGGCCGGGTGAAACGATCTCTGATTAAAAGTCAGAGCGACAGACGTTTAATCGAGTTTCAGCGGCGCCGTGTAGTATCGCGTTACCACAGATGTTCAATCTCGAAAGGAGCGCATCGATATTTATTACAGAGACGAACGACGCGCGGGACACGGGATAACGCGGTCATTTGCATGCGCGTGCGCCCAATAATGAGGTTGTAATTAAATGACGGACTTGGCCTAATGACACGCCGAGACGCACGGAAGAAAAAGCTCACTCCGAAGCGCGCACGTCACACACAGTGCTTCTCCTTCCTGGCTTTGTCTCCTTCCTTCGCCGAACACCGCTCCTTTTCTGGCACACAGTATGCTCACAGCTGCCTCGTGAGACATGCTCCAGGTGTGCCCGTGCGATACCACGTATGGATTTGAGAGAGAATTTCGAGATTATATAAAATACTCCGATAAACATTGTTAATCGTTCTCAACGTCACGAGACTCTGTTTGCAAACTAGACTGTTTTGAAAACGAGAGACCTCATGGCGTAGCACAAATTTCCAGGTTCACATTTCCGATCCGCACTCTTCGCGTAAAATCATTGTTTATTTGGCCGTGTGCATCGGCTACAAATGTACTTCACTTAATCGGATACAAACGTACGCAGCGCATTATTTTCGGAATTATTTTTCTCGAGAACCGAGCGAATCAAATCGAAAAATTCACGCTGCATTTTTGTTTATTTTTTCGTTTATTTTATTGCTTTTTCGCGTTCTTCGTGTTGTAATCCGCTTCCGTGCCGGGCCGCGTCATGATTTTTACCGGAGATTCTATCTTCCGGAGTATTTGTTTAAATAAATAACGATGAATAAATAACGAGCTGCAGTTTCCGCTCCAGTTTATTCGTACGACCCATTATTGATTACTGAATTGTGTCGACAACTGGTAAGCATTTTCCACAGGCGTCTCTCTCTTTTTCGATGACTCGATGCGTGTGTAAAACAATACGGATGCGGAAATTAAATAAAGGCTAGATTGGGAGATCCGCGTGCGCTCTTGGGAAATTAAAGAGCGCCGTGAAGCGATCGACTAAAAATAACAAGCCTCTGGTTATATT